TCCATTAATATCAATGCAAGAATGTTGCAAATTCACAAGAATTATTCCATTTAGAATTTTTTTAATTTCCATTTAAGGTAAATGCTATTAATGAATTAATTGAAATGAAAAGAGGACCATAAATTTTAAGCGAATTTCATTGAAAATGGTCTTTTGAAAAAATGATATGCAATTATTTCAGAACTTATTAGCGTAGCAAAATTGTGAAAAAGTTTTTGTGCACTCTGTACTAGCCCTTTTAATTAGTTCTATTTGTTTCATTTCACAGCTATAGCTATCTTCATTTCATCAGCAAATACTAAGCATTTTAGGTCTTAGCATCAATGTAATAAAGGTAAATGACTTATCAGACTCAAAATATCTTAAATGTTGTGCTAACAAACCATAAATATATCACATCTCCAAATACAAGACAGGTGAACTCTTATAAAATCCGTGAAATAAAAAGTTTGAAAGCAAATATTCTTCTGCCCACATTCTGCTCGATCACTTTTGCGACTGCAATTAGTCAGAAATATCACATTTTCTCTCGAAACCATCTAAGCGAAAAATTCATCTAATTATCCGCTAATCTTAATGTCGAATATGCGGAAATGATAATATACCAATTATCTACACTACCGAAAATTAATCTATATTATCAAACAGGTTATCAAAAGGAATTATTAATGCTCTGGTTGTTATTGATATTATGGAGTTAATTTGATGCACTGTATTACCTTAAAATTAGCTTAAAAAGTAACCCAACTTCTCAAAGAAGCACCTTATGGCATTAGCCATTTAATCATTTTTGATCCATTTGCTTTGCTGTTTATAGTGTTGTAGAATGAGGAGAAAGAGAGAAATGTGTAATGAAATCCCCGTGCGACTTCAGGAATTGAACTCTAATGTGGAAAGAAATGAGTGATATACTTGCTATATGAAGAGAATTTGAAAGATAAAACAATTTCTTTATTTCTCATTTCGTCAACATTTGAATCATTATGCCCTGGGACAATTATCATCCCCACAGATGGAGATGATATATGACGTTTGTATCGGGTCCTGATGAATTATCACGACACAAAGATTCTGATGAGTTATCATGATATAATGGTCATGATATGATCAGAAGTTTTAGTTGAATTCTCCATATATTAAGGAGATATATAACTAATGAAATTGAATTACTCTCGCAAAAACAGTCGTTGAAATGCTCGGGCAAAATTACTGAGAAACCTACCAACTAAAAAAATAAGTAAAATCTGATGAAAAGTTGTGAACGAATGCAGCGCTCAGTTCCATTTTCTCGTCCGACATAATGAATTAGCCAGCATGGTGTAATTTTTCTAAATGAAAATTGTAATGGAAAAAAGAATTGTTACAATTGGATAAAGAATAAAGATGAAATATAGAGAAGAAGGAAAATTAATTCACTGTATGCTTTGGACAATTTTCCCTTTCTCTTTCTCTCTCTCCCTTTCTCTTTCTCTCCCTCCTTCTCTCTCTTAAGTTCAAAGACTAATTTATCATGTTTCTATGTCACCTGAAAAACGCAATAAAAAAAAGAAAACGAAACAAAAGCTAAAGAAAGGAGCAGAAACAACGAAACTAGAAGTTTTCATATGTACGGAAGGGAACAAACTGTTCTTGCGTTACGTGAAAAATTGATTATTTTACGTGTTACGTGAAAGAGAAAAAGCACTTAGCGGACGTTGTGATTCTGTGCAAAAAATGGAAGATAAATGACACTTTTTAAGCAAATTTATCAATTTATTGTCAAATAAAACATTCGTCTCTTACAGAATTACACAGTGAAACTCGGCGATCAGAGCATTGGACGAAATTCTCTTCTATCATTTCAAAAAAACTAGTGGAATTTTGCCAATTGGCATGATACACACACACACACACACACACAGACAGACAGATACATACACACACACACACACACACACACACACAGACAGACAGATACATACACACACAGACTTTCAAATGATGTCAAGTTGGGACATTTTCAGATGAAAACATTCAATTAAAATTAACAAAATTTCTTTTTTTATTAATAAATTCTAAAGTATCAGTCGACATTCCTTATGCAGTAATTAAGATATTTTGAATTTGCTAATTAACTAAATCATTTGATGTCTTTCTGCCGTGGGAAAATCAATTGAATTTTAAGCAATGAGTGGCATGCTTAGCTGAATTCGTTACGCTGAATGCATCTCAATTCCCACATGGTAAACATTCAGTCGAAGAAAGTAACTCAACCACAATCCTCCGACTTAGTTTACAATTTAAATTTAACAATAATAGTGAGTGGTCTAAGACCCTCAAAGTATCGTTCCATTTCATGGAGATGAAATCTGATGGAAGTACATTTGGGAACGCAATTCAAAATATTTTATGCAAAGCAGAGAGCGTACTGACTGAAATGTGTATGTGTGTGTCTATTTGTGTATTTGTGTGTATGTATATGTATGTGTCTGTTTGTTTATTTGTTTGTTTGTTCATTTGCTTGTATATTTGGGACATTTTCAGATTTGAAATTTAATTCGCCTTCCATACAATTATCTTTTTTCCATTTTTCTCCACTTTTTTGCACAATTTTTCATTGATTTAATGAGAGCTTTTTAGCTCATTCGGAACTTCAAAAATGATAAATTGTGATATGAAAGATGAAAGAAGAGTGACTGGAATGAATAACACAGCTATAAGGGAAGCATATCTTCCATCCATGAAATGTTAGTTCTTGATAAAAACCAGTATTCAGAAAAAAGACCAAATTTGTTTGTTACTTATTTATTTGTTTATTTTATTTTATTTTTTGCATTATCTGCTCCCATTGATTGCACCATTTTAATTTCCAACAAAGCATTTACCAGTTCTTTCCATCTTTATTACTTATTATGTTTTTAGCAGCAATGAAGAATGTATAAACTCAAAATCTTTGATCAGAATAATTTGGTGATTTTACTGAACTTATTTTAATAACAAATGTTTGCATTAGTGATATGAATCATTGTTCGTTTAATAAAATGAATTTCTGATTTGTTTGAGCTACATTCTACCATTTATATTACATTTGGATAGGATGGAATTTATAAATTACATTAATTGCAGTAAGTCATTATCCTAATTATCATTGTATGGACAAAGCATTTTACACTTATTTGCATAACTTTAATGGATGACAAGCTTAGCTTTCTTCATTTTCCCTTTTCCCATGGGTTTTTCGAAAAGAATAGCTTTCGCTTCGGGTAATTCACTAAATCGCAATAGCAAATCGACACACGAAGAAAAGATGGAACGTTAGTGCTACGAATTAAAAATCGGAATTACTATACAGTATTTTGACCAGAAAACTTGAGAAGAAAATTGAAACAAATCGTTCCAGATATTTAATTTTTTAATAAGCACTGTCCCAAAAAAATTTTTTCCTATTTACAGTAACAATAAAGAAGAAATGGCGTTGAAATGGCAAGGACTACTTTTAAACAATTTTTTTCAATTTATTTTTATTCAACTTTAAAAGGACACATCAAAACAACCAATATCACACAAACTGATTTCTTCATTATCTTTTTTCTTCTTTTTTCTTTTTGATTAATCATTAAATTAGGAAAGAATTAAACAGAAGTTGTCCTGATCTCTTCTGTAAATTTAAATGAAATAAAAGATCTAAACATTTGTTTATTACAATCTGGATAATATAAAATAAAATTCGCAACTAAATTTTTCTTTTCTTTTTTTGGTTACGACTATTTTTCTCTAAAAAATAGTAGATTAATAAACATGAATAAGCCATTAATGTTTTTCAGATTAATGGCGGAACATTCACAACCAATATTAACATCCAACTGTTGTAAAAACACAACGAAAAAGTTTAATATTTCTGTTGAATTCAACAAAAAAAAAGAAAGAGAAAAGACCTTACCATTTCTCTGACTATAAAACCTTAGATTATGCCTTTTAAATTTAATTACTCGACAGAAATCCAATAAATAAAAAGCAAATACTCCTCAATATTCGGAAAAAGTAAGTCGGAAATAATCATGGAATGGAATTAATGTATTTATATTCTCATATTCTTTATTTTCTGAAAGCATTTAGCATAATGAATTGCTCAATTAGAATGATCCTTGTTGTATTGCTCATTTTTATTCCTTCGAAGCATTTTTTGACATTTCTTTCTTTTTTTAAATGCCAATAAGTAATGGTAAATTTATGAATAATTAATATCATTCCTTAATTTTCTAGTAATCAAAAGTGAGTACGAAAAACAAAATGCCTTAAAAATATGAAAAGTCAGAAAATATGGCTAAATTATTTCTTTCCCTTATGAGACACTTTCAAAAATGCACAAACATATAGAAATGACAATTTGAATATTTTTTACTAACAAAAGCAGAATACTATGTATATTTTGCATGAAATCATTTCAAATATTTATAGGAGGAGTTAGTCTTCTTTCAAGTGAACTTATAGAATGAATAATTTTTGATTACTTCAAGAAATTTCCACAATGTCCGATATGTATAAATGTTGAGAAAAACCCAAAGCAATAACAGATGGAGACAAAATTATGTCATTCCCTAAAACTAAAGAATGTCTTAATTTTAAAGGAGATTTTAGACAAATACAGAACTATTTCAATTTGTAGCAATCATTTATACCAAAGAACATTGTTTATGTTCAAAATTACTCCAAATTTCATTGTGAAGATTTTCCAGTCTGATAGCCAAACTAAAACTTTGCTGTTTATAAGGTCGTAAACCCTTCGTTCAACCAACCCACCTTCCTGTACTTAATTCTCGGTGCCGAGAATCCATAATATAGCTTCTCCTCTCGCATTCATTTGGTTCTTAAAGTCTATATTGTTGATATAGGTTAATACTTGTGTGTCTCATGGTTGCAAGCCATCTTATGACTACTTCTCAATAATAACTATTCTAAATTAAACACAGTCCAAGTTAACGACTTTATGTGAAGAATTTTATTTAGACTGAAAACAACCGTTCCCATCAGTGTAACTATGACAATTAGCGATCATTGATTTGAGGATGACATCATCAACAAATCTCAAGCAGTAGGTCTTCTTCATATGGTAAGTGTCATGTCAACAACACAGGGTGCACAGGAGAACTGAACCCAGCTCAGTAAAACGCCCACACACAGTACTAACCACTGAACTACCAATACCACACGCATCGTTAATAACTTTAATTATATCTTCGTGGTTTGTTCATTAGACCACTCACTATTATTGTTAAATTTAAATTGTAAACTAAGTCGGAGGATTGTGGTTGAGTTACTTTCTTCGACTGAATGTTTACCATGTGGGAATTGAGATGCATTCAGCGTAACGAATTCAGCTAAGCATGCCACTCATTGCTTAAAATTCAATTGATTTTCCCACGGCAGAAAGACATCAAATGATTTAGTTAATTAGCAAATTCAAAATATCTTAATTACTGCATAAGGAATGTCGACTGATACTTTAGAATTTATTAATAAAAAAAGAAATTTTGTTAATTTTAATTGAATGTTTTCATCTGAAAATGTCCCAACTTGACATCATTTGAAAGTCTGTGTGTGTATGTATCTGTCTGTCTGTGTGTGTGTGTGTGTGTGTGTGTGTGTGTGTGTGTGTGTGTGTGTGTGTGTGTATCTGTCTGTCTGTGTGTGTGTGTGTGTGTATCATGCCAATTGGCAAAATTCCACTAGTTTTTTTGAAATGATAGAAGAGAATTTCGTCCAATGCTCTGATCGCCGAGTTTCACTGTGTAATTCTGTAAGAGACGAATGTTTTATTTGACAATAAATTGATAAATTTGCTTAAAAAGTGTCATTTATCTTCCATTTTTTGCACAGAATCACAACGTCCGCTAAGTGCTTTTTCTCTTTCACGTAACACGTAAAATAATCAATTTTTCACGTAACGCAGGAACAGTTTGTTCCCTTCCGTACATATGAAAACTTCTAGTTTCGTTGTTTCTGCTCCTTTCTTTAGCTTTTGTTTCGTTTTCTTTTTTTTATTGCGTTTTTCAGGTGACATAGAAACATGATAAATTAGTCTTTGAACTTAAGAGAGAGAAGGAGGGAGAGAAAGAGAAAGGGAGAGAGAGAAAGAGAAAGGGAAAATTGTCCAAAGCATACAGTGAATTAATTTTCCTTCTTCTCTATATTTCATCTTTATTCTTTATCCAATTGTAACAATTCTTTTTTCCATTACAATTTTCATTTAGAAAAATTACACCATGCTGGCTAATTCATTATGTCGGACGAGAAAATGGAACTGAGCGCTGCATTCGTTCACAACTTTTCATCAGATTTTACTTATTTTTTTAGTTGGTAGGTTTCTCAGTAATTTTGCCCGAGCATTTCAACGACTGTTTTTGCGAGAGTAATTCAATTTCATTAGTTATATATCTCCTTAATATATGGAGAATTCAACTAAAACTTCTGATCATATCATGATCACTATATCATGATTATCGTTGTTATATCCTAAATCAAACTCTTGAATTCCTCAACACTTCTAGCAGCGATGTAATTTTCTCTTTTCAACCATTCCTACAAAAATCGATAAAATTTCTGTAATATGATTTCAGTAATACTGGAGAATATTATTTTCAAAAAAGATGACAGTATATTCGATCTACAAAGTGGAAGTTTCAAAAACATACATTCTTGTGTTTGTCAATGTTAGGCATCTCATATCCGATGATAGCTTATCAATTCTTCAACTGTAGATAATTTATCAACAAAAAATTCCAGTTTGATACGTTCAGTGTAACATTTCTCGAAGGACTTTGATGTTTTATTATGAATTTTAGTTTCAGTATAGATAATCAATTCTTCCGTTATGGATTATTTATCTACGTTTTCATGAATTCTTTCTTTTGTATGCTAAAAGATGTTTCCGTTCAATCTAGGATGACATTTTTTCATCCTCAGATTGCAAAATTTGAAATTATTTGAAATCTGTATCTATAGCTCTTGTCGTTCAACTGTGTATAGAATCTTTGATGTCCATTTCTTCTTCATCTTAGCTTTATTCAAATTCCTCAATTGCTTCTAACAAAATCGAGCAGACTGTGCATCGAAGTCAGAAAATCTCAGTTTACTCGTATAATTAGTCATATGAAAAAACCACAAGCATAAATGCTTTAGTTTTTGATTCTGTTTCCATCAGACATTTTTGTGCTCTAGCAAATATTTCGTTGCAAAATATCACGAAAACACTTCTTACATGTCAAATTTCAAATTTCATTGTGATTGAAAGTCACAGATAAATGACAGAAATCATATTTTATCATTTTTTAAAATCTTTTCTATACAAAAATATATCAATTGTTGTAGTTGACTAAAATTATAAGTCTAACAAATTTCTTATCAATAAAACAGAAAGTGATAAGAAAACCATGGTGATGTACATAAGAGAGTCATAGTGTTTGAAACGCCATCATGGAGTATATTTTTTTCTACTGTTTAAAGTATCTATTGTCAATTTCTGAGTGAATCGAATGACTACTCAGATAATTTTGTATTCGAGATTTTTGAAATTGCTTTATTTCAAAATGCAGTAATATGTCACACACTCCATTTATGTTTTTATTGCTCCATAAAGTGAAATACTGAACTTCATTTCAACACTTTTTCAATTACTTCTAACTTCAATAGCATAAATATTCATGGAAATAATAATCAATAAAAAAGGCATCAGAAATGCATTGTTAACAATTTCTTTTAATGGTTAATCAGCATTTTCAAAAGAGGATTCCACGCACGAAACACGCATACATACGTATGTGCACAAACAACCAAATGTAGTTTGTTGAATTCATTAAATTCTCAACAATTATTAACTCTAATAACGAGGTGTTTGCTTGCAACTGCAAGTTGACATCGACCTTCAACTGCTGCTTTATCAACGACTGAAAACAATTCCGTGCAGTCCAACAAAAATTCATGATCCCTTATAATTACTTGAAACAGATGGCTAACTAGTTATTTCCGGAAGCTCAATTGCAAGCGTCTGTCAGGTATGTAATGCCAATATATATATATACTCAATAAAATACGAAAATTTGGATCGATTCTATTTCTGGAAATCTATTGTTCCGGTCTACTCATCAGAAAATACATATTTAAACTTGCGCTCATGAACTGCAAGACAGGGACTTAAACAAGAGAAAAGTAAATGTAAAAGATTCTTAATAAAAGTAATAATTTCACAAGTTATTCCCTGATGGTTAGATTAAACGAAATTAGATCATGAGTAGATTAACTTCCAAAAAGTGTTGTTAGTCCTTGATCAGATAGCTTATTTTTCTTTCGCTGTATTTGTTGCACAAAATTCAATTTTCCTATTTTTTTCCTGAATCATTGGGGAATAACTTGTGAAACTATTAATTTGTTGAGAAGCTCTTGCATAGTCATTGTTCTCATTTCAAATAATCTTTCTAAGACTGTTTTACTAGAATGAGTGATAAGCATTTAATTACGTATTGTTATAGAATATTTATCATAATATGAAATTTAAATCCAGAATTTTGAATCGACTAAGCACAATATTCCATCATTTCTTTCCTGATTGAATGTTATACAACAATTATTTCACCTGGCAGCCGAAACCAAGTTTTGTGATTTCTTCAAAAATTAAAAGGATAGCAAAGGAATAGATCAAGCATAAAAAAGAAAGAAAGTGGTAGGGAAGAAAAGAGAAAAGGAGAAAGTGAAAATGGGAAACAATTAAATGTCATAAGTAATCTATTTAGAAGTTCTAATTCATGATGAATCTGCCATTGTCATAATTCATCTATCATTAAGGCACACTGCTATTAATAATTGCTAAATTCTTGGCATCTCGTAAGAAAGTATGAAAGTGGAAATGAAATTGACATTTCAATGAAAATTTAACACAACTGGACATTTTACTGTCTGGCAAAAAAATCTCGAAAAGGAATGAATGTCTCTTAAATTAATTAAATAATCAGAAGTATTAGGCATCGCTATGCTTGGTCACATTTACAGGCTGGTACATCAATCATATCTATTCTTGCCATATACTCCTTCCTCATAAAAAAGCCTTATTAATTTCAGTTGACAAACCAAACTGACGTCATTGCAATATTTCATATATCATTACGAAAACGGAAAAAGAACTTTCTACGCTTTCATTTTCAAAGGTCATAAAAATGATTGATTTCTTATTAACCCTATCAGGAAAATTTCTACATCTCGTGAAATTCAAGCATTTAAGAACTGAAATTTACTTCTTCAAATTATCTGTGGAATAGTTACTAGTACTGAATGTAGAAATTACTTGAAATTATTTAATGACATTAAAATATGTTTCATTTGAATGATTTAAATGAACAGACAATCCAATATTGTCTCATTTGCAAATTGCCGCAAACTAGGAGAAAAAGTTGTCAACAAGCACCTTGAATGTAGATAAACTGATAAACGTGTAAACAAATATAATATTCTAAGCATCTTTAGATATTTGCAAAGATCAAAAGAAAAATCGGTAAAAAGGAACTGATTTTTTTCACAATGGTTAAATCTCACTTTAATGCAAATATAAAATTATATTATATGAACAAAATTTTAAAGTCGGATTAAATTTCGAAAAAGAATATAAATATCTCATGAAAGCTTTCAATGTCAAGAATATAGCTTTAAGCATTTACATTATATTATGGAAAAAGAGAGAATTTTAAATAAGGCTCTATTCGTGAACATAACGAACAAGGTTATAAACAGCATAAAAAAGTAGAAATGATATAGAAACTGTTCGTTGAAAAAAAAAGCTAAACTATTTTTAACTTTATATTTAGAATTAAATTTCACATTGCTAAAATAATCAAAATTTCTCAGAAAAGATGGAGATTCTAGCAAAGGCTAGAAAATTTAAACATTCCAAGAAATAAAGTGAAGGCGACATTTTATCCTGTTTAGCAATTTAATTTCCATAATTGTATGATCTACAAATTCGACTTCTCATGCACAGAAAACGCCTTTAGCAGTTTAAAATTTAGAAACAGAACAGTAAGTGCCCGGAATGAATTTTCTTTAATATAACTTGCAATTTCTATCTAAAAGCAAATATCTCTTTCATCTCTTTCGATCAAAGAGATAAAAAAATCAGCGAACGAATGATGTAATGAGTATCAAAAAAAAAAAAACAAATGTAATGAGACTTTGTTTGAAATTCACCAATAAATTCAACATCACTAAACATGCAATAAATAGCTTGTTAGAATTTAAAATTCTATAGATTTAAACTTACACTTTGCAAAGATATCAATTGAAAATTTTCAAAAAGATTCCTCTAATTAATGAAAGAAAAATGATAATAACATTTATTTGCTTTTTTATAGTTACTGTTTCAGCGATAAGAATTTTGCTTTGAAATTTAATTAATATAAAATCCCTGAGATGAGTGAATTAACTCAGTTTAAAAGTATTAAATAATTGAGTGCTGCCGTTGAATAAAAAAATTACCGACAACTCAATTATTAATGGAAAGTTCAACCTTGTTTGAGAAAAATGGTAATCGGAAATTCTGATAAGCTTACTAATGAATGGTTTTGTCTTCTTCTGCTTAATCAGTAAATGAATAAGCTAAGATTAATGATAGTGTAGCATTTGCTAATTAACCAACACTGTTTCAAGTATTTAATTTAAGCTTATTTCATAACTGCAATGAATTATCTCAATATTATCAACTCCAATGATGTGTTTAACAATGATTGCCTTCATCCAAAAAAACTTAATATGAAAAACACTTTTAATCATTTCTTTTCATTTCCATATTGTTAAGAAGCATAATGCATCTGATGCTATGACGCAGTAAACTCGTTCGTGGTGCGTTGAAGAATGACACTGATATGACACATGTGAGAATGGTCAAATATGGATGGATCAGTTAGGAAAGATGGATTTTAGGCAATTCGAGATTGCAGTTTGCAGAGTTGAAGCCTAGTAATGGACAAGCATTAAAGGCGGAAGAAATGATGAGGAGCTAATATCTGGTTGTTAATTAGTATGATTTGGATGCTGTGATAGGAAAGAAAGGGTAGAGAGTTCAAATGGGAGAGAGGAAGGAAGGAGGGCTGTTAGGAATGATATAACAGCAATTGGATTACTAAACCTAACGGATAATTCCCATTCTGCTAGTCTAAAGTCGTTACTGCAACGTCGTATATTTAGATGTCATGCTGTTACATTTTTCAACCGTTTTCTAATTTTAGTTCAAAATTTGACTTCCCTGTCAATCAGTCATTCATCATTGTATGAAGTCTGACCACTTTGTTTAACTTGGATTAATCTCGATGAGATTATTTCCAGACAATTGAAAAGCAATGTGACAGAAAGTTGGGAAAGATTATCTGGTATTAACTGAAAGAAGTTAAGTTTGAAAAGTTTCGTGAGTGAATGAATTGTACTGAGAGGTTCAATGTCTAAAATGTTGTTCCATTTCTCCTTCAGAAGGTCGGAACACTTCGACTGTATCATTATTTGAGATTTGTTGACAATTTCAATGATTGTTTGAAATATATGCGATCTTCTCCAGTGAACATTTTAGACAAAAACGAATTTATATGCCATAAAGTCTAAGAAATTGTTTGAAAAGGAGAAATTCGCATAGTCTTTAATGTTTTTTTTCTCTTTTTAGGCAGCAAGTAATATCTTAAATGGAATTGATATGATATGATAAATGATAAGTCCTTCAGATTAAAAATGCACCGTTAATGAAAAAAGATTCCAATACATACAAGATCACTTCATTGGCTTACACTCTTCAACTTTTTTATCATTTTTAAATAAGTATGAAGCAATTTAAAAAGCGAAACAAAGGATTTAAATCAAAATTGTTTGTCATCAGATAATCTGAAATAATTGATGATAGATATGCAAAATTATAGGAGACAATTTAAACAAATAAATTTAAGAATTAATAATGATACGAATGAGAAAAAGAGGACTGAATAAGAACTGAATTATGATCAAATATTTCAAAATTGATGAAGCAGTAACAACATAGAACACAATTCACTTCAATTTAACTTAATTCCAGGACTTGTTATAGCCATAAAATTTTATTTTGTTTTTTCATAATGATGCATGGATTTGATAAGAAATATTAAGTATATGTGACACAATTTTTCTATTTTTGGCCGAATATTGTGACTCTGTGATTTTATGGCTATGCCACATTCAGGCACTTTTCTAGCAACATTTCAGAGATAAAACTATTATTTAGTTAGAGAAATTATTGTCGTATTGGAAGAAATAATATCCATAATCTGATAAAGTCTTAAATGGAAATAATTATATCTCTAAGCAGAGTAATCCTAAATAATCATCTACAGTTAATACATTAATGTTTTAGTAAAATAGGAGTAGGATCAATAATGAAGTAACTTATGATAATGATAATTAAGGATGATTGGTACTATTATTAATCGATAATAATTTTTAAAGTTCCATCTGAATTAAGAAATCATTTTAAAACTAAAAGTTTTGTTCGGTTCAAAAAATTCAACACATGCTTTTAGCATCTTTCATTCCGTTTACACTTCTCTATGGTAAAAAGATTTTTTTGAATTTGGGTTTAATTATGCGAGACTAAAATGAAATGAAAATATTCAGTTTATGAAGCATGATTCTATAAAGCGTAAAATTGCGTCAGTAATTGTTTTCTGGGACAAACAGGGAAATTATCATAGACAGAACACCTGCTCTATTTATTTCATAGACCTACGTTTCATCCTACGTTATTGCAAATATCATATATATAATATATTTGAAAACATTTTTTCGGAGAGCTTTATTTTTTAAAAGATAAACTTATTGTGATTATTTATAACAAACAGAAAAAAGTGGGAATTTTTTTAAATGAAATTTTTCGTTGTCAGTGATCGAAGAGAAAAAAAATGGACTTCTTTTAAATGCTGTAGCTTGATTACATTATTTTTTTCTTTATTATGTCTATTCTGTCTCAGTTAAATTGTTTTGGCTATTTTAGACAGGTAGGTGTTTTTGCCAACAATTCAATTCATAAATGCATGCAGCAATGCATCATCAATTTCTTGTTTATGGTTGAAAGTGGCAAGCATAAATGTAGTTGCATAGATGCATTGCTTAAATTTTTAATTTGAAGCAAACTGTTACGTAATTGACAATTTCCTTTCTTGCAAATCTCTGCAAATCTTTTTTTTTTTTTTTTTTTTTCATTCTATCAAGAAAATTTTTTCTTCTTGAAAGCATAAGATAAAAAATTTATCATTGCAAATATTTAAATACTTCCTAATGTAAATTGAATAATCCCTTTCAAAAGAAGAAAAAGAAATTTTTGAAAAATTCAAAGTGAACTTATCAATGTTTATCAGTTTTATTACCAGATTATAATTGTTGTTGTTAAGTTCGATTTTAAACTATCTCAAATTGCACTATTACCTTTTTTGCAATTTTTTCTTTTTAGACGTTTCCATTAAATATTTTGAACACTTTGATCCCTAATTAATGGCTAACAAATGTTAAACTTTTGAGTACTATGAAGTTGCGCCATTATTAGATTCCTTTCTGCCATACGAATATAACTGACAGATCATTTGCCACTGTATCAGACGATGAAATGCAATGAATCACAGTAATGCATCTTAGTCATCGGCCCTTGTGGTATAATTGATAAAGTAATCATCCATCCATCAGACTAAGCCATTTCTGTCAAAATGATGAGAAGCGATTGATGAAGAACTGAGCTATAGGAAAGGCTTACTTATTTAACATTTCTCTTTTCAGAGTTGATTGGAAGACAAGGAAGTAATTTTAGAGTTAGAATGAGAGTCTAACCTTGACTAAAGGCTATTTGGAATTGATTGGCAAATTAAGAAAATGAAACTTTTTCAATACGTTTGCATGCCCTTTTTGCAAAGATGCTTTTTCCGTATTGATTTTGTAATTCAAATTTGCGATAAATGTTGTATAAATTCGTTTACTACTGAGTGAATTAGATAGAGTGGAAATTACTAAACATTTAGTATCATTAATGATTGGTATTATTAAATTATTAATGAATGACTATAAAAAGAAGATAAATGACTTTTAAATGCATCCACTAACATGCTTTATCCTTTACTCCTCTCCAACGTTTCAGCGGATATCAGTTAAAATTTTTATTTCATTAACAATAGCTTTGATACTAGTAACAAAATATACTTTGATACTAGTAACAAACTTTATAAAATCTAATCTTTAGTCAACTTTTAGCTTTGCAGAAATGTTTTCCAAGAATTTGAAATTTTATATTTTCCAGATTTGCTTAATTTTAGATTCAAATTTCAATTTTTTGGAATTAAATTTTTGGATGTTCTAAAAACATTTAAAAGGCAAATTTTTAGGTTATCAAAGTTATATTTTAATGCTAACTCAAATTAAATTGAAAAGTGAAAAGAAAAGTTGATTTTCACCAGTACATTCATTACTGCTTTAAATTGAAAGAACTTATTCCTAGAATTTTAGGAACAAGTTGATATTATGATGTTATTTAAAGTTTAATGAATTAGCAATGCCTTGAACTTATGTTTTTACAGATTTTTTAACAATCACCAAAGAAATTTTACTTTTTCATATTTCATGTACTCTTACTGTGCTTAACCTATAATTAATACGTTTACCTCATCTTTCACAAAGATTCAGCTTACTATTCATTAGTTGATAGCAGATTCTCATACACTTATTTTTATCAATTTGCAAATGATCGCACAACAATTTGGTTGAAACATACAATGTTTTAATGTCAACTTTTATCATATCATAAAATTACTTCAAATGCAGTGTAAAAGTTAAGCTAACCTAATTGTTTGCTGTAGAAATGAGATTCTTGTATTTTATAGAATAAATGTTTTTCTCTTTTGATTTTGCAAAAGTATCAAATCTTTTTTCCTTTAAGCATTAATATCAGTGTCCCATCAAAATATTTAACATTCTTATCATACATGAATTGGGAAATTACTTGACTTAGCTGAGAAGTAATAATCAAAATTAGCAAGTGAGTTATCAGTAGCATAAGTTCTATCAGCATGCTTATCACTTGACTAATTAGTCCCATCTGATTACATTCAATCTGTACGCGTTTTATCTGATAGTCCGATTTAGAAATTATGCTGTTGCTGAATTATTGTGTGCTTTTTTTACAATTAGTTCGATGTGCTTTGAGATAACTTCAAATAAAGGATATAATTAATTATTTGATTACAGAAAAATGGAAAATGATAGATACTTGAAAGAACAAAATTAACCTTTTGTCTAAACTTATCAGTACGATCAAAAGAAGCTTCATTATCTATCTTTTTCCTTTTTTTTTATCTTGAACTCTAAAATTCAGCACTGCACATTTTGTGATACATCTGTTGTTATTTGATAATTTTTTGTTTCAAAATTTTGTTCTCAGATAAAAACTAGAAAGAAGCATTGTCGACAGCTATATGGAAGAACACATAAAGTGTAGTTAAGAACTGAATTGATGTCAGGTTGCTAGAGATAAATCATAGATATTTGACAGGAAGATGGCAATTCGAATGGCATCTCCGCTTTAAACTGATTTGCTGGAATTTCCAAGGAACATAAAATCAGACAAAGACTTCCTTGTACACTTTAAAAGTTTCAACATAATGGAGAGATGATGAAAAAAAGGGACACTGTTGCAATCTTTTAAAAAAATTTTGAAAATTTGCATCATAAAAGATACTTTGAGGGAAAGAATTAGTTGTTTACGAATTAATATTACAATAGCTTTGGATTTTTAATTCAGTAAACTTTGAAAATATAAAAGGAAATCAAATTTTCATCTATATTGGTAATATTTATAGTTTCAAAGCTTTTTTGCGTAAAATTTATTTTTTCCTTATACGATGCTCTACTGCTCAATACAATACAGAGAAAAGTACTTTATCGTATTGAAATACCTTTTGAAATTTATTTTATCCAGAGGTATTTATCCTAGAATTAAAACTTTAACAATTGGGCCTTTTCTGGCTTGAGATAGGATGAAGCATTTCTTTTTTTTTTTAGTAAGAAGAAGCTAGTTATAAATATTTATGAAGTTAAAGTAAGTAATTTAATGTTAATTGATATTAAATAGTAGGCCAGATTAAAATCCAAATCATGAACGAGACTGAAGCCATGGAATGCGCGGAAAAGAATGAAGGATACGATGATGTCCGATTTGCGCTAGTGGTTTATATCGGCACACCGGTTGCTTTCTTAGGGACTGTCTTCAATGGAATACTATTGGTAATTCATTTAACGTAATCCTTACAATTTAAATAATTCTAATTATAAGAATTAAACTGCTTTAATAGATTTAGAGTTGTTTTTAAACTATTTAATTTAAAGTTATTAATAATAACTCTTCTAATTCTTATAGTAGGGACATCTCAGACTTAATCATATGTGCAAGTAATTTTAAGTAAAGGGTGATACTGTTAACATTTAATTCATTAAGAAGTAAAATTAAGCTTTTCAACAAGATTAATTTATAGAAATAATTAAGATCTTCTTGATTAAAACTTTCTTAAACTTTTTAAGAAAGAAATTCTTTTTTCAGATTATATTTTGTCATAAAAAATCATTGAATTCACCTGATTTTTATTTATTATTTTTGGCGATATTTGATATGCTCATTTGTGTGCTTTACATACCCTTTTTCACTATGGATGCATTGGCTATTTATTATCAAATTAAATCACTTCATCACTTGTGGCACACGTACGTTATGCAAATATACTGTATGAGTCGATTTGGTTCGTTTTACTTCCACGTTGTCACTATCACTTATTTTTCTTTATTTTTTATTGATGAGTACCAGTATGTGACATCATGACGTCTAGGTCACAGTTAAATATATCTTAAGGATGAATATAACTTAAGTAAACTTTATGTTCATAATCCCTTTTTATTGAAACATTTTCCTGTAAAGTTTATTAAAAGATAACATTAGTTCATTAAAGATTTATATTTGCCAAAAGATTTATAGATTTATATTTGATTTATATTTGTCAAGATTTATATTAAAGATTTATGTTAATGAACATTCCAAAATTTGATGAAAAATAATGATTATTTATTCAACTTTTTAATATCACTTTAAATTTAACTAAAATTTACATTGCTACAGTACAATTCGGTGCCGTATATATGATGTTATGCGCAACATTTGAACGCTTTGTTTATATTTCCAGCAAACAATGTCTTAGTTGGTTTATTACGTTAGTTTCTATATTACAATCTTACGAATCAAAATGAAAAATTTGAAAAGTCAACAATATCTAGGAATTAAGAATGACAATGTGAGAATTCAGGCATTTGAAAATAATTAAAATTCAAATGGTATTTTTTATTTCCCTAATTTTAAGGTGAAAATTGCTGATTTATCTAATGTGTGAATTTCAATTTATAGTGATAATGGACGACTGATAACTGCAATTGTTACATTGGTTATATCATTAATATTCCGATTTCCAACTTTTTTCGATTACAAAATAGTTTACCGCGCAAACTGCCCACCTTTTCAGGTTCTGAAATTAGTATTTGATTTCGAGTTATAAACAGATTTCAAATTTTATTCTTATTTTCTGATAATTCCTTTCTAAAAGTAAGTTCGAAAGAAGCGTTTCAACAGTTTTTCCTCATAAATAAACTTGATATTATAAATTTAATCTTGCTTTAGAGAAGGTAATTAAGTAACACCATAACATCGAACAAATTGATTATTGTAAATTAATTCATGAATTTGTACTTTGATAATAGTCTTACTTCATTTTGATTTATTTAATCTGTTATAGATATTATAATTTATATTTCAAATCAACAAATTTTAACAGTCTAAGCCGATACTCTAATTGTAGTTATTGAATTTAAAAATAGCATCCAAAAAGTCTCTTTTAAAAATTAATAAGAAATATTTGTTTTCAGGATTACCTGTTTCTACCAGTGCTAATGAGTTATCCATTATACACGAAATTTAATTTTTACATGATGAGTATTGTGCAAACAATACTTCCATTTATATTACTTACTTGCTTCAATATAATTATCATATATTTAACTCATAAGCGACTTTACAAAACTTCACATGACATGAAATTTTATATGCTCGGATTTACTGATGTCATCAGACAAGGTAGACAGACTTTTCAGCATTACAACTAGCACAGAATAGCAAAATTGTCAAAAAAAAAAAAAAAAAAAAAAAACTGATTCAATCTTCATTTTTTAATAATAAACAGTAATGTGATTATTTCGAAATAAATAATTATTAACTCAGTTTCAAAAAAGAAAAAAATGGAAAATGATCCAAAAAAAAAGCTTCAGAATCAAAAAACCGTAAAATTCATCAAGAATTGAAGTATGCTACTCGTACAATGGTGGCGATTGTGTTCACTTACTTAACTTGTAATGTTTTTTCCGTTTTTATGTCAGTGATGGAAAATGTTTTTCCTGAAAGTTCGATGCTTGTGGATAATTATGGATCAAGGCTAGTTTCGAGATTTGATTTAAACATGATGATAAACTTTGTCAATAATAAAAAAGTTATCTCATTCTAAAATTTAAAAAAATTTTTTTTTTTCAAGTCGTTTACAAGAGCGAAATGGTTGACAATTAGCCTTCTGATATTCTTATCAATCTTATAACCAATTCTTTAGGGAATATATTAAAAAATGGGAAATCCCAAAAGCAAATCAAATTTTAGGTTGAAAGCAAATATGTGCAATTTTTAAGAAAATTTAAACTTTGTTTTCACATTCTTTTAAAAAGAATTTTCGAGTATTTCTCAAGCAGAGTTAATTATTTTAGTACAAAATTTTACACTATGGCAGCCGATTTAGTAAGTATTTTGGTAGTGTTAAACAGCTTATTGCGAATGACTGTCCATATGATATGCAATCCACAATTTCGAGAACGGTTCAAGCTCATTTTAGTCAAATTCAGGTTTTAATTTTTTTTTTCTTTTTTTTAGTAAATCAACAATACAAATAAATATAAAAATCAAAACAACTTTTTCAATGTTTTCAATTCTTATTCAATTATCACTTCATTTTTGCAACTTCTCTATTGAATTTATACATGAAATGACCATTTAGCTCATGTTGGATACCTGTGGCTAAAAGTGACCAAGCGATGAGCAATGACAGTTAGCATGGCTATTCATAAGAAATATGTCACTGAAGGGCTGAAGCAAATGCGTTTATTACTGTCCGAGAGAAGTTGGAGCTGTGAGGTGAAGTCAGTTTCGGACGCGAATTTCATTTGAATTGCTTTGAAAAACTGATACTACGCTTGTGATTTCATACTTTGTTAAGTATATAAAATACTGTTTCATTCCTGTGCCTATTACCTCGCAAAATATATTGCAAATTAAAATTGTTGAGTACATCTCTTTGCTGATTCGATAAGACGATCTGTCTTCAGCGATGTGTCTGTGACAGAAATCAAAATGTGATATATTACCTTTAGCTTATTTGAATCATATTGATTGCTTGTACTCCGATTAAGCATTGGGGAAAAAAACTGTATGCTTCGATAAAATTTTAACCGAAATGATATTGAAACAAAAGACATATTGTTTTTACTTGTTTTTTTGTAGTTTTGTAATAATTTAAAAATTTGAATCAAATATATTTTCAATAGAAATCAGTTCATATTTCTATTTTTAAATCTAAGTATATAGAGAAGTAATTGATGTAATTAAGGAATTAATTAATTCAAATCTAACATCTTGCTATGACAAAATTAATAAATATTTAAATTAGGAATTCATAATTAATAAAGGAAAGAATGAAATATACTTACAGTCATTCATGTATTATACAAACAGCTCATATAACATTAAACGAAGGGAGTTTATGGCTTATTTGGTAAATAAGTAATTAATTAGAGAAAATTTTGAGGAACTTTTGATGCCATCTTTCTAAATGAATATTATAATTAAAATTGATCAAAGCAGTGTGACTTTTTTTATGATTACTTTAATCTGAAAACAATGAATAAAAAAATGTGAATTTTTAGTTGAAATGATAGTTAAAATTCTGTAAACATTTATAATTATAATTAGAATGAGTACCAAATAAGATGTTCTTAGCTTCAAGATTGAACAATTTATATTGAAATAGAATTTAATGCATTCAATGTACGGCTGGGCAAGTTGATGCGTGAAGTAAAGAAGAGTCTTGGGGAACTCATTTCATTACGTCACTTATCACGTTGCGTAACACGTGTGGCGTGCAAAACAACTGTGTGATGATTATGCAAAAGTTATTAATTTGGGCAAATAAGGCCTTTTAATATTTTTTTTTTTTTTTTTTTTTTTTTTTTTTTTTTTTTTTATATAAAATCAGTGTTGATTTCTTCATTTTCCAACCCACTTTAAGACTCAAAAAATTTAGGTTAGATATAAGTGGATATAAAATTTCAGTAAAACTATACCGACTGACGAAAATTATGTTTAAAATAGAATGAAAGAAAACGGAATTGTAAATTGAAAAAAATGACAAACAAAGGACAGAAATTATCGAAATAATTCTACCAACTGATAATTTATATTTCTTTGATTTTTTCTACGAAAAAGGAAAACAATCTGTCTTTCTCATTGTGAGATAACGGTACTTTTTTTCTTGAAATGTAATGAAGAAATTTTTAAATGAAGTTTTGAAGTACGTAATGAAATCGAATTTGCAATCAGTGATATATTAGATGTCACCATAAGTTCTATGAGGTACTGAACCTCTTGCGAGTTGGTGGAATTGAGCCTTAAACACACATTTTTCTTTCTTTGACTAAAAATACTAGAAAACACTGATAAAAAAAAGAATAATGGAAAAGAAACACGTGATTACGAATAAAAGGGAGAAGATGTCACATCACGTACGTCAAACTCCATCGAATATCACACTCAAAGACTGAGGCACGAGTTTCTTTACGATTTAATGAACTGAATGAGAATGTAGAGAGTCACTTCTGATATACCCTAAAAAAGGATTGACATAAGCAATTCCAGGGAATAGGTATCTTGCTAAATAAGGATAAGTGGTGAAGAGAAATGATTTGATCCAATGTCAAATGAAAGTATTGACCTTAGAGGTCAAAGTCTCATCACTAAAATATATAGACAGACAAACATACAAAAAGACATAATGGTATAGTGAATTTTTATAAGAGTAGAAATTTATCCTACAATGATTACAAAGTGGTCGCAGAGGTCAGTCGGTCAGCTGATTTTAGCTCCGAATTATCCACCCAATGATTATCACTATTATGAGTATCTTTTACTTATGATTCTGTCAAGCTGATATTGTTTGCGTTCAACTGCACTAATTTCAAATTTTTATTGGTGCAAAATTCAAGAACCATTAATTTCTATGTATCTATCATTATAAAAATATATTGCCATAAAGCCAAAATATTTTTCAATGCTAAATCTCATCTAAATGGATGTTTTATCAATGTTATCAATAATTATAGCATTTACGGACGAAATTATACTAAAGAGGTTTTAAGTATTAGAGACATTGAATTAAGTTAGTCATCGATCCATTTATCATTTATTTATCACTTGCTTCTATTTAGCATCCTTCTTTGTTTCGCACAATTTTAATCCTGAAAAGCTTTGTATTTTTTTCAGACTTTTGGTATTATTTCGACTTTGATCTGCATTTGTCTTCAAATCGAATTCAGTTTAAATTTAAATTGAGCAACGAGGAAATTGAAAATGTTCCGTAATAAAAAAATTTGTTTGGCGATTGTTATAAGCATGTTGGCGTGCCAGGTACTGCTGGTTGAAGCATGCACGCCCGCACTTGTTGAAATGTATACTAAATTATTTCATTTGGAAAAGCCTTGCACAGATACAAGGAAGAAAACGATACAAGTGGGACGGAATCCAGGTCGACTTGTGATTGTACATGAATTTGGCGCACATGACGGTAAGTTAGCTGGACTGATGATTTTGAAGTTCCAGTGGTAATTGTTCTTGATTGATGAATTTTATATATTTTAAAATGACTTAGGTTTAAGAAGTGAAATAATTAAAAATTAAATTTTTAATTATTTCTAAGTACTTTTGCAGTGGATAGCATTTTAACAATATTGGAAAGTTTGAAATGATTCAGATAATCTAAAAAATAAGCATGAAAGATTATTGGAAGGATTTTTTTAACTTAGAGAAATAAGTTGAGACGAATTACATCATGAAATATAAGTGAAGTTTATCAATTACTTACTTCTAACTTTCATTTTCTTTACTTATAGAATGCAGTGATAGTGATGAATGCCCGGAAAAGATTAAATGCAAAGATGGGTGTTGTTTGTGAAAGTATATATCTTGCAGCAAGCAGCAAATTGCTTTGTTAATCTGATCTGTTTATTTCGAATGTTTCTAATTATTTGTTTAACTTTGTTGAAAATTTTTTAATTTTTGATAAAATTTTCAAACCATTTTTCAATTGAATGAACTCATCTTCAAAATAAACACTTATCTAACATTTAGACTGAGCACAAATCAAATTTCACTTGAACTAATGGTATCACTCTGATATCAATTTCATCATTCGCTGATAAATGTTAAACTTATTATGAAATGCATTACGCCATGCCATAAGTTATAACTGATCTTCTCACCTCACTTCAATATTCATTTCTAAAAAGAATTTTATAAAATGCACTAAACCTAATTTAAAGAATTGAATGATAAATTTATTTAAATGATAATGTTTTAAGTATGTCAATTGATTTTTCATTCTCATTTAATATTATAGATGAGAAGAACTAGGCCAATCAATTTTATCCTAACAATCATAGGCCAATAATACAGTTGTAATCTTGTTATGGTTATATTCCCATTTTGAGCAACAACATTCCTGTTAAATTCGAAAATCGGTCTTTAAATTTTAGTTAATTTAAATTGTTATTAATACCAGGATTTCTTCTGGTATTAATAACGCAATTTGCACAGCATTTATTCATTAATTTCTTGAGAATGAATCAGAATGAACTTAACAGCTGCAAAATCATTTTCCATTATTCGAGATTCTTGTTTTGAATTTCGAATTTCGAAGCTATATTCTGCTATTATCACCAAAATAGGAATATCACATTGAATTTCATTTATTCAATGTTATATGCTTTAAATTTAATTTCTTTTTCTTTTCTTAAATATGTCAACTTCTTGACAAGACTTTCTTTTGATTCATCACAATTTTCATTCAGCAATAAGGAAAGATTATAATATTTGGGAGAAAATGGCATGAAATGACAAACATTTTCTAAAAAAGTACTTGCTGGGAAAAGTTGTTGGCAATAAGAATAACCGAAAGGTATTTTGTCTAAAATTAAAAATTCTATACATTCTAATATTTAAATATTTGATCAAAGAGAATTTAAATTCTGCCTTGAAAATTCATGACAGTCTTCGATTAGCTACTTGTGTGATAGTGTTCCATTACAAAGAATGCTGTGAAGCGAATCTTCTTAAAAGAAATTCAATTTTATAAAAGGAAAAGTTGTTTAAAGAAAAATAATCATTTAACTTCGATTGATCAAGTGATTCCAGTTGGCTTTATAATCTTAACGTCCTCTTATTTTCGCAAATATTTTGACGTTTTGTAGAAATTTTCCAAACATAAAAACAGTCTGAAAAAACGTTTATAGCACAATTTCAAATTATAAATTATGTAGCATTAGACTTCCCATTCTGCTGAAATTTATGATAACATTCAAAAAGAATAGAATTCGTTCTTAATGAAGCTCAAAAATTTTTTTGAAGAAAGAAATCAAGAAAAAAGCAGGAATACTTTTAATTATTTAGAGGAACTTATTAATTAGCAACAAGAGTGCATTGCTACATTGTTTATAGATATAAAAGATAATCTATTCACATTTACAGCACTAATTTTGCAAAAGCATAATTAACTTTTAAATATTCAAGTAATCACTGATATAATTTCGTCTTGTCAATTCTCAAAATAATGTCGCAATATTAATTATTCTTTATACTTAATGGATGATTAGTTGACGAGGAACGACAATAGAAAACAAGGAGAAGACTTTAATCTGCTTTATATTTGAAACCTTTTACAGTATTAAATTAACATTTAGTCTATATTTTTCATCTTTTCAATGTAAAATTAGAATGTGGCACATAGATTAAATGTTAATTTAATATACTATAAGAGGCAATTAGAACGTGGAAAAATTCTGAGTTTTCTTTTAAATATGATTTTGCTAAGGTTAGAAGGAAAGTGTAGTATAATGAGAGCTTGAAGTAGACCGAAGAAGTAATATCACGACAGCAAAGAAATTGAATAACGGACTGATTTAGGCGAAACAGATTGTGAACGGATTGATTTAGGAGGAACAGATTGTGATTGATCTTCAAAACAAAAACATTGAAGAATTTTTGTTATCAATGATTCGTTTGGATATCCTTACTTTTTTGCAGATAATTTGATATTTACTGCTTAATATCAGATAGTAAATAGCAGTAGTAGCACTGTTCAGACTAATAGAAATAGTTGACAATTCGGTGAGAAAACGGTAGTGAAAACTATTTGAGCTAATTGTTGAGATTTGTTCGAGAATATTATTAGTGAATGCAATCGAATTATATACCAGAAATTGAATTACCAATAGCACAAGCGCTATTGTCACTGCTTTGTTCCTTTTGTCTGCAATAAATGAGAATTTTTGTCTGAAAAAGTTCTTGTCAAACTTTTAAACAGTTCCATTCATTAATGCTAACTGTAATGGTAGTTAGTAGATTTTTTGACTTTTAAAAGTTGGTATCTTCCTTCTAATCCTAATTTGATTTTTGACAAGTATAATACAAATTAAATGATATTGTTAATTTTGATTTGGTCATACCATTGAAAATTCATTTTCTTAGAAAAACTTTTGAGAGTAATTTTAAAATTCCAATATTAATAGTATCATTATTTACGTAATATTAAATCTGACTATAATTTAATATTTTTATGCAAAAAGTTACAGGTAATAAAAGAAGCACCTGTTTCCTTGACTATTTTATTTTTGTGTACAATGATGTGAAGGTTTCCAGCATCAGTTAAATCTTTTATACACACTAAATCTGAAGCTTTTATCTGGTGATTCATTACATGCAATCTTCGACGTAATCTAAAAAGAACCGATATTAATTAAACTTAAATTACTTTGAAAACATGATTAGTTTTCAAATTCAGTTGCTTCATGTATTTTATATAAATATATGCATATGTAAAGTGATTACAATGTATTTTAATGAATTAATTGAATTAAAAAACATAAAATAGTGAGAAAACTTACAAACTTGATAAATGTAACGTCCTGATAATCTTCCAGTTGAAAGTAGTAAGCATAATAAATGGTATCAAAAACTTAACAATCATGTTAAGTATGATATGATAAGTTATCATAACAGCTTGGCTAAACATTAACATTGTTGGACGAACTACTATACTCATACTGAAATATTTGTTATTTGATGGTATAATATTATAAGTGTGAAAAAAAGTCAAATATTTGTGCGACTTCGTTAAAGTTTCAACTTAATGAAAAACCTTGCAGAATAATTATAGAACAAAATTTGAATTATTATTAATATATGAAAAAGCATTTTTGCTAATGTAATTTACAAATATTACTTGATAACATGAAGATAAAATTCATACAAAAAATTCCAAACATAATAAATTTAAAATCAAAAAGCAAAGATTAATTGTTTAATACAGTAATTTGAAGCAGTATGATTAGGTTTTCAATTGTATCGCAAAACTTTTAACATTATGTTTTTATTAATCGATTAAAAAAAATGAAATTCATTTTGACATTTCCATAAAATAAGAAAAGGATTGCTTTGATAAACATTGCATCAAAATTGGAAAGTATAAAATTTGTTCAAAAAAATTAACCGATGAAATATTTCACTACGACATGGAACACACTGGAATTCAAAACAGCGCGGCAAATTGAAAACTACTGAAAATACCACAGCACTTGTTATAGCTATATGAATTGATCGAGAATTGTTGTTATTTCGATATACCTACAAATGATAACAAAGTAACAATTATAATAAAGTTATAACTAATAAAAAAGTGCATCAACTTCCAGTTAGTTTCAAAGTTCTGAGAAGTAGCCTCTAATATATGGAGACTTACTTTCACTCCTAAATACTAAAACTTTTAACTTTATTTTATTTTGTGGAATAAAATTAAACAGAATATCAAGAGACACATAACTGTGAAACTGATTAATGTAAACTACAAAAGGACATGCAAATAGATTAGGATGAAGTTTAACATTTAAAATGAGAACAGAAATGATTAAAAATATGAAGTAAATAAGATTAATGATCATTATTTGAGCTTATCTTTACCATCGATATAACATGATATGATGGAATAATTAAAGAAGTATTATAATAGAAATATGTTACTTTTCATTACGTACAAATATTTTTCTTTGCTCTTTTTCAGTTTATTTGGTTCCTTCATACTTTTCTTGCTGAAACTCTTGAAATTATCTTTTTAAGAAATCAAAGCAAGAACTGAACTGATAATAGCAAGTTATCATCATCTTTGAGTTATTTTCAGAATAACAGGACTATTTATAAATTGCGATTCGAGAAGATCAGATATTTATTTTCTGTAACAAAGACTTATTTCGATTTTATGAATTACTTGTTCGAAATCTATGGGATAAGGCTACAAAATTCTGTTTTACTTATAAAGGCGCAAAGTGATTTTTGATAGACTTATCATTTTATGATGAAAAAAATGTTCAGATTAAACAAAGAAAAAGTATTTAAATATAAAAAGATTATATTTGTTAGAGAATAAGGTTGACATTACTAATAACACAAATAAATGATAAAAAGACATTTTATGTCTCATTTTTCCTCCATCGCATTTATAAATATATTTTGATTAGCTTAAAAAATAAAAATTCTGGCAAAAAAAAAAGATTGAAAAAATACGGTAATTAGTTTAAATTTTCTTACCAGGAACGGATGACATATGCCAAGATATCGATAACCGGATACCAGAATAGTTGTGTAAACAGCACAAGTATGAGAGGTATGAGCAATCGGATAGAAAAAGACAAGCAGTGAGGATGAGATATTGATTAATGATATATTCTCCATTCTTTCGGTTATAACCGGTAGTGAAAATATGAAAAATGTTGCCAAAAGCATCATTAAATCATTGATTGCAAGCGTTAGCAGAAATCGATTTATTAACTGATTGTACATCTGAAGTGTAAAACTGAACAGAACTAATTGATCATTTTTGAAAATAATCATTGATTGGTTTAAAGTGAATCAATGTAGTATCCAAAATAAAGTATTACCCATGCATATATCACTAATCATTGTTATCAATATTAGTATTTCTGTACATCAGTAACCTTTGTCATTACCATTTTGTTTATTTTTCTTTTGCATTGCTATACCTTTTTATGAGAAAATATGCAAATGTTAACGACATTAGCAATAATACCAAAAATGCAAATAGCAGGGATAATATAAATTCTTGAAACTGTTTGAAGCGGTGAAAATTTTTGATTATACGAATGCCCACAGTAGAGAATTTCGTTTTCTTCACTTTCTCCTAATGCTTCCTTTTTCATTGTTAAAGATTAATTATCGAAGTGGTAGCCTTTACTTTTTTATCTGATCAAATCACCTAAAATTAAATGTTGTTAATATTCATTGCAATAATTATCAGAAGCATTATTTTTTTATTAATATCAGTATTATTATCATAATAAATAAATAACTAATTGTTGATCATTATATTAAAAATGCATTAAAGGAAATACGAAATAACTATGAATAAAGTAGTAAGACTTAGAAAAAGTTGCATATTTTAAGAAGTATTTCAGAATTTTAAGTTTACAGCTATTCATTTTCAATTACATGCAAATTTCATCCCTATTAGTTCCTCCCCCTCCCCAAAAAAAAGGGCAAAAGTTATAAAACTTAAATATTTTCTATTTTATTGTGATTCATGGAAAAGCAATTTTCTTATTATTCAAGTTCATTTCATTTCACTGCCAATAATTATTTAAATGAAAATAATACTAATATTTATTCTGAAATATCTAATTTCTGAGAATTTTATTTTTTCTCCTTTTCTCGAAATTTTTGCATGCATATGCTTATATATTTAATTGTTAATGATTCTCTTCACTCAATCACATCCTTGCCGAATGGTCGATTTTTTCTTCACAACTCCAAAAATTTTAATGTTGAAGCGTCAGAAATGAAAACTAAACGAGTGCTTGAATTCAAAAATCGAAGCAATGATAATGAGTAGATTCTGAAATATTTATTAAAATCCTTTGTCTTAAAAAATTTCTATGTATCAGTTAAAGTACAATCGACAAATAATTAAAAGCAATGCATAGTTTGAAGTGACTTAATTTATTACTAGTAATTGCAAAAGTAAGCATAAATATTTATTAAAATTTTATTTCAAAAAAATCTTGTTATCTAAGTATAATCATTCAGGATTGAACTAATTAGCATAATTTACTAAGTTTGTGAGAAAAAATTTTATTAAATAACTGCATAAGTTTTGGAGACATCTGCCATATTTTAGTCATTCATCATTTTGCCATTCATAGTTCAAAAATCGCTTTTCCATTTTGAGGTAATAAAATGTATGACAGTGTAAGTAATGTCGAAGTCTGACAACTGCAATGCTTTACGCTTCGCTCACTGCTCAATGTTTCATGCAAATTTCGATTTTGAGAATGAGTTTTAGATTTCATTTGAAATGGAATGCAACATTTTGAAAATAAAAAAAGCTTTAGAGAAATTTTCATAGAAATTCCCAATTGATGAACAGTTAGAGTAAAATTGTAAATGGTAATTTATAAATAGTCTCAGTTAATCGTGGAAGGAGGAATAATGAACTTCTCTCTTCACATTTCACTTTTTATTTCATTATTTTCAAATTCACCTTCACTATAATTAATTCATTCTAAACAAAAACCTTTTCTTCAAACTCTTCAAGATAACAAATATCATTGAAAGTAAGCTAAATGCTTTCTTTGCGTGGAATCCAATCGTTTTTATACATATATATTTTTTCTTAGTTTTTCATTTATAAAACAAATTCAAGAAATATTTTATAAATTTTCAAGATTTCATCTCGCAAAATATTTTAAAAAATTGAAGAAGTTGATATTCTTCAAAATAACAAATATCACTGAGAATATTCGAATAATTGTTTTCTCTGCTGCTGATAGAATATCCTCTAAAACGTACTATTCTTTTTCCACATTTCACTTTGATGGTGAATAAACTTATTTGTTTCATAAATAAATTTAGTGCAAAGTTTACTGCTATGTGACTAGATGATATAAATTTTAAAGTAGTTGCTAGATGAAAAAATACGACTGACTCGTTTACCATCAAAAAATTCTCAACATAATTTCAGAGATATCTGAGGAATTTCTTTTTCCATTTTTTTAAAGAAGAACTCACCAATGAACATAAATGGAATATAAAGGAAATTGATAAGCAAGTGATAAGAATCAGTAGATAACAACAAGAAACAAAAACAAACACAAAGAAGGCAAATCGGTTGGAATCATTGTAATAGTGCATGTTATCAGCAATAAACACGTATATGGTTATCATAACACTGATATAATACTGCCGCACATAGAATATTGTAGGAAAAAAGCTGAAATTATAAGCTTAGAAAGTGGTTTTTATAAAAAATGCAAGTCTTGCAAAAAGCACTGCAAACCTTTCATGCATGTAATTTTTAAAAGCTACTCTTAACAAAAGTTATACAATTTTTAATGCAAATGTGTTTAACACTTCAACTTTGGATCTTTCAGTTGATCTGAAAACAAATTTCATGTTATATTAGCTTTCATAAGCAGAAATTTTAACATAACTTATTTGACTTTGACATAAAAAAATTACCTAATGGATTACATCTGCAAAAAAAAAAATTGGAAATACTTTATTTTAAATATTCATATTATAATTATTTCAATGAAATGCTGGAAATATATCCTATTGTAATTGGTTCCTACTACTCATATTTAAAATCTAAGTTTTATTTGTTTTGGAATGCTTTAAACTTTAAAGAATTGATTACTGAAAATCCAAAAATAAATCGATCATTAGTATTCGAGTATTCCAGAATATTTAAATAATATGCTAAAATAATGCTTATATGTGTATTGTTTGTCCTTAATATGGCTTTCTACTTCTTCCAGAATATTTAAATACATGGTAGAAAAATAAAGCACTTATAAAACAATTTGTTTGGTAATATTCATAATTTGAATATTAGTTGCTTATGTTTAATTATGACAAGTAACACATCTATCTTTAGCTCATTTCATTTCGACAATTCCATCGATCAACATGATAACAGGTGTCTATGTTATCGTTCAGCAATCCTGCAATATTGTATTTTTTATCATTTTAATATAATTTTAATAGGAAGTGCTAGCATTATTTTCTTCTTTGACTGAAATTGAGGATATGCTGTTTCTACTGCATTCCACTCCTAATTCGTTTTTTTAAATTAAAATGATATCGGTGTGATTAAAAAATTTTTCCATAAATGCAACAACTTATCATATTCACACAAAAAATACTGCATGAATCATATCGCTCTCACTTTACCTTCAAGAATTTCGATTCACTAAGTCAACGTTTCAATTTCACTCGTACGGTTAGCATACGGATCGAATCGTTCCTACTACCATTTTACTGGCTGAAAAATATCCTCTTAGACTAATCATTTTTATTTCAGCTCTGCTCCTACATTTTCCATTTCATTTCGTTTTCTCTTCGTTTTTAATTTACAAAACTATGTAATTCCATAATGATTACAGAATAACCAAAGGTGCATCATCGTCTTTACATTGGACTAATTACTTTCTTTCCAATAAATTTAACCCGAGTGGATGAAAAGATATTCGATAGTTAATGGTAATGAAGAAAGATGTAACTGTATAAAAATTATGTTGAAAGATAGAGTTCATGATGAAAAATATCAGGAGAGAAACATGAAATAAAGAATTAAATTCAGCGGTATTCAGGAAAATAACCTATCTTGCACCCACATTTTTTAATTTGACAAAACGGGTTTTTAATTTAGATGCAGTTATAATTACTTGCACACTCATGCATTGTTAAATCTTTTAAAATGAAGATTTCAAGCAAATAATTAATTCAAAAGTCTAGATTAAGAAACATCTTAGTAAATCTATTCAAACGCTCAAACGCTGATTCACAAACTGTAGATTACTTATTTTCATGTAGTTCAAATTCGTAATTAATAAAGGTTTTAGGTTTTGTCTAAGCAAATCAGAACTGTAATTTCTGCGCAAACAAAACAAATTCCACATGGTACATACGTCTGAACAAGAGTAAATAATGATGTTATATTGTTTCAGCACGATGTATTCATTTTTGCAGTACCATAAGTTATTTTACTTCTATCAACAGTAAATCGAACCAGTATTCTACGAATGATCTTTGGTGCACTGTTCCTGATGAAGCCGAATGCACTTTTCATTAATTTTAATATTCCGTGTGTTACTAGAGTTTAAAAAAATGTTGTTTATGTCATTATTGAATTTATTCTACTGTTTTCTCTGTCGCTTCGTTGTGATGTTTACTCTTAGAAATTATTTTTCCTGCAAATGTGCGGCTATCGCAATGTAATTTAAGTAAAAATCAGTCCACAACATATTCATTCATACTAAATCTTCACAATGTAGCTATGTTGGATCCTCGCATAAAATATTTACATTTTAAAAAAAAAAGGCTTGAATGAGAAATTAATAATCTGCATTAAACAGACAGTTATATTATAGGTTTTTTAATTTCCTCATAAAATATAAAACATTTGTACTAGATATAACACATCAATAAACAATGACTGGCATCCACGTAATCACGTAATCATCAGATATGAATTTAACAGCCTTTTTATATATGTATTTAATGAATTCTAGAACTGCAGAGATCATTCGATAAGATTTCGGTATGAAAACAAATACAGATATATTGAGAATTTTGAAATTTATTGACGACAGTGATGAAAAATTGGAAAATGAACTATTTGTAAAGCATTTAAAACAAAGTTTTTTAAAATATGAAATGAATCCGATTTTTTTATATCCAATACCAAAATCAGTCAAACAAAAAAATATTAAAAAAAAAAAAAACAATAACAGTTTTGTCCTTATTTCATACTTACTATCATCTACAACACTATAAAATCTGCTCGACATCCTAATAATTTAATGAATAGCATAGCAAAAATAGTTGTAATTCAGTCATTTGTTATTCTGTCAATATCATTACAACATTTCATGCCGAATAAATTTAAACAGAAACAATCTATAGTACTTCAGAGAGATTCACACGGATCTCGACTTTTCTTCTTCTGGGATTGTATACGTTTTGCATACAATCTTCGCTGTGCTGCTTTTATTGCTCTGCAGCATGTAATCGCTTTTATAAAATTGAAATTATTCTAATAAACTGAATTAAGAAATTCCATACGGACCAAGAAATGAAAATGCAGTAAAACAACGAAAAGGAATGTTATCCCCTTCCTGCTATTCCAGAAAGAGCAGCAATTAATGTAGGGGAAATACAACAGGTAAACAATATAAAAACATAATAAATAAATATGAATATATAAATATAAATAAAATATAAAATATAAATAAATATAAAGACTATTTGAAAGTCGTGTTCAGAATACTGCATAATTTTCACCTCCTTACAAACTGCTTAAAGTGTTTAAAATTAGAAATAATTTTGGTGCTACTTAGAAAGTATACCTATTATCTATAATTGCTTTATCCTGATCTGTCGGTAATCTATTATCCAGCAGCTCTTTGTTGCACTCTGTTAACAGAGCCTGCAGTTTTTCAAAACAGTCTTCCTGATTCTCTGCCTACAAAAAGAGATATGAATAGGTGCATGAATACCTGGCCTTACCAGAAATTGAATTCCCTATGGCCTTTTCAAATTTCTTGGGCCTCAAAAAATAATTCTTCATTTCCCTTTCTTATCAATGAGGAAACTTTAACAACTTAAACAGTATATATTCGATGATACTTAAAATTTATCCGTAAACATATTTGTGCAGTAAAAAACTCAGACCTACAATAGCAGAACTGCGTTACCTGAATTCTTGATTTATCTGACGAAATCACAACATCGTTTTGTTTACTGAGCAATCGAACAAATCGTTTCCGAAACACTTCTTTAATTTCCGGACTTAACCAATCTGCTTCATTTAAATTAAATCGTATTTGGCATTTTGTATTCACTGAAAGCAAATCATCACATATGATAAAGATTACAGTTAAACTGGAAGTGAAAGTATCTTAGAGAGGAGAATAAAAACAACTGAAATCATAACGAGTTTTAATAAAATGTGCTTAAGTTAATAAATAAATGTTTCCATCAAACAATTCAGTAATTAATTTTTCTCGTAGTTTATAAAGTATTTCAAAACAGAAAATTATTTCATCCAATAACTTTATTTTTACTTTCGATAATTTGATAGACAAACTTTTCATATCGTAGAAATCAATTTTCCCGCAATTAATTAAACAGAGCATCATTAAATCCTTATTTTGCATTTTTCTTAACATTTTGAACATTAACTTAAGACAAACGTACTACTACTATGCAATATAAGTAAGATTTAATGCTTAATGCTTTTCAAGTAATTTATAGTGTCGTTCTGAAAACAGCTAATAAATAGCCTATCCATATGTAATATTAGAGATGTTACGTGATAAATTTAGTGGAAAGTCAAACATTTATCGAATTTAGTATAAATCATACTTATAGATTGTTTAAAATGTTGTACACAAATATGTATATATATAGTCATGTATGTTTGTGTTTACATACCGAAGCATCTAAATTATCATTAACTGGTTTAAAAATTTTCAGTAAATACTTCGATAATGGTCACGCTATGGGTATGAGCAAGAAACCTACCATCTTCCTACTGCTTATCTAAACAAATTATTAGAGACAGTCTACAGGAAACACTACAGGTATAGAAAACAAATGCCCAAGAGCGTAATTAATTAATCTCGATTCACTAATTTACAACGATGAATAAACTGCACCGGAAATACTCTAGTTTAAACTATACCAGTGGTCTTCTTCCTACACAAAATTGAAAGTGACTGATTTCTTGTCTTAATAGTTTATGAAACGAAATTCAAAACAAAACTGTTTCCACTAAAGAGTATTCCAAAGAATAAAGTGTACTTCTTTCAAAGGTTAGATGGTTATCAAAAAAATTTTTTTCACTATTACTACTGTAATCAGTAATATGAAAAAATAACTAATCCACTACTAAACATACCCATGTTAACGTTCTGGCCGCCAGGGCCACTGCTTCGCATAAATCGTTTCTCAATTTTATCTGTAAAGTATTCAAATTTATAGTGGGAAAAAATACTTTAGTTATGGAAATAATTGATCGAATTCCAGGTAATCTTTTGACATTCAGTTGAAGACGAAAATAACTTTATGACTAAATTAATTCGAAAAAAGATTGGTTTCAGGAATTTTCTTTTAAGCTTTTTTTTAAAAGTCATTTCCAATCATTTGACCAAGTAAAATAAAAATCAGTCAATGTTTAAAGAGCACTTCAAAATGTTACTTTTTAAACAAAAAGTTTCAGGCTCACCAGATCCACAGATAACTGTCATAGGAATTCATGAGTAATTCATAAGCATAACAGTGATATCTGACTGAACAAATATAATTACTAGAAATCGTCTCCCTCTATTTTTTTTCAGTTACTTCACTTTTTTTAAAAAGCCATTTCTTTCTCTTCCCACTTATTTCAATCCCACTAAAAAATAAATGACACATCAAATAAGTGTACCTTTAGTACAACTGATATAAGGAAATTTTTTTAGATAATTTAACATAAATTAATGGAAGTGAAACACAACGAAGTGATTAAAGCACATGTTTTATATATGATTTTAACGTTTAAATGTGAATAAAATCAAAAATCAGTAAAGATAATTAGTGCAGGAAAAGAAAACTTACCAACTGGGATATATCCAATAAATTCATTGCCATCAGCGCCCTTCTAAAAACATTGCTCTAGAATGAAATAGTGAAAAAATCGTTGTATAGAAATTATATTTTATGTATGTTATAGTTCATTAAGAAAAAAAAGTAGAAAAGGAAACGGTTAGAAATGAAATCAACTACATACTGGAACATACAGAAGGAACGTAGCGCTGCTGTTTTTGTTGAGATACCAATAATTTGTTGAGACATTGTCTAAGACGATAACCACGAATCATCGTACATTTTAGTATTAAATATAGAAAGTCAATTTATATGCTGAAAATCGAAAAAAAGTTACAAAATGATCATCAAAAAATAAAATATAAACGAACCGTATATTGTATATTATATTAAACTTTAATCTTACTAGAATTATTGCATATTAAAATTTTACTGCACTGTAGATTATCCTCCCACTTTTAATCATATTTCCTCATAGTTCCGGAATGTCTCACTTCAAATCATTTTTCCACTTCCTGCACATCTCTGTTTAATGTATTTAAGTCCTTATTCCTAAGTTAAACTTGCTGAAAGTGTTTTACCACATGAAGCGTGACAGAAGTTTATAAATTGGAACTGAAAAAGAAATTCGATCAAAGAGCTAAATTAAACCGCATGAACATTCCTATAAATGGTTGAGGTTATAGGAAATCTGAATTCGCATCTGAGAAACAGACCTGCCTATTCCGTTAGATATATCAATTAAACACAAAAAAAAAAGAAAAAAAAAATGCGTCGAACTACTATTACATCCCCAATAGTTAGCCAGAAATGTAGGAAATAATTTTCATTGCTTAATAGTATCAAAAAATTAATCTATCTGTGCACCAATTAATGAGCCGAATATCAGATTCAGCAATACATCGCCTTTTCATTTCGCAAATTTATGACTTTTTATGAGACCGATGAACTTCCTGCTGTTGAACAATTTCTTTACGATCCGAAAAATAGCAGTTCCAAAATGCACCTAATATCGACTTCATTGAAAATTTTAACTTTCATTTAAATAAAATTTTAAGGGAAAAACAACTCCAATCCTTTTATGTATATGTGAATATATCGTTAAGGTAAAAAATCATCATCTCTGACTAGTCATTTCACCTTTTCCATTTGATGCAGAAACAGAAAAAACTGTGAAATAGGGTAACTCGCCAAAGTGATAAAGAGAACGAGTTTACCATCATATTATATATCAAATAATAGACACAAAAACCCGCATCAAAAATTAGAGCCAAAAAAAGTAATTCATACATAAGACAAAATATTGGATTGACTTGATATGCAGAAATTAAAATCCTCAATACACTACATCAAGTGCAATTTTAGAAGGGATGTAGGACTCGTAAAAAATACACTTTCTCGTTACTTATGGAGTAAATTACACTTCTTATAAAGGTTAACCAGTCAGTCAACAAATATTAAACATTAAAGTTATTGGAATATTTTTCAAGAAAAAAACCACTTTTCCTTAACTTCCACTTCTGATCCCGAAAAGTTTACTCTTTGCACAGAAATCACACCGGTCCCATAAAACCAGCATTCTTCAAAACAAGAATTCAAAAAACCCTTAATCCGAAATTCCTTTGTTAACCAAAAACCGAGATTCATCATACATGCGAAAATAAGAAAGGACCCAAAAAAGAGCTACTTTTTTGATTATATGCAAGTTCTTCAAACAACAGAAAATTAAACGAAATTCTCTCAACCCGAAACCAAGCCAAAAAGTTCATGTTTTGAACATATATTACCACGTTCAATAGTACAGGCCACTCACTAATATTCCATAAAACTAACTTTAAAAATGAACCGATTTCTACGTGTTACCAAGCACACTTCCATAGGAATGTGCACCACTGCAACTGAATTTGTGTTTAGATAGAAAATCCCTGTGCGAAGGAAGAAAATTGGAATTTTCAAGACTCAATACAAAATCCGTGTATTGTCCCCTTCGATCAAGTCCAATATACATTTTGACTTACTGCTTCTAGTTTGGTAATATGCAAAAAACGCGTACCCATGTTTCTTGGAAAAGTACAAAAGTGCATCACATCAAAAAATTGAATTAAAAAAAAAAAAGAAAAAAAAAACAGGCAAAAATACAATTCCACAATTTCTATCCAAATAAACATATACCAAGCTACACATAGCATTAAAATTAAAATGTAGCCTGAAAAAAAAAAATAAAAATGTTGGAGAGAACTGAATTAAGAGCACATGGAATAACTATCTGAAAAATGAAATCTGCTTAGGAATTAAGTCTCCTGTTGTAAATTAAACCGCAATGAGAAAAAGACATCTGACTTCTAAGTGCTCAATTACTGAATCCCTGAGAAAATGAGGATCAGCAGTTTATACTGCAACGAGAAGCTTAGCCATCATGAAAGAAAGAATAATAGCAGAATAATCAATGAATGTAAATTCAGAAAAAAAAAAGGAGAAAAAGAAAAAAAAAAATGAGAAGTAAGAGCAAAAAAAAAAAAATAGACGAAACTAGAAGAAATGAAGAGGATTTTATGCAAGTCCGACTATAATCATCGATGATGAATAGACATGAGAAGTTGTAATCTTTCTCATTCAGTAACGATCTAAAGCCATCAGATAACGATAGCTTTCTTCTTCATCACGTAGCACAGGTTCTGCCAAGAAGCCACGTCCAAAGATATTCAACACGCTACTAGCCTGAAACATATGAATGTGTAGAGTAGTGCTTAATAATGTCAGATTTTTGAAATGACTACCGAATTCACTTGAAAAAATATCAGCTAGTTGTTCGAAAACCTTTTGTATTCTGTTGTATTGTCGTTCCCTAATTTTTCCAGCAATTGTAAATTTCAACAGATCAAAGTTAATGCCAATCACATATGCTATTTTATTTTCAAGTATGCAAAAAAGCAACGTACGTTGAAGAATTTTAAGAAGCTACCGGTATGTGGAACCTCGGATATCTCATGCCTGTCAGCATCGACTAGAGGCGATGGTGCACTTGGAATAACATTTCCGATACCTAAATTACTTGTTCCAGGAAGCATAGCACAAGGTGCTGATTCAGTTTTTCTATTTGACATTTTCCCTGGAAAGTACTTTCGGTGAATACCTAAAGATTTCATGTCAGCAAAACACTAGCATTTATCACGTAACGTGCAAACGCAAATGAACTACGAATAAGGAACAAGCAGGAGTAAAAGGACTAGGAGAATTGTGTCAACTAAGACGCCTACGTTGTCAGTAAATCATCCTTTATCAACCCAACGTATAAATAAGTTAACCCTTTTTAACATAAATAATTCGGCAGAAGAAGTAAGAGAAGGTCACGAGAAACATTTAATCATACGATAGAAATTGACGTCAGTGAAAATCTGGTGGTGACGTTTTGCTCTTCTCTACTTTTCTCAATCATCGTGGATTAAAGGCATGACATGTGTCCACGTAACAAGTAACCAAGCAGTAAACCAATTCCCATGTATTAAGTAACATGAGTAGAAAAATCGATCGAAACTCCACACTCACGCCTTAACGTCATTTACATAACTTCTAGTTATATGAACGACAGTACGCCAAATATGTATCAAAAATTTGATTGCACACGTGCACTAAGTCGATGTGAAGCGTATAAAAGAGAAAAGCAGCAAGGAACGAGTCTCAATCTCTCGTCTGGTGTTGACCTGTTTCAATGTCGTCGATCGATAAGAGTAGGCGTTAAGAGCGCAACTGCCCACTGCTATCAGAGAATGTCGACGGCACAGCAATCGCTACGGGTTTTATAAATTTCGTTGATTGGTGAAGTCCCTCCCCTCCAGTACTTGCCTCTCCTCTTTTTCTCTCATTCTATCTACAACAAGGAAACACTTCACCGCTATCACATATCACAACTACAGCCTGGTGCTAGCTATGATGAAATTGTAGCAAGTTACCTCCTTAAGCACAGAAGTAACACTATCAGAGTCTGCGGTACTTCACGTGATACTTTACGTCATCCGAGATCGACCATGACCCAACATATAAGTGTAACAGTCGTATCTGAAGAAATCTGAAAAATGAGTGTGTGTGTGTATGATAACGTACGTTACTGACAACCACCACATATCATATATCGTTCACTAACTCTTCAATGTCATTCTTTGAAAACAAAAAAATTCTTTCGAACTATAAACATTTCAACTGAATGACATGATATAATGATGAAAAGAGCATAAAAGAGGCAATAAGGACAAAATCATTAGTTTAGAAAGAAAAAAGATACAGCAACGAACGTATGTGCTAATAAGCAAGTTAAGCCACTAAACTACATTAGCAACAAGAAATTCCTCAAATCTCTTCATTTTCTCCTTTTCTTTTTCTCTCTCCCTCTCATCTTTCCCCTTTAATTGAATTTCTGCGGAAAAAGTCCTAAAAATTCAATATTTACATTCAAAATGAAGAGTTAGTTCATTGTATCCTGCTGATGAAAACAACAATTAAAGCTTCACACTAAACAAGACTCTTTCTCCCTCTCAAGAAGAAAACTCTTCATAACAAAAAAAAAAGTGAGAAAAGGGAAAAAACCAATCCTTTGAAAATAAACACAAAATGTTTGCATAATTCAATGAAATAACGCACAGTCACTTCATCCGATCCGTTATGATGACAAACCGTTTTGATAACAAAAGCAACAGGTGAAATATGAAAATGATTGCCTTATTTTTGTAAACTCAATTTCATTCATATACAAAACCTCTTGCGAATAATGCGGAAATCTTTTTTGTTTTTTGCTAATTTAAATTTCATTTTTTTTTTTTCAAACATAAATTACTTCCAAAAATCTATTTATTAATTTTCAGTTTTTTTTCCCACCAATAATGCCCACATTATTTTATTACTACTTTCACTAATTTAAATTTCATTCTTTTTCAAATTTGATTCATTAATATCTAATAAGTTTCACTTCTTTACATATATCTATTATCTGCGTTCGTAGATGATAAAGGGTGTTAAACAGGACATTTTTTCATCAATGAGAAAAAACATTTCAATACTTGAATGTGGATGTATGTCACAGCGAAAAAGATAATGGCACTTAATTGTCACATTGCAAAAATAGCGTAAGCTCATCTTGCCCTTCTCTTATCTCGTACTGAAGTTTTTTAGTTAACAAAGTTTAAAAACTGAGTAGAAATAACAAAATGGCGACATTGATAGTAACAATATGCCACAACAGTTGAAACTATCAAAATCTGACTTTTAATGTTCGGTAATACAAAATTATTTTGTTAATTCTAAAATGTGTTGCATTTTCCATATTTTTATCCATTTACTGTATAAGATTCTTTGAAATCCTTGAAAAAATGGATTCGAAGATGCTATAAATTTATTAAATAAAAAGTAAATTAATTAACTGACAACTAGCACAAGAATTACGCAAACAAGCACTAAGCTTCAGTAGTCCTCCATAAATTCATCCCAGTAGTGAATTTGACTTGTAAATAGTTTGTGATCTCTAATGAAGAATTTTAAACAATCTGACCACACACTGTTAAATGACAATGTTTCAGAGATATTCCCTTCCCATTCCCTTCCCGTGATAAAACAGAATGCAGCATATCGATCACTACAATTACGTATCACAGTCAATGATAGAAAAAATGAGATCTGTGACAAAATGTGACTCCAAAAGCTGAAATATTCCCATAACTAAATGATATCCGAAATGAAAAACGAAAATATTTCACATTGCTTTTGTTAAAATTCTAAATAAAACATCAAGTTCCGCCATACATCTAGTGCATTATTTGACTTTATGTCTCTGGATTACAGCTATATGACTCTCATAGACGTTTCGTCGTATCGACCTCTGAAAGCACCGCTTATATCCACACACAGTATAAATCAAATTCACTGCAGAAAATCGTAATAAACTAAACTTACCACATCACTAACTTCTTAATTGTATAATTCTTTTTGTTATTAATACTTCTTCATTCGAAACCTTATTTGAAAAGAGAACAGTAAAGTTACTCTCGTTGAAATATTCTTAGTGATCTAAAACTTTCGATAACAAATGTATTACTGCATACTATAAAAAACATAATTTTAATATAAACTTAACACGATATACTGCTAGAAGCGTAGATTCCAACATTCGATTATAAGCAGAATATAGTAAAAGCAAGCAGAATATAAGCAGAAAACATACAGCAAGAATTTGAATTTGAGAGATTGATGAGAAAGTTATTTCTGAAAATTTCACAAGAAATTATGCAAATGGACTAAATCTCCACTTTAACAACAAAAAAATGTACAGAGAGCTTCTGTTGGATATTCTTCAACCTCCTTTGTTTCCCCTCTTTGAGAAATACGTAGCATTATCTTTCCAAATTTCACTGTACTTCTTTGAATTGTCAGAAGCACTATAATTTTACAACTCAGAGAAAGACTATATGGAAAACGACAACTATTTCAACTATTCATATATCAATATACGCATTCAAGCATAATAAAGTCATCGCTCATACACTTTCTAGTGAAATTCATTTAAAACGACAGAAACGAAAGACTGAGGGCAGAGAAATGAAGAAAGGTAGTATCACTATTAAAGCGAATGCATTTTTAAATTTGTTTCACAAATACAGACCAAGTGAGAGGTATAAAAGATACATTATGTTGAAAAAGAAAAACAATATATTGTAGAAACATATAAACAATGCTGTTCCTATATTTCACTTGTTCGTCCAATTTAAAGCAATGTATGCTCAGTTAAACGGAAAGACTTCAGTTCGAGCAATTTTTTACTAGCAAACCAACACAGATAATTTTTCAACCATGCAGAAATATTTGTTCTCAACAATGTTTTCGACTTCAGAAATTTGAGTGGAATATATATGTCTTTAATTAGTCTTAATTAAACCTACAAGACAAAACAACAGCATGGAGGAAAAGAACACATAATTTCATGAATGCAACCATAAAAAATAGTGAAAATTGAGAGCTTCAGCAAACAGTGGACGAAACAAAAAAGAAATGAAGGAGTTTCAAAAAATGCCTGCTGTAAAAAAAAAAAAAAAACAAAATCACTCTATCATCATTACTTATTTTTCAGACCCAATCAATTTTTAGAATTTCAAAAAAGCAAAGAAAGGAAAAGGAGAAACGTCTGACCAATTTATAAAAAGACATGTCGTTGTAACCTTTCGCCCGAAAATTTTCTTCGCCTTTTGCAATAAATAGAGTATTTTAATTTTCATAGACCATAAAAAATTAACAGAAGAAAATTAGTTCAGGACTTCATGCTGTGAATTTTTACAAAGTGAGGATAATTCATCTCGTTCAATCGATAGCATTAGCTAAAAATTGGAAGCACAGAAATATATTCAGATTTTCGTAACAAATAACAGAATATTACTAATAAAGATGATTAAAAATCGAAAACTCCTTGCCAATGGTCTCTTGTTATCCATTAAATATAGATAATACTCCATAATCAGGGAAAAATCGATATATTCTACAATAGTCGAATTCTAGAATGACCCCCCCTCCCACGCCCAAAAAAAGAATTGACTCTGAAATGTTTCAGTAAAACTGCACTCTGAAATACTTTTGGATTTCTGCTTAAAAACAGATGGATGTGGCGAACATGAAATGCGTGACAACCAACAAGTTTTTACCTAAATTAATTTAGCAAGCTGAGATAGAGCAAAAAATCTGGGAAGTATATTGCATGAGTCAAGGTGGAAACCATATAGTACTTTCAACAAATATTGAGATTTTCAAAAACTCAACAGGTTTAAAGTGTTGTGAGTTCAGAAAGCTACATCGAAACAAGAAAGAACCACACTCATTACCTACTTACGGCAAATACTTGTTCTAGTAATATAAACGACATAAACAGTATAGTCATATATGTAAGAGAAAGTTTAGATAAATTTAGTTGATACTTGAGATGTCTTCGGATCGAAACGTGCAGCAATATCCTTTACACTTGAAGGTTTTACAGCCAACAAGGGCTTATCTCTGTTATCGGATAAAGCATTATTTTTTGCCTGAAAGAGATCCTGATAAATTTTAAGGTAAAATTTCGAAATATTTAAGCTAGAGAGTTTCACATAGCATAAATTGCCCATAAACTTAATATGAGAACGCATCATGAAAGCAGAAATATAATACACTGAGTAGTTTTGAAGTGGGATTGAATTTTTTAGTCACAACATTTTTTAAAAGAATAGAAAATACCAATACGTGGTTATGATGAGGTGGTAATGGCGGTGCTTGTACAGGCCTAAAAGTTTCTGTTTCTATCCTTTTCACCGCATTCGCTTCCGATGGAATACAATACATTGGTGAAGTCTGCTTAGTTAGATTCATACTGAGTTCCTCGCCTTTTTCTGCATAAAGCGCTTGTAAAGCTTCACTTCGTGGTCGTTGTGGTACCTATAACAAATGTATCTTATAGATCATGAACATTACTGCCATTGAAACCCAACAGTGAGTGATAAAATCTCTAGTACAATCTAGGCAAATTACCTTAACAAACAGATTACCCATGTCAGTCCAAAATCAGTACAAGTCATTTATTCATAACGCCACAAAGACAACTAAAAAGCTGAAACAGAGCCATAATATCAGCCGCTTAACTAATCCGCTTCATTCACTTCATAGGAAAGATGTCGAAGATTACCCAAAACATGAAATTTAAATAACATTATGAATGAAAAAGCCATTACTTTAGGAGGAGCAGTGGTTGGTCTCATCGAATTACGATATGCAATAACACTTGGTTTCGTCGGTACTAAATTCAAAGTAGTCGACGGAACAACTGGTGGACTGATACTGGGTGGAAGCGGTTGATGATAGCTACGTACACGTAAAGCATCTGATGCAGTATCACCCCATATTAAGTTAAGATCAGCTGTACGTATAGTCGATCGTGGAGGTGGCGGCGCTTTGCGAATTGGTACCAAAAGCTTCTCAATCTTCAATGCCTTCTTCAGTTTCTCCCAAATTCTAAAGTAATAGGATACTAAATTATTAGGATATTTCGATAATACTCTTGGAGCAATTTTTCGCCCTTAAGTTGGTTTCTCAAAAGGGGCTTATGATATCAGCCATCAAATTTTAAGTACTGACTTCTACAATAGACTTGAATTTCGAAACATTCAAAATAACGTACTCTTTGTGGAGCCAGAAATCTCGTTTTCGTTTCACGATAATTGAAATACCAATAAACGTAATAGTTAGTATCAAAAGAAGCCAAAATACCACAAAGCCTACATGAATGACACCACCCTCAATAGCAGGGCCACTATTTACTGACCCACCAGGACCAGGTATAGCACAGGATGGTCCACCGTAACCAGGGTCGCAGTGACAATTACCCATATTATTACAGATTCCTGCGTTATTGCATGAGACTGGTTCACATTTGGGGGCCATGAGTACTTTCGCAGTTCGATTCTGACATTTTGCGTCAACGCACATCTAAAAAGAAGTGAACTAAATTTTGAGTAAAACATTCGGAAAAGTTATGCAATCAAAAGATTTAAATTTTCAAGATATTTAAAAAATTAAGATTACTTTATCTTGACCACAGAATGCACCATCTGGAACCATTCCCGGATCAGGTTCTTTTTGTCCACTTATGTATTTTGTCCAAATCACTCTACACGCAACATCTTCACCACTGCTCAATTTCAAACCAGTGTATGATGTATAAACTGTTGACGGATCACCAAATGCCAGTTTCTCATTCTCATGAATACAGTGTAATCGCCCACACTTAATATTACTGAAAAGAATTCCAAATGATTTTATTCTTGTTTAGTTTATATATCATCGATCGCATTTCAATCTGTGTTGTGTACTTAGCGATTCAGAGCTGACTTCAAAATCTTCGTTTTCTCATAAAAATATGAGTAATATACCTTTCCTTTCACACGAATTTTCAATGAAGATCAAATTTTCATTCATCTTTAATAGGTTTCGCTATGATATTATGAGAGATAGGCCTTCCGAAAGAGATTCTTGAAGTTCGATGTAAGAGATCCAACTCAATATATCCTTTTACTGGACCTTAGTATTTAGTAAGATCATAAAAACTTCAAAGTGAAAAAAAAAGACATACTTTTTATGACACGGCACGAAACGATTTGTTTCATGTAAAAACCCACAATTGCCACCACTGCTCCCATATAAATTCAAGTCATAGCATACTGGGGCTGCATCTCTTCCAGTTCGTCCCCAAATATATTGACACTGGGCATCACGACTTCCACAGTAACCATTGTAGCAAAAATCCTGAAAATACCTGTCATTTTTAAATAATTAAGACTAAAGAAAAAAACGATATATTCTAATAATAATAATAATAATAATAATAATAATAATAAAGTCCAAATAATAAAACTATTTCGTAAAAAAGCCTCTTGCAACATTAAATTGAGAAACAAAAAGCTAGAACTATTGACATTAACGTGATTTGGGCATTTATGGCCATCCTGAACAAAGAAATCCGCTGGACAGTGTTCCATATGTCCATCACAATATTCTGGTAAATCGCATTCGTTGGTTGCCTGACGACAAACGGTAGTAGCTGGTAGCATTTGACAGGTATTCAAATCACAACATTCACCGCTAGCGCAGACAGCCGCTTCCGCTAGCTGACATGTTACTGGATTACAACATTTGTTAATACATGAGCTCTAGAAAAAACATATACTGATCGATAAATTCGAAGTAGATATTATTCATTTCATTGATTATATTATTTTATTATATTTTTTTTGTCTTTTTATATCCCGTATATGAAAACCAAGGTACAACGATCATAGTTGATACTGTAATTATTTCATTGTCAGAATAATCATGCAATAGAAAGCAAATTTTACAGGAATTTAGAGTTTGAAAGATGCTTCCTGTTTAAATTAGACATAATTTGAACATTACTAAAAATACCATAAACGGCTGATGAATACAGCAAAATATTTTTTAGCATGTCTTTCTGAAGACACTTATCTTAATATGCCCCATATCTTAAAATCAGTTCAATTCTTTACAGAAGCTTAAATATAAATTCTCAAAGCTTCGATTTTCCTACGAAAATCAATGAAATTAAACAAACCGGTGTTCCACAGTCACATTCTTCACCAACTTCTACAATTCCGTTGCCACAACGTGCACCACCAAATACACTTGTAGGAGAATTGCGTAAACAATAATCCACCCCACGTGAAAAGCTATGCTGTAATGCACGCATACTGCATTCTGACCAGAATGTTGGCCGAATAATGCTAAAATTTTTTTTATTAATTTTTTAAAAAACTGGATTTTTACTAATAACTTGAAGGTTTTCTTAAAACGTAAACAGAATTCAAAAATGAACCAAGTGCAATACGTCACTTAACATTAGTGTTTTTTTTTTTTTTGGTAGTCTGCCTATTCCTGTAAATTCAAAATTAATTGTTCTGGACGTCAAAGTGAGTGCAGCAAAAAATTATGGCGTCCTCGAAAATAAAATTGATAAAACAGAGTAAAATTTTGTTTAGTACTACTATTTTCTCCATTAATCAATAGCAGCAATATATCGCTAATAACACAAAAATCTCCAATTAATTCTAAAAGTCACAAAAAATCTTAATTATTCCTAAAAATCCTGGTATCAGAATCTGTGTTCAGTGAGTTAAATGCGACCTTACCCCGTAGATGGTGACATAATACATGATTTGGCTGGACAACGGCATTCCACTTCATCGATATCATGCTCCATTCCAAAATTATGTCCCATTTCGTGTGCAATAGTTGCAGCAACAAATGCAGCCTGATCACTGTGTTCCATATCCACTCCACCCGAAAAATCATAAGAACACATCGTACCTTTGAAAGCCTTTCCAACAACATTGTTCTCAAATACAACACCACTGCAAAATACTGGAGATTTTTTAGAATGAGTTCATAGTGAAATTAATACTCAAATACGAATTCAATACTCTCATTTAAGAAACCTTCACTGAGCGGCTAGATTCAGGAATAAAATTGCTCAATAAGTATAACAGCAGCAATGATTTATGTGCACCAAAATATCGATTATTTCTACCAGCTTAAGAAAAATTGTGCACAAAGTGTAATACATTGTTAAATTGAAGTGAAGATTATATCAGGAATGATGGAAACGATGCCTGAGGCATGCAATAATTTAATAAAGATTTATAAATGACCGCAAATTCATAAACGACGCTGTGATAACAGTAACAGTTCATTAATAGAAAACGAACTTTCTGAATGAAATATTTATGAAAATAAAGCCAATAGGAGCAGCACTAACGTAAGTAAATGTGCATTATCATGTGGATGATCTTTCAATAATGTTTTTCGCCAGTTCAGAAAATTCCATAGAGTTGTATCAGAATTTGATGTAATATCCACTTGATTACTATTTGTCCAGACATCGGCCCAAACAAGAACTACTCGAATATTGATTGGCATATATAACTGAAGTACAAATATCGCATTTACATTGAATTAAATGAACAAGAAATTCTTACAGAATGACTCTATTTTAAGTTTTAGTGTTTTTTAAATTCTGCGAACAAGGTCAGCGAAAGAAGTTTCTCTTTTCTTTCTTTTTTTTTTCCAAAATTCAAGTTTAAAACTATTTTTACACAATTACAACAAAATATACGAATCAAAAAAAGTAAGACTTTACCGAATTAATATAACTCGTGATAGCATTAAGTCTCTGCATAACTTCAGTTACATTGCTGTCATATTTCTCAAACTGAAATTTTATAATTCATCTCAGTGTAATATGAATTACTCTTTTCTTTAATCCACTATGCTACAAAAATATACATAAAACAGCAAACCAAAGTACTCATTAATTCTTTTCCTTTAATGTTAATAATTTACAGGAAAAAAATTCGCTATAAAAGATATATATATATATATATATAACATGTTTAGCGAGACTCATGATCCACCCGAAATCATTTCTCAACAAAAGTTTGCGATAAAGTCTCTTCAAGTTCCTGCATTTAGTAGCACGAATTGTTGGAAAAAAACTATTGTATACCCAAGAAATAACAAGCTAACATCCTGAATGGCATCACACAGTAACGGATAACGCTTATAAATCATTGAAAGTTCTTTTTTGGATTGGTCAAATATGACGATATCTCCCGACACTGCTTGGAGATTCTAGAACATCTGTCCTACCAAGATAGCTTTGAATTCGAAGTTTGAAGAACAACTAAGTGAACAAGACTATAGCTAGTTCAGTAAAAGACAAAATCTTACGCTAGATATAATGAATTCAAGTCTTATAACTCAAGTGAATCAGATGTATACCGTAACACGAATAACCGTATTAATGCATTCAAAGTTACATACCACTAATTTATCTGCAATAAGTGCTAACTCCACGTAACGCCAACGGTCATCTAAAAACTGTGCATAATATTCAGCTGTATGAGATCCACCAATAGAACGCTTACTTCTCAGTCCCCAATCTGAAAGTCTTTTTTTCTTGTATTTCATTAAAAATGATATTAGGAACATAGCATCACACTTGGAATGCTTACCACAGGAATGATCAGATAATGGAACAAAATGAAATGATGCATTCGGATTCGCTCCTAGTACAAATCGTCGACCATTTATTGTGAATAAACCTCTGAAAATTTGGTTTACTAGAGAAGTTCGTTTTATTCCTTTCACATTATCCAAATGGATTTTAGTATTCACAGAAAATGTAAGGTTATTTAGCGCAGTCTAATACAAACCAAATAATATTCTGAGAATAGTTTTATATGAATCTTACGATCTTAACTCTTTTATTTTACCTATCAAGAAAATAAATCATTTGGTTAATATCGACAGTAATCTTTCTAAAAGGCTTACAGTCTCTGAGATGTCTTGCAAGCAAATACAATTAGTCAGTTAAAATTCAGGGACATATTTTAAAAATGCCCCAATAGCGAAAACTTGCCCAAAAAGTGATGTGGAGCAAGTGGTCATAGCACTGTGTTCACCTGTGCTGCTTATAATTTCGAAATGACATGATATATCAATCTGAAAAGAATTCACTACAAGAAACGCCCCATTCTTATCCTCGTAGAAGAATTTCGAAACTCAAAAACTCGATTAAAAGGAATTAATTCAAGATAAATTTTAATTTAAATCAATTAATTCACGAAAAAAGTGAAGTACGCTGAACCTTGCCAGCAGTTTTCAATAACTCTCGATTTGGCTGGAAAACAAAATTCCGACTTTCCCCAACATCATTTTGCAGCCTGAGTTCGAATGTGGGTCGGACCGTATGACTAATGGATATAAGTTCATTAGCATTCAGTTCTTTCTCACCGTAGTAAATATGCAACGGGCAGTAAATACCATCTTGCATCGTCTAATTTCCCTTACCGATCCCTAAAAATCTCAAAAATAAATATAATTCACAACAATAAAAAAGCATGTAATTTGTTACAGAAAAACTGGAGGCAATAGGTTACAACTGTATAATCATTATATTTATATTTCTACAACTTGTAACAAAAAACACTACCATTTAATACTGTAATCAAAAATATTGTAATGAAACTCAACGGAAAATATTAACACATAAAAAATGAGTAAAATGAATCTCTAACATTGCAATAAGTCAATCAATATCGTCCAACTAACACGTAGTCAGTATTTATGAATGTATGAAAAGCAAACTCAACATCTTCAAAAGAAGAAAGATTACAAAGATAAAAAGATTACATAAATTCATGTTTCTAACAAGTTTAAGAAAATTTTTATGTGTAAAAACAAAATTTAGATTAATCAAGTTAGACTAATATACTATTACGAAATACTTCAAGACCATGACAATAAATTAGTGTAGAATGGATTCGAAATCCCTTGTATTCAGGAATGTGGTAGTTCATCATTCTTCAACCCCATTCACAATTCAATTTCAATGTTTCCCGCCCTTCTCTTACACTATATGTTCTTCAATGTAATTTCTGTTATTAATATTGTTTTGAGAAGCATATAAAGCCATAAATTCGTTCACTTATTTATTTAAACCAGAACTGTGGAATAATATATGAAGGAATAAGAAGGACTATTTGCAATACTCGAATTTGTCGTCGTTAACCAAAACATTAACGTTTCCGCGATACTTATTAGCATGATGATGAAGTTAAATCAATAAGAATAAAAAATGAACATCACTTAGCAATAATTCTCGAAATGGAGAAAGAACTATCCCTGATACCGCAATCACGATATCAACCTCGTCAAATCCTTTTTTCTATGAACACCATCTTCCATCATTGTATCATTTTCTAGTCAACAAATGAAAGCTAACAGAAACTTTTGAACAGAAATGTCCAGATCACTGTCGATTATTCACGATGATAACAGTTAAATGCATAAAGCTTACTTAATTACGCAAAATAACTTTAAACTACCACGCATACTACACCTCCTAAAATTTCCCAATATATTTTCGCCTTTTTTCTTTTAATCTCTTCTCACTGATATTTGAAACATGTTCGATTCAAAAGCAGCAAAAAAGTTAGAAACCGATTCGATCTTTTAATCTGTTTGCTTTCAAAATACTATCACCGAAGAATTCGAAAATAACTGTCAGAAGAAAGTTGAAAGAAGAAAAAAAAATTTGCTATACAATGAATGAGTGAATAATTTCTAGAATTTATTTAAGTGCAAAACAGGTAAAGACGACTATTAAGGAAGAATTGATTGAAGGTATGAAAACATCGGAATTAGTCAATGAATTACACAGATTCACAAATAAACTCTTTGCTTTGAAGTTTTTAGCTTAATTCTCTTTCTCTCTCTCTCTCTCTCACACACACACACACAGACGGTCTTTTGAAGCATCACTTTCTCTTTCTTCCCACCATATGAAATCTTATGCAAATATCACTAATGATATCGAATTTCACTACTGATAAAGCGAAGAGTGAAATGACTGATAAGACTGACTGAAAGTGTTTCAGAGATGAATGAATTCTGATTTGCAAGTTGTCTGCAAAATGGGAAAGTGAAGAACGAATCTCCAAATTGCCACATTAAACTCTTTGAGAGCCAACTAAACTTGAATTGTGACGGCCCTCCGACGTACATAGAGAGAGCATTTTGCAACCGGTATTTCTCTTCAACATTTAAAGTTCAATTTGTACTTTGTGTGTGTGTGTGTGTCTGTGTGTATGTACGTGTGTGCATACATTTATATATATATATATGTGGATGAGTTCATTTGTATTAATATATAATCACCTGGGCAAATGTACTCATTGACATCTGTCCAACTGATAAAATCATGACATTACTATTTGTATTGAAATTTGCTACTAAATACAAATGGACTGATAGATAGCGAAATTATAAAGGTAAGAATGCGAAAAGTATTGCAAAATATTTCACGTCTTAGCTAATAATAGAATTAGAACAAAAAAAGGTATACATTTCAATAAGTTATTGGAAAGAAGGATGAACAAAATATTATGTATTAGACTATTTCTCGCTTACAAGTTGAGAATTCCACTAATAAGGTAGTACTGATTTCAAAGTGCAGAATGTTTTTTAATTTAGCATCATAAAAAGAACAATGGGAAAGAAGATGGGACAGAATGTATTCCTGAAAAAGGGCACAAAGCTATGGTTACCCGAGCGGGTAAAACATGCTCATAGGAAATTCGATTCTACGTTGTAGTAAGGTCACCTAGAATGGAAGGGAGTTAGATCCAAATATTTAATTTTGTTAATGAACTTTTATTAAACCGCGTAGAACAAAAGAAGGCTTTCATTCCAGCAAATATTAGCATTGGCCAATCGAAAATTTAAATTACTATTTAAATAAAACCAAGAAAATTTAAATAAATATCCCAAGCTACAAGCCATTACGGAAGACTATTTTATGATGTACGAAATTATCATTTAGAATTGTTTGATCCAGCAAAATGGAAATGTTTCTGAATTGTCACTTGATTTCTTAACTGAAAATTGATTGAAACTGACCGATTTGAATACTTATTTTATCTGTTATAGGATCGAAGTTCTTTTTCCTTTTTTTTTGTTTTTTTAGGAATTAATTTTCAGATATATTTTTTTTTAGCATATATAATGCTTGGTAGATATTTTATCTCACATGATATTAATTTCAAGTAAAACAATTTCTTTCTAATTAAATATATTTTCGCTGCCACTAAATTATTATTTATGATTTTATTTGTTATTGAAAAAGCATCCATTAATTTTTATCTTTCTTTGTTACTGTTAATTGTAAAGGATTAATTTTTTTTTTTTTTTTTTTAATCTTCTCTGTGTTTTTTTTCTTTTCGTTTGCACCAATTCATATCCAGATAACCGGAAAAAAGAGAGAAACCGGTCTTAACACAAGTTATTTTATTAATTGAAAAATTTTTGTTGATAAAGAAGAAAGATAGCAGAAATAAATTAAAAAACAAAATTAATTAGAGTTGATTAGGATGGAACGAAGATAAGAGCGAAGTTTATATCACTAAATGATAATTTTCTTTCTATTCTTATCAGTTAGATAATGAATTTTTGCACCTTATATTTCACTCTTTCACTTATTACTACTTAATTATTTTCTTCTTTATTACTTTTAATTGCACTGTTAAGAAAAAATACTTTCAATTATCAGATCACTTTGTTTATCGAATGAAAGTATAAATTTCATTTTTCATTGCTCGAAATGTTCTAAATAATTATCAATCACGTGATACAAGTCATCAATAAGTGAATAAATGAATTAATTCTATAGGTATTGCATATCAAGTTTATATCCTCGTACTCTTTTATTCTATAAATCAATTAATTATATCTACTTTATCATAGATATGAATAAGAATTTGAGAAAAGTAAAGATTACACTTTGGAAGTTGCAAAGGTCATCATGATGCTTTGCTTTATTTTGGCCTCTGCGAGCAAGATAGAAACCGGAATGAAATTAAAAAACTTTAAAATATTTTGAAAAACTGTAAAGATTCTTAAAATTTTAAACGACAATCAACAGTTAGCAATGTACGTCTATAATTTTTTTTTAACGTTTGCAACCATTCCATTTTTGATTTAATTCTATTGCTTTGTTGTTCAGGATAAATTCCAATAAACGATGATTCCCTTCAAATTAAAGTTCATTTTTCTAAGATAGTTTTCTCAAGTTAGTGATTTTTAATTATATTTAAATTCAAATCATTATAGTAAAAAAGTAAATTTAAAAAAAAAGCGATAAGAAAGGAGAAAGTAAAACATAATAGAAATACTGACATATTAGTTTCGGAAATTTTGCAAGCATTGAATTATAAATATCAGAATAATTCGAATTTCCATTTCAGGCACTGCTACTGTCATCAGACATGATCGATGTCATCAGAGATGTCACATATTATGCTAATCGATGTCACTCAGTAGCTTTCTTTATTTCTGTTATTGTTCCAATTTGTTTTGGTCCCTAAGGATGAGAGCACAGTGGCATACTAACAGTTAGAAGTTACTAAAGCTTTTATCTTTTTCGAGCAAGTTGACAGCATAGTTCTCAATACACCCTTGAAACCACCACTTTTTGATATCCGGAATTATCCGAGTCCTAGCAATATCACTGTGTAGATATTTGCATAATTCACAAAAATTGCTTACATCGAATGTTTTCTGATAATGCCTCGTCCATTTCAGATAACTGAAAAAAGTCGGAAAGAGGCTTCAGAATAAAAGTAATGCAACGATAGTTCGATCGATCAATCAAACAATCAATTGATCAATTGATCAACTGAGGAGATGAATCAATAATGCTATGTTTCATCATTGCATACTTCTGGATACAATCGGACGCTTCATATTATTTAATTGGAGAAAAAGGACTCTTTTCTAAAATGAATTATTTTCTTGGAATTATTCGTATATTATGTAAAACATTAGGAGTACCTCAAATAGGCTGTGTTGTTATTTGACAAATAGTGCAGATATTCTGCTAGTTCACGTGGAGATGCGAAATCATCTGCAGCAATGAATGAGCCAGGCGGTAAAATACCTTCATAGATGGATCTTTTGAGCACCACTGGTATCAGTAACCTGAGGAAACATTTGAACAGTTTCTCAGTGATATAATCACGACATACACTATTCTCGAATGCCAAGTAGAAACGATGCTGCGCTGCAAATTATAACAAAATGAAATAGTCAAAGGTCGGAGAGTAAAAAATTAAGTCAAAAAGTTAAAATGATGAATGTACCAGCTTCTTTCACTTCGCATTTCTCATCACAAATACTATTTTTGCATAGTCCATGTTGTGTGATATTTATGTATGTTCGAAGTTGTTCCACGTACAGTTCACGTTTCGATTTAGTTTGACAATTTGAAACCAGTTGCAATACGGGTCGTACTTTACTACTAGCTATCTTCACTACCTTTCAAAAGAGAAATAATATTTTTTTTGTTGAACTCAAAGAAATTCTTAATCAATTAAAAAATACTTTAGTATTTTTCATTTTATATTTGGAAATTTCCGTTTTGCAAAATGAAATCCAAATTACTATTGAATAACTGCTAAATAAAAATCTAATGGTTAACGGCCACAACAAAAAACAAGTCAGGAATCCGATCCGGGATTCGTATTCAGGAATGGATCATCATTCAATAAAGAATGATAACACAGTTTTTGATATTGTGAGTTATCACACCTTAAATCATTTTATCATATTAGAAAATGATAACAAACTTCACTCCAATCCCAAACTTGTTTTCTTTGTGTAAGATTTGTTATTTTCTTCATCATACCATATGGTATATAAATGTCACTGTCACGCCTGTAATAGTGTTAATTCAAAGTTCTTAAAAAATTGCTAATTTAAATATATTGCTGTTAATACTTGAATTAACTCTATGAAATTACTAGCTCTATTAAAATATTTCATTAAATTAATATAAATCCTTTTTGCTCATTTTCCTAAAAATTTTTAGAAAATTCTGGTGAGTTCGAATTGCAGAATTTGTGATCAAGAAACCTCCCGTCTCTTCGCATTTCGATTAAGAAAGACTCGAACAAAATATTTGCTTAAAAATAGTATGAAGAAGACCTATAAGTCATCGTTATGTTGAAATAATTGCTTGGCACAAAATCCAGGTGATTAAATGTATACAGAGGTGATTCATGTAACACGAATACAAACAATTGCTTCGGATTTCTTAATTTAGGCAATTTCTTTAAGTCTCGGATGTGAAACAGTACGGCTGAGGCTTTCAAAAGTTGTCTGTAATATTCATGTTACGTTATCATCGTATCATTTTTACAATAGATATCTCGTATGAGTGATAAATCTAATTAAATTATTTACTCCCAGTGAGACAATATTTGTGTTTAGAGGTTTTTCTAATTTTTTTGTCTATTTCGAACTTCTCAGAAATATCTTTCGTCACACTTCACTCTGTAGTGAAACCTTCTTTTCAAAAATGACTTATTAAAATATGATGATCGATATGTGATTGTCTTGAAATTTTCATTTTATTTTATTTTTATTTTTTTGTTTTCTTTTCAAAAGTGAAATAGTTGACCTTCACATTCTCACATCTACAAAAAAATTTTTAAAAAGTAGTGAATTGGCCTTATCAAAATCTTCAATGAGAATCGAACCATCGCAATGGGTTCAAATGATTTTTGGCTCCTCGCATTGTCGCGATTTCTTGAGCAAACATAAAAATCGCAAATATTTGCAAGTGATAAAAATGTTTGCTTCAACAACTGATAATAGAAGGAGCTTTGTACTTTGTAAAATGACAGTATGAAATATTATCAGTTGTTGAAACTAACAAATGATAATATAAGGTTCACTTACTCTTTATCATCGGTAATTATACAATGGTAAGCACAGCCACCGACATTTGCTTCAAAATGTTGAGCCCAAGGCTGACTGAAAAATTTTGTCCAAGTAACAATTAGTGGTGATGCCAACGATGTATGATCCTGAAGCAATAATATTTGAGGGTCAGATAAAGAAAAAAAACGACAATATGATATGAAATTTGAATTTAGGCTAATATGATTTTATAGAAGTGAAAATATATCGAATTTAATAAGATAAAAGAAAATTGAAACTAAGTTTAAAAAATGAAAAAAAAAAAAAAAAAAAACAAACAACTTACCAACTTCGATCTGTTAAAAATTCGTTTCAAAGTCAATGATTCATTTAATATCCTCCATCGTATATCCTCCAAATATCGTACATAAGTGATAAAAATAATAAATAGTATAAAAAGACCAAGGCATAACTTTAACAAATGCAATTTCATCCTTCTTCAACTGATAGTATGTGTCCATTGATTTGCATATTCAGCAGATTCACTGATAAGAAAACATTTAAATTTTTTCTTTAAAAAAAATTGTAATACAGGAATTCTAGAAGAAATATAATATAAGCTAAAATAAAGTGTGTTTTTGAGCCAAAATAAACTTTTCTTCTTAATTACAAACCTTAAATCTATAAAACCATCACTCTAATAAATCATGAATTTGTTTAAATTGAAAGTACTGTGTTATTATGGGAGTGACAACATTCCTTTCACTGTGGATGGCTTAATCTGATCAAACATGGCAAATGTTCAATTATCTTTTCATCTTTTTGCTACACCTGATTAATCAACTGACCTATAAATCGCTATTTCTGAGAGTCATTTAAATCTTTATATTATCTGCTACTTGCAAAAAGTTGTTGAAGTATGATGTTCGTAATACTAGGGAAATCGACAGGTCCTATTATAAACTTTTCATGTACGAATTAAAAGAAATGCTGAAGATAAGGATGCTTAAATTCTATGCTAAGTTGAGAATGCATTTGTGTCTATCCTTTGTCACATGACGCAATTGTTATGCTTAATTATCGAAATAATTATGAAGCTGTGAATGATCAGTACAGTAAATACGAAAGATTTCTCTCTACGATGATGCATTATTTTCCTAAGTGAAATATTTGAAGTCAAACTGTTAGGAAAAGAAAGCGAAAAGTTTTCTTCGAAGTGTCATCACATTGTTTACAGTAAATAGCCATTGTTGAAGTCATCGTAGGTCAATTTTTTTAATTCCTTAACGTTTAATATAACTTTTACAGTTGATTATTCCGCAATGTTTTTTGTTTTTTTTTTTTTTTTTTTTTTTTTTTTTTTTTTTTTTAACACGATATGAAATGCAACTGTTTATAAATGCAAGCACAATCTCTGATGCATTGTTTACTATTAAACTGATGTACTCTAATTTTTCAAGTGATCTAATCCAAACTTACAGCAAAGACTTCACCTAAATTTTCATTAAATTCAAGATGAAAGGACACACTAATCAGTAAGTTATTTAAACAGCTGTCAGAGTAGATTCATTAAATTCTCTATCAGCCATTTACTTCATAAACCAAACAAAGAACATTTCAAACCAATTTATTATCTTCTTCTATGTTCTACTTCAATTAAACGATGCTATTCTCATTCAAAAATTACAGGTAACATGACAGTTTAATATCCAATATTTTTCGTTTTTAAATATAGTTCCATTAGCCAAATATTGCTGCAAATTCTTTTCTTACATATAATTGATAATGAAAAGATTTCTATATTTCTGAATTCTCGGTAGGAATGATTTAAATTTCAAAACTTGAATTGTCTCAATTTGGCCTATTTACTCCATCTCTTATAATTTTCATTATACAACTACTACGTTCACGTGTATCTCATATTTCCGTGATATATTATAATTGGACACGAATTATAATGAAGTCCAAATTTTCTTTAATACGTATTTTTACGTGTCGCAGAATTTTGCTTTTCTTTAATACTATTCTCATTTAACACTAAAGCTTGCACCAGTGTGTGCTCTTGTTAAATTAGAAAAATTTTCAAATTCAAAAAAGAAAAAAACAGAGAAGAAATTAAGTTAAAAAAAATGTAAAAAAATTTTGGTTGGTTCGGTAATACCGGGTGATTCGTATAAAATGAAAGTATATATTCTGTGATTAGTTCTTCGGAAGATTTAATACATCGGACGAAACTTCACACCAATTTAGAAATAAAATGAATATTTTTTGTTTTCATGCACATAGAAAAGTAATTGCTGTGATCGATATTGCATCGTTGCAGCGCATCGATGTGGAAAATATCATTTGTGAAGAATTAAGTCATACTACAATTGAAGGTTTCTTCTGAGATCTGCTAAATCCTACAAATTTCCTTTTTTATGACTGGGAGCTATCAAAAACGTCCTTTCATTACTTTTTTAATAGCGGTACTCAATTATATCTTGAGTACGTGTAAACTACACAATGTCAACATTAATAAAAGGTATCAAAATCCGTTAAATTCACTCATTGTTTCTGCTTGCACATCAAAAAAGAAGGAGTGCAGAATTCAGTAAGCAATATCATAAGAAAAGGGTTGAGATTATCACTGTGACGCTAAAAAAATAGATCATATCAAAAAATCAATGGATTGTTTTCCCTTTCTCAGCTCAATGTTTTGTTTAAATTTAAAATGAGTGCATTATTATACAATACAAAAGATTAAAGCATATTCTTTGATCCTGGAGTGACTACAAGTAAACAAATGATAGAACAGATGGCAATAATTGAATTGAAGTTTTCAAAGTGACCAAAAGTGCTAACAATTAAAATTAATTGGATCGATTGAATGCAAAATCAAATCAGCACACTAATCTATGTAAGTCAGTAAGCACTACAATAATAAGTAGTAAATCATGATTCTTAACTGTCATATTAGATTTTTTTTACTTTTATCAATGGAGAAACGGGAAAAATTGATCGATTTGTTTGCGCACAAATATTCGATTGATTCAAAAAATTATATGATTAAATCCTAAACTAATTTCTCACTTTTAATTCAATCATACTCACAATTCACGTAAATCATCAATCATCTTTTCACGTCGATCACTACCAGCATAATATCTCACATAAACGTCACAAATGCATTTGAAATTTCAGTAAAGTAAGTAGAATCAAAAGAATTGTAATTAGAGGAAAGAGTAAAGAAAAATAAGAATAGGAAAATTCTATTCATTTTGATTCTAATAGAAATGTTCTAATGACAGTATGTACAAACATTTCCACTTTGAAGAAAAATAAAGGAATCAGTGACTTTACTTAAATATAAAAGTGACTCAATGTTTCTTTCAGTTACGATTATTTATCTGATCGAATTATTTCATCAAAATATGATAAATTAATTTTGCTTGACTGATTGATTGTACGTTTACTAATACCAAATTGTAATAAGCTTTTAGTAATAATTGCATTTTTACTGCTTATTCTTTCGTTAACAAAGTTTGGTCATTTCTGTTAAATGTGATTTGTATGTTCGAAGTTTTCACTAGCACTTTTGTTTCTATCGCTTATTTAAAGTTTTTTTTTTATTTTTATTTTTTGAAATTTCATTAAAGGATTAAAAATCGTTGAATAAAAAAAAAAAAAAAAATAGATGAACAATTTTATTTTTTCTATGATTCATAAAATTTCTCTTTTATTTCATAAGAAAAATGTAATATATATGAACAGATAAGCAAATACAACAGTGAAATATCATTAGCAATTTCAATACTAAATCTAAAATTGATGAATATCTTAATATGATATCCATAGGTTCTATGACATAATTCATTAGAAATATTTGACATCTCTTAGCTAAAACTGTTCATTCTGATGTCGAAATCATTTCAGGAAAAATCCAATGTGATAATTAAGTACAACACAAATTATAAGTATTTATTGCTAACAAAGTTCAAAATGTCCATCATTATTTAGCATATTTCGTGCATTTTAAGCAAAGTCAACGACCGATTAAATATAATTAAAATAGTTCTGATGGATTGTTGAATGAAAAGATCATTGATTTCAGATAATCATAATATCTGATGATGAAATACCAAATATTGAATTTACACGTGTTCGCCTGCTAAGGAAGGTAAATAATGATTCATATTTTTACCATTCTCCTCAATCAAACGTCACGTCATTCTTTATCGACATTTTCATCTGCCGTTACGTCAAATTACAAATTACGATGCGTTCGCTACGGTGCAAGACATTCATGACGACTTGCATGGGAAAGTCTCATTGTCTTGCAGAATTGCATGCAAGTCGAAATTGGAGAGTGCTAATATATTAAAATGGTCAGCACACTTGCTGAATTCAGAAATTTAAACGAATTCGCAGATGTTTTATGTGAACATTTTTAGGTAATTCAAAAATATTGAAATCAATCACAGTTAAGCTAAAAGGTATGAAAGAAAGAAAGAACAAATGTCCACAGTTTATTTTTAAAAGTGAAATTTTGAAGTTAGACAATACTTACTTAGTGAATTATAATTGGCTAAAACTGAAACTTCTTCATTCTAATTTTATTTCTTCCTCCTTTTGTTAACTTCAATTTGTTGGCATTTTTACAATGATCATTCAAATGTAAGTTAAAAGATTTTCAAAAGTTCAAATTTTCAAAAAAAAATAAGCTGGATACATCATTTTATATGAACGAACAATTTTGTAAGATATTCCTCCTTTCAACCATTCATTTCCTTTATTGAAAAGTTCATTTATATATGAATTAAATATCTTATTAGCTTATATAGATAGACTTTTGATGCTTTTATTAATCAGAAAGCAAATATTATCCCACAATTATTATTATTCCTTTAATTAATGTTTATATAAATTTGATCATAATGTATTCTGCTACAGCAATATGCACAGTTATTCAGCTGTAATTCCCAAAAGTTCTTGCTCATCCGGAAATATTGTGAGCAATCTAATGCTTAACTTATCAGATATGTTTATCACTAATCTTTTTCATGTAATCTTCTGATGATGAACTACTGATATTAGTCATCTCAGAAATTTAGTTATTAATGGTAGAACTTCTTTGTTTCAGATAGATAAATTGTCAGAGAAAGAAGAGTGTGTAATGGTTACCTTCAAGTCATTAATAACATCTACAATTGATGAGGCCATTTATAATTTCCGTAAAGTCCGTGGAATATCTATAAAAGATATACTGATGATATCTTTTATTAAATAACCGAAAGAAATTCACTTAATAAAATGATTAGACGGCTGAATTCATTTATTTGTTTCAAAAGGACTTTTTATGAATGAATACCACATGATATTTTCATGTAAAGAAATAATTTGAACAACTTAGGTGAAAGAACCGAATCCGGAACACTTTATTTATGGCAAGGTGTTACATTAAAAGTTCATTAATTCTTTTCTCATTTATTCTTTCAATTTTACTTTAAAAAATTGCATTATTCACTGACTTGGTATGATAAAATAAAAATTCTCCTTTTTGACTCACTTTTATTACCTTATATTCTATAACTATGGTTATCAAATATAAGAGGTACATTCTTGGAAAGTAAGGTGACATATCATAAACTAATTAAGGTTAATGATTCTGAATAGCTATAAAATATAGAGGACTATTCAGAGGCGCAAAAATATGTAGTTCTGTATTTCAAATAATTTCCATTGCTAAGATGGATAAAGTGCAGAAAAAAGTGCATTTCAGGATGTTACCTGAAAATATTCAGAATCGAATCAAAAAAAATGAGAACAGGAATCCAGACCTGATGAATACAAATTTGGGAGAAGCAAGAAGAAGTAGTGATTCAACCACCAGTTTTCCGATTGAATGTAATCAGTTAAAAATTCATGTATAGACAAATAAATGAAAGATAAAAAATGCCTTTTGTATTCAAAAAACAAATGAAAAATTTCTACAAATGTTCTACAGTGAATTTCAATAAATATTTAAAAGTTTTCTCGTCCAGCAATAATTCCGAAAACGAATGCCATTTGAAATAAGCGTTGATTATTTGAATTATTCATATCTTGAATAGCATTAGCTGAACTAAGAGATGGGATAGTTTAACAACTACACTGAATAATGCCTTTGATATATGTTAACGCTGATAGGGTAAAACTTGCATTCAATTTCTCAAAAAAAAAAAAAAAGAGAAATTTTATTTTATATGAAACAAATGATACAATAAGAGAAATTCAACAGCTTATTTAATATATAGAAAAACTTAAGTCACAAAAAAACATTCACACTCTGTTATTTCCCATAAGATCATGTATGCGATGAGAGCATTACTAAAGTATAAAAGCTTATTCATGCCAGTAAATAAAATTTGAACAACTATTCCTGTCAAATACGGAGATAGTTATAAAATACTTATAAAATAATGGAAACTTTTAAACTCACTAATGACCAAAAACTTAAAAAATTAAACGGTCACTCTCCGAATAACCTAACTTATCGAGGCTTGGTGTACAGGCAAACTTGATCATTGGCGGTGGGCCGCACATCAAAATTACCGTGCCACTTCCAGGTTCCGGCAAATGCTTTTGAATCATTTCTGCGTTCACAAATCCTATAAATATCTGATAGTGAAGAATTTATGACGCGTTATATTCACTATCGGAATAAACTTAACTGATGCGCATGTATCAATGACATTCCTACACCCTTCCTACTTATTTTCTATGATTTCGATAATTGGACCTGTCGAGTATATCCAGCCAGGTTTTGCCTGATCGATGGTGTACCACACACGGAACTTCTCTGAATGCTCCGCAGCTAACCTATCTAACTCATCTCTAAAAATTGATTTAATTATGGCTTCATTTCGAAAGAATATAATCCAGAAAAGGACCTCCATCATCTGAAAAAAATATTACGAAGATCAAATAATCTTACTAAACTAAGAAATCAAGACAAGTTAACATTAAATCATAGATAACTACCTATTCTATATGGGAAGAACAAAGACGATTAAAACCATCATACTAAAAATGGGCCCAGACATCCATTTGTAATAAGCCAAAGTGCTAATTAAGCCATAACTAACGTATCTCACAAGAATACATAAATCATATCATTATAACAACTTCACATTAACAAATTTCAATAAATCTAAACCATAACATATTTTGTACAAAACATACCTAAGCAATATATCGGATTCATCTTTGTTAGCAAAAATCAATGAAACCTTGGTACAATCATCCGGATCTTTCATAATTGCTGAGATAATCTACAAATATATTTCTCGCTATTCAAATTACTACACTATTAACCAATTAAAAAGATCTGTATGATAACAAAACATAATACCACCAATATTTTACTTGCAACATTGGCGTGATACCGCTGCCGCCAGCAATCATACCAATATTTTTGTACACATGACTTTTCGGTTCTGCTTTTTTCGTTGACTTCACAGCAAAGGATCCATTCCCTTCATAAACAATTAATCCCGAGGGACCGCGAAAATTAATTGTTTCACCTGACATTATGTCAACAATAATACCATAGTCACTTGAGATAAATGACTTTTTACACACCTCATGATATCAATTAGGAGTGTCAGAACTAACTTTCGTAATCAATCACATCTCCTCCGTGATGGAAAGCAACTAAGGTATTCAAAAAATTAAGAAATGAAAATGAAACTGATCATAACTTATGGTAAAAATTTATCTCGTATAGATATACTCCTATCCATCTATTCTGTTATCAAATCTATACCTATCTTCATTTTCTCAAGATACTGTGTCATCTTTCCACCATCCGGAAACTTGGGATGAACGTTATTAAAATAAATCTTGACCATCAAATCGACATATCCTTTGTCATCATCGGATGAAATTGGAGTATATGGACGAACAACAAGCTTTTCGTTTATCTAAAATCATCTTATTCCAAAAGCTGCATTATATAAAAATCAACATGTGGAATCGACTTTTCAAGATATTACATGTTGAAAATTTTCATTTTGAACTTGCAAAAATTATTCCATGTACAACAGGAGTTCCAATGCAGGATGATATAAAACCATGGCATATCTCAAACTTTTTGTGTTTTACGCTTCTAGTTCCGAATTACAGACTGAGATAGAACTTCAAATATTCTCGCACAATTCAAATATTCTCGCACACCTTTGCAGAAAGGTGGATGTGTTGGCCAACAGGCAAGCCAAGAACGTGCTCATTAGTGGGTAGCTTGAAACGAAATCTTCGCGTATCGTGGTTAACAATTTCTTTTTGCATTAAAGCTAGAGGATATGTTGCTTCCGAATCCACAAGAGTTATTAATTTCTGAAATAAGTTGAAGTTGAGAATCGTATCCATGATTCATCCAAGAAGTTTTGGCTTCTATAAAAGTACTAAATAAAACTTATTGTTAAGGAATCTTTAAATTCCTCACCTTTCTCGTAATACCAAAAAGCGAATAGAGTTTACAGTGGATACCACTACGTCGATATAAAAAATGATATAGCACTAGTGAAGAAACAAGTATGACGGAACCCGTAATAAGTGTCACGTTAGTTACAGCGCTCTCGTAGTTCGAAACCATTTTTATGGTGTTCTCGTAGCTTGAAGCTACAGAATTCAACGTTATTTTTCTTTCTGAATTTTCAACGCGGTAACCACTTCAACTTTTATCAAGCTTTAGGGTCCCATCACGGACAATTCTCAAAAGCATTATTTTAAGTTTTTTACTACGTCAAAAAAAAAAAAAAAAACTTAAATTGCTTCGTATAAGTGTTTAATTTCCCTCAATGCATTTAGCATAACTCAAAATCTCAAAACACCCATGTGGTGAAAGAAATTACTATTCGTTTGCTTCATAATTAAGATTTTAAAAACAAAATATCTATTCAGTAATAACATAGCACTCCTCAAAACGCACTTCTTCAATGATAAAACCCATTACTCCTACCGCAGTATTAAAAATGCAGATGAAACGGTATTTCTTTTCAGTATGTTACTCCTCGAATTATTGTTCGTACTGATTCTTTTGAATTCAAGCAGAACTACAATACTTGAAAAGTAAAAAGACCTCTTTAACTCGCACTTCCTACTTTTAATTTCTACCTTATACAATTAAACCTCCTTTACCATAAATCAAAACAAATAAAAACCAAGACCGGAATCTAAAACTATCTCAGTATATGAACAAATATTCTCAGTGATAATAAAGTAGAACGTCTATATGAACAAATATTCTCAGTGATAATAAAGTAGAACGTCTCCTTATAATTTCTGCAAAACATTAATGTTCAAGTGTTCTTTGCTTTTGTGTATTTTCTTCGAATAACAAATTATAACAATATTTTATTTATGAGAGAAAAAGAAGCTAACAATCAACCAGATAGGAATATTAACGAAACCAACTTATTCAGGCAAGGAATAACAGTTAAGAATAATTTTAAAATCCCACTAATAGCAACTTACGAGAACATTAAATAACTTTAAGGAGAACATAGAAGCAACTGAACGATAAAGCAAAATGAAGAAAGAAAAACATTTTCGTGAAACAACCATACTTTATTTCCCATGCAAAAAGTTAAGTAGTTTCCTTTGCTACAATTACATTTTCCTATCGCGGTACAAACCTTCTAAGAAACTAATTAGTTCCGGTAAAAATATAGAAAAAATATATCTGACAGCCTTTCCGCTGCTCTTACTACTACTATGAAGCAAAAAAGGCGGAATTAGTTTCTGAAAAAGGAGAAATAGGAAACTCGTAATATATAATTCTTCATTGGACATGCAATACATTCTTTATGCTTGTTCAATTCTCCCCTTCGCCACAACTTATTCTGAAAATTCAAAATGTAAAAAAAAAAAAACTTCAACAAATGAGTGAACATGAAGTTATACAAAGTGATAATTAACCTAACAATTCCCGTTATAAGCTCATATAGGTTGGTATCTATCAAGACCGAATCCAGTCAAACTTTATACCCACTTAAACCTAAAACCTTACAAGTAAGTTCTATCTACCATAAAATAAGAAAAAACAGAACAAAAAAAAAAAAAAAAACTATACCTGCGAATTCAATTTTTTTGGTTAAGCCAAGTCGGTAACAAAGTGCAACCAGCAAACTCATGCTTGCAATCTATTTCTATAGATGGTATAGTTTTCTTTTTGTAAGCAGAGAATGAGCTGCTTCCTTGAGCACCTCGTCTCCGACTGCAGCAACTTAAAAATAGCATTTTAGAAAAAGATTCCCAAAACAAGGATAATAAAAAAAAAAAGTAGTGTTCAACACTATAACCTTTAAAAATAGTCGCTACATAAATAACAAAACAGTCCCAAAAGTCAAACAAGTCAATTTTCACGATATCATGGGTCAAATTATAAAGAGCGAATTCGATAAACAGAAAATGGTTACTATTCCTTTTCAATAAGAAAAATATGCACCTTGCCAAATGGCACGACGAATCGGTGGCTGTCGCGATCATAATACAAGTATTTTCAGATTCGGAATAAAGAAACTGATAAATCTTCCCAGAGCAATAAAAATAAATGATTTTTACTGCCATGCAAAACAAAGAAAAGATGTGGACCGAACACGAAATAATAATGATCCAATCTAGAAAGAATATTTTGGAATCTCTTAATCTAAAATTATCACTTTGTCTTGAAAAAGAGGAATCAATCCCTTCCAGAAATTATATAACATACATAAAAAATCTCCAGAAATGAAACAGCAATCGCGACTAGCCACCGAATATAGTCAATAATCATCAAGATTGATATCTTCAATGCCGTCATTTAGATCATTCAGCTGGAAATCTACGCGATAACGCAAAAGACCTGTAAATAAATTATATTAGGTGAATAACAAATCATCAAAACATTTGCAAAGAACAAACAGCACCTCCAATACCACCAAAGCCTCGAACAAATTGTGCTCCTTCTTGTGATCGATCTGTAACAATTTCCAAAGCTGCACCGTATGATTTATAATTGTTCGCTAACCATTCCAATAACGGCATTGAATCCATAAGTTCTAATTCCACACCAGTCTAAAAATCATATCGATTTTTTTTTATTTGAATAACCCCTCCTTCAAAATTTACGGACATGACTAATGAAATATTTCTTCTTCACACATGCTGAAATGCTGCAATGAATGGAATGGTCACTCGTCACATTTTCTGTAACGTTATTTTTCCAGAAAATAAAATAACATACGGATGATTCAGTAAAATGCGTCTTATTCTTTTCTTGATCTGGATCCAAGTATAGCAGTTTCTCTTCTAGAAAACGCAAAAATCAATCTAATGGAACAAAAAATAATCTAGTTTATATCTGAACGAATAAAAACGAATACCTCCGGTAACCGGATTTTTAAGCTGATATCGTACAATGTCTAAATTTTCCCAACAAATCAGCGTTTCTACAGCACCCATTTCTAACGCTTGCAGTGTGTCTGTCACACCATAAACATATTTTCCAGAATCCTTTAACATATATATTTGCTGATTTCATATGGAATAAAGGGGTTAAGTGTAGTGCAGTAGTGAACAGGTTTCAACTATTATTAAGTGTTGAACCCGCAGACGACATGCACTTTAATTTCGGAAGTCTGACTTTGAGATGTGCAAGACACACAGCACAATTACTAACTTCCAAAAACAATAAAAAAAAAACTACTACTGCATGAAAATATGAAGAAAAAGGGAAAATAAAAGTCTATTCACAGACTTCGAAAGCTATCCTTTAATTCTAAAACTTATCTTACAAATAAATTTCATTATGCAATACTTCCAGGGAACTTTTTTTCGAAAAAATAAAAAAAAAAGTAAATGAATTTAAAGTACCTGCGAAATCTCATCAAAATACCCATTAATTAACTTCTTTTCTTGGATGAATTTTACATTAGCCAATGCATCTTCAGCCAGTTCAATTGCTTGATTAAACCCATTCTCGCCACCGTATGAAATATCTACCGTCTTAATAATTTTTGCTTGGAGTCGCTGCAAACAATGAAGGTCGATCGTTAATAAAAATACGCTTGATCCATTGTTAGAAATCACTACTCACCTGATCAAACATATCAGACTGGCCAAGTTCCGTCTTGAAATCTGCACTACCAGCAAGAATTAATCCCGCTACATTTACTTTATCATTTCGGATAAATATTTCAACAGCTGTTTCCGCAACCTTTCTGACATAATTATGACGTTTCTCCATACGAAGTCGCGCGAAACGCAATGCAGATTGTCCACCACGACCTGAAATGTGCAAAAATTCGATATAACAATAATTAACAGTATGATAAAGCGTTATATTAAAAAACAACCCCTTCTAATATATCAAAATGAAAACAAGAGTCACCATGCTTTTTCGGTAAATCAACCGTGAATTTGTGCAGCACCTCACGTGTATTACCCTGCAATGTCCCAAATAATGACCCATTGCCATCCATTATAATAAATCCAAATTTATTGTCATCAGCCAAAAGAGCTGCAAGAGAGGAAGAATATTTCTCAAAAACCAAAAGCAAAGATATGAAAACACACAATCTCATGTTTGCGTGTTATTAAATCTTATTGTAATGTTATTGAATCTAAACATTTTGAAAAAATTAATCGGACAACATTAATACACACCTTGTAGTGCCTCCGTATGGAACTTGTTATCACAGAGATAAAGCGAAGTATTTATTGGTTTGAATGGTTCAAAATCAATGTTCACTTTCTTCTCCTTGCCTTCATCCGTTACAATTGTGCCACAGTAAATCACTAGACCATTTGTTGGTACTGAAAATAACAATTACTGTAAATCACTAGACCATTTTTTTCGACTACATGATACGCCAATCTCTCACTCGACATTACGCCATGCGTATCTCATTAACACAATAACCTGTATTTCAAGAAATGAACTAACCCTTGTTATAAAGTTTTAGCCTTCCTTGCACCGACGTAATGGCACCCAAAACAGATAACCGATTCACTCGAGATTTGATATTTGAAGCAGTACCATATTCATCGGCCAACATTTTTGAAATGCGCGCAATTTGGTCTCGCGGAGGTATTATCAGAGAAATCATTGATGTCCCATTCCTGGATATTTCCATTTCTTCATTTTAAACAACTTTTAATCCAGCTTCTATTTTTAAACAGATTACTCTATGCATCGAAGACTGAACCAATCACTAACCCTCGAGCCATCTCCAAACTTTTAATCAAGCGCTTGATTTTCCACACTTCAACATTATGATCTGCTGCATCTTCACCGGAACCAGATGGTACAGACATAACTATCAACGTTTATGCTTCTTTCTCGCCTAATTGGTTTCACAACGTCAAGAAAGTTAATGCTGTCCTAACTGACTGAAAATTTATCAGTTTAATATAGAATATGCAATGAATAATTGTAAAACACATAGGTCGACTGTTCCGTTAATCGTCGGCTATCAAGTCTTACGCATTAAAGTACGCATGGATTCCACTAATTTGTTCCCAAATGTCATCCATTTCCCAACTTATTTTAATACTTCATAATAATGATAGTCACGCTTTGATATTTGTTCCATTATAGAAACTTTACAGCAAATATCCAAGCGCATTGTGTAACACTAGTCGCTCACTCATCTATCAGGATCCACTGATTAAGCTAAAGAGTTGTTAATCACTGTACAATATTTTAAAGATGATGTCAAAACACTTAATGATGGAAAACAGGGTCATTAAACGGAAGGGAATAATCAATAATTTCGCCAGTATTTTGGTGATAGAAAACCTTAACAGAATGTAAATTGATACAAACTTCATAAATTTGAATAAAATATTGTTCTCTAGAATCTAAAAACTGTATCCCTTGAAGGAGCAATGAAAAATCTTAGAGCAGACAGTTTTAATAATTGCTTGAACGTTAAAAAAGTCTGGCGGAATTTTTCTTGTAAAGATGACAATCTAACTAACATATTGGAAAAATGAAAACCATGTAATATACATTTGATGTTTAGAGAAATGAAAGAAATTAACAATACATGTCAAAGAGATAATTGGCAAATGAAGCGAATCAGAGAGAAAAGAGATAACTACCACGGTAACTCATCTTGGTAGTAACTATGGTACTTAACCTCCCAGAAGAACCTCAGTTCCCTGAACATACAACTCACCACAAAAACACCCATTCAGTATTTCACTAAAGACAATGACTGCAAATTTTTGGGAAAACTGCAAAAGGAAAGTTGGCACGTATGCGGGGACACAGCGCAATTTTCAATCCTAAGTGATAGGACAATTGTATTCTACTCGTTTCCGGTCCGTTTGCGTCAGGAAACGGATTTCCTTGAATTTTCTTGAAAGGGTGACTTTAAACGGCAAATTAAAGGCTAACACTTAAGTGTTATGCATGAAAATACAAATGACATTCTGCAAAAATCAGAAACTTAACAAAGAACCAAAATATTAATTTATGATTGTCCTATTTGCATATATCATTAATATAATAAACTTATGTTGTGAGCAATCTAATTTTTAACTTATCAGATATGTTTATCACTAATCTTTTTCATGTAATCTTCTGATGATGGACTACTGATATTGGTCATTTAACAAGAACTTGAAAAAAAAAAGAAATATGGGCTTAAAAATCATCCTAATCACTGACGTGTATTAATTAGAATGTGGAAGTGAATACATTAAAAATTGTTGCTCTCATCAATGATTACACATTATCAATGTCAATTTACTCACTTTTATTAATTTTATCACATTTATCAACTTTATTAGTATACGTTATATTTTCGGATATACCTTACCTCATTGTTCTGCATTGTTTTATTTCCAAATAATATAACGTTAAAAAGTATGAATTCGAGATATGAAACAAACACTAAGAATATTCTTATTTCTATACATCTTATTATTTTCATTTCATATTTCAATAGATTACAATCTGATTTATAATTTCCAAACAGAAAAAATTAGCATGAAATAATAATTAATGCACTCACTGTGATATGTAGTAGTGATAGGAAGAAGAGATTAAACTGAAGAAAAAGAACTTAATTAAGAAGAAATTACAACAGAATGATATAATGTAGGGGAAATATTACGCACTGAAATGATTGATAAAATATATATTCTTATTTCCATGATCGATTAGATTTATCGACTGCAACAATGCTATTAATACTTAAAAGATAATTCTGCAATAAATCTTTTTGAGAATAATATTTGCTGTCTCTCTCTCTCTCTCTCATTTTTTTCCTTCAAAAAAAGTGCATATTTAGGGAATAGCTCAGTAATCTTGTAATCTCAATTCTCTTCACGGAGTATAAAAAAAAAAGATAGATAAAATAAAAGGCTAAAATGATGAAAAAGCAGGATGAGTGACATATACAAATAAATGAATAAAATTTATGCTTCATTTATGTCATCTTGTGAGCAGAAAAAAAAATCCACCAAAAACAATTTCATTATCAAATTAATTTTTTCCTTCATTCAGTGTCATTTTTAATGGTCTAATATTACACTATTGATGTTTAATCAAAATATTTCGTTACATTCAGTGATTTCATCTTTAAATTATCGATCAGTGAATACGGATGAAATTATTTATTTAAAACAATTATGGTATCATAGATGCAACTGATAACAATTCTGCACTCCTTTCGTTTTTCAAATTATTCCATCCTGTGTATTTAATTATAAACAATAATAGCAGCGTAATAGGATAAGACCAATCTCTGTCAACTCTTAAACAAAATAACTTAAAGACAAAAACTATAAAAGAATGAGAACATTTGTGTAAAAGAATTATGCATCTTAAAAGGAAACAGAATAGGATGATTTAGTGATTATTGGAATCAGGAAATCAGATATGATACTATAGACATATAAGCATAGCATCAGTTATTTAGTCGGTTTAGCTTTTTTTCCAATAAATTCACTTTAATCCTCCCATTTTTACTATTTTATAAATATGATGTTCATGACATAGTAAATGTTCATAGTCTGCTACCCTTCTGATTTCCAGGAAGCTTTTTATTGTTATCAAGGTCGAAACATTTTAGATATAAAATCTGCGCATGTGAAGAAATGTATTCAATATGATAACTAAAGTTTCTATATAAATATCAATAACAACTAAAACCTTTTCCGATCATACAAAGAATCACGTAATGCTTTGCAACATGCCTGAAGAATCAACATCGTTGCATTCCATTCTCATAACAGTAAAGTTTATCAATTTGTCATCAATCACAACAAAGAATTTTAATCATATATAGCTTTTATCTGCCTTATTTAAATTGATTAAAATGATATTCACAGTAGTTAAATATATGGATTCTCAAATATACAATCATAACACTATCATTCCTACATCATCTTCCATTACATTCACCGTTCCTAAATCAAATCTACCCATCTGAAATTATTTTCAACTTCCACTTATCCATACAATGGAGGAAAGCTTATTCATAAAAAGCAAGAAATTTTGTAGTTTCCAGAAACAAACATTTTTTTTTTTAATAGATGCAGTTCTCGAAACTATAAAAAAATCAACTATAATCACAAAGTAGACAGCACTCTAATAAATTCTAATCTTCATGTGGTTCGAGAAACAGACAATTTTTTCTTCAGCACAATTCTTTCCTTATCACTTTTTCTTTTTTCTAATAATACAAAAAAAGCTGAAATAATCGATGATAGGTTAACAGGAGAATAATGAAATATAAAATCAAAAACTCCCAAAAAAGGCATAAAAAAGCAAAATAATAAAAAGTAGTGAATTACAATTACTCAGAAAAATAATAAATCTATATTATTAGGGATTATACCAATCTAAGAAAAGTAACGTGAAAGTGAGGACAATAATACAAAACAAAAGAATCACACGTCTAGATGCCATGTTTTGGATTGCTTGACGAATCTGTTCGTTTCCAATTCGAATATTTTCAACCGTTAGCAATGTTGTTTCGTTCACAACATTTATATCCCTTTCTTGTTCCGAAACCTGGAATTTAACTAAGTTATTAACTAAAAGGAATACGAAATCAATAAATCATTAATCTGTTAACCTTCTCGGCAAATGTCGTTTGTAACTGATGTAATTCCGCCATCTGTTTTTCCACCCTTTGAATGTCGCTATCGACTTGAAGAGATTGAGAATATAACCGTTCATTTTCAATCATAAGCTGGGCACGCTCATCGTCATCTAAATTATTAAGTGCGTCCATATCATCTGCTTGTTCAACTTCTTCAAAACCAGTCATTTGCGTATCGGACCATCCATCCTGCTCTAACTTCCTGATTTCGCCTTTCTTCATATCTAGAACACATCTGTGCGAATGAGCGTAAAATACAACTGAATTTCGAGGTGTTCTCAGAAGTGACTTCAATTTAAGATTAAACTAGTTCATATATATCGGATTAGAATAGTAAAGAAGCTCGTACTCTGAGGAACCCTCTTCCTCAAACCATCGTTGCCAAAAATTATGGCATCATTTAGTACAGAATCTGAAATTGACGAGATATCCGACTTCAGTGATTTAGTTTCAATTGAATTTCCATTAACCATCAGTAGTTCATCCCTTTTTTTTTTCATATTGTATAACTGTGCTAGTGTAGCCAACCTAAAATGATTAAATAAGAAAATGCACAGGTATATACAAAAATACATCGAAATTCTAGTAATTTCAAAGTACAGTGAAATTCAATAATATCAAAATTTAATCCAACATCAACTACAGCTCTTAAGAACTCTGGCTTGTTAATCGGATGTGGAAAACTATCGGACACATACTCTCGAATTTTGGAAACAAATATGAAGATACTATTACGCACTGGATGTTGAAAAAGAACACAAACGGAAGCACTCAAATCATTAATTACCACATAATGTTTTTACAACTAACAGTGTGATGACAAGCAGCTTTTGACGGTAAGTAGCAAAAATGTATTCAGTATCTCGACAAATCAGAATCTAGAAACTTCTTTCACTAACCAAATTAATAAAAATACAGATACCTGCATGTTCGCATAGTATTGCTTATCTTCTTTGTTCGCAAAGCTCGCATTTCAGCAACAATTTTTGCGGTTCCATTGAGATGCTTGCCAAGCAATCGCAAAACCTAAAATCGCTTGTTATATTATAATAGATACTATAATGCACTACACTTTTGGATAAATTGAAACTGAAAATCCAAATTAGCAGATTACACTAGAAAAATTTCGACATTTGTCGAAGAAAAGAAGTGAAAGTCTGATGAGCTACAATATACCGTAAGCGAAGTGGACTTTTAGCAGTGAATGATCGGAGAACAAGATGATTAATATTACAGAAGTGAAACTTGACGGATATTGGTTTCATGGCGTAATCATGATGAAATGGGTCGCGCTTCATTGAAGGAAATCTAAAAATATACACCTGGAACAAATGTGGGCCTTCATCAAAAGCTCGTAAATTACTGCTGCTGATTTTGAGTTGTAAAGTTTGTATCGATTGTATGCAATCTTGCATCATTTCCTTAATTTTTGCATCCAGTTCGTCTCGTTCAAAATCATTCATACCTACAAATAGTATGATTAATTGCGTAAGTAGGTGAAGATCGGTATTATCGAAATCATTTCCACCGTATTATACAGACGAGCTATACTTGATTTTTTCTGAAAAGAATGCACAATGACAGAAAATAAGTTATATATAAATTATTTTGCAGCTAAGACAACTGCATTTACAGTCAGATTAGTGAACAACATCTAACACTCATACTAATTTTATTATCAAATACTACGAGTCTGTAAAAAAATAAGCTAAGCTTACTGTCTGTGTACGACGCTATTAGCCGTCTAGAATGACCAATATCGGAAACATAATTCTTTCTTCCACTGATAACTATACTTCGAAGAGCGATTAATTCCCGACGAATTCTTTGAGCTTCAACTGTACATGATATAAAACTGAGATTCGAGAGATTGCGCGATGATGTTTTCTCCAATTTTTCTAAAGAAAGAAAATAATCGTGCCCTTAAGCATAAGTCCTAAAAAATTTCGAATTAGCTTAACGATTTTCGATGAATCAACTATCGACAAATTTAGAAAACAGTAGGGAATTCACATATATTGAAACATAGAACACTTTAAAAAAATAATACTTTAAAAAATTCGGGAAATCTGAAACCTGGATGAATTACTTGCCGTCGAAGCTGCTATGAGAATTTTTTGTTTGTTGTTGTTGCTGGTGCTGCTGCTCCTGCTTTTGCATCTGAGCTCGTTTTAATCGCACTGTTTCCTGTGTTCGTATCATTTTCACTTGAGCACGAAACAACGGTGTTTTGTCTATTGGCATAGTGACCTACACTCTTATGGTACGCACCTTGTTGAAACCTAGAAATTTAAAAGTCTGAAATCAATCCTTCGATGTATCATATGAGTTCTACCTTCTATACTCCATTACCCTCATAACTGTAAACTCAATGGCATAACATTGTAATCATAACATTGCTTCATTTGCCGTAAAAAATACTTTAATAATTCATGGACTTACTTTTAACATATTGCAAAACAAACATCGTTTTGTTTAAATCACTAATATGATATGAAAAACAAGAAAAAGATATAGCGACGTTTAGTTACAGGAACTAAAGTCATGCTAAACACCAAATACGTTGGCTTACACAGCACCAACGGCAAAATAGAAAAAACTGGGATGGATAATCCCATCGGTATTTTAACTGCCTTGCAGTATATAAAAGTGAAACCTGGGAGACATATAAGTCAAATGCAGTGAATGGTCAAATGCAAAGAACATTAAATAGGTAATAAGTGCTATTATTTCTTGCTACTTTCGGTGAAACCCATCCTAAACGACTCACAAACTTATTTATTCATCACTAGGCATCTCTTTATACTAATTTCATTTTAGCAACCACATAGCCTAAAATTAAGACTTGCAAAAATCATGAAACCAACTCACAAATTTCCGCTTTTTCCTTCATGCGAAAATAAAAACGTAATCTTTTCTCACCAATGAGTACTACAAAATAAGCAAAATGAAAATGTATACGACATCTCTCTGCCTTGACGTCATTTCTCAAATATGAATTCTGTTCCCACCATATAGGGTTCCGGATATTTTATTTGCATTTATTGTTTGCTAATTAATAGCTCCTAAAACTCATTTAATATAAAATTACTTCGTTTAAAAACCGTCACCATGAAAAAATGATAAATCAAGAGTTAAATTTTATTCGCAAAAGAAAAAAGAAACGAAGGAGATAACTGTTATAATAATGTTTGTAATGATCAAGTTAACAGAATATGCAAAATGGTACATAAATTAAAGGGAAGAATGGAAATTACATCATAATTGCAAGTAGGTGATACGCTTGTGAATTTATCATAAAAAATTATTAGAATAATAAAAAATAAAAAAAAAAAAAAAAAAAACAAATGATTTATACAGTGCAAAGGCTGTCATACACAGAGGACAACTACTACATGGCGAGGCAAAAATTTCGATCATGTTTCCAACACTTCAACCTAAAGTCAATATGAATAATGAAAAGTATTTTTTCACGAAAATATTATTAATTTATCGAATCCTGCCCACTTCTTACTTTTCCAAATTCAAATGATATCGACTTAACAAAGAAGGAGAAGGTAACCGAACCTTATGGAATTAAAAAAAAATATTTATTTTTGATGGAAAACAGACATGCAACCATGATGCATGTGAGTGTGGATAATATGAAAAAGACAGCTGGGAAAAGACAAAGATTCTAATAAAGCTAAAATTGATTTTTTAATACATAAAAAGCTTACAAACAAACTAAAAAAACTTAGGTCTTCAACATTACCTTATGCAGACTGATCAATTTCGAAATTTCAAGCAGAAGAACAAAAACTAAGCAAACAAATTTACTGCAACCTAAGATTTATTGCTGAGACAGTTTCCATATACAATCTCAATATTTCAAATACAATTTAATCCACTGAATAAATAAGGATGTTTCCTAGAGCTATGGCACGAAAAATGCACAGAAATAGTTTTGCTCTCTTCACCATTTCTGAGCTTCTTTTCGTACATAAATGAAAAGAAAATCTAAATTTTATTGAAGAAAGTTTGAAAAAAAAAAAACCTCTACTAGTGAGAAATATGTTATCTATATCCAGTGCAACAATTAAAAATCCGGAAAAAAAATTTAAACATTCAGAAAAAAAATGAGAAGCGAAAAATAAAGAAAAAATACATTCGAGAACAACAGCAGTGTATCTGTATGTGTGCGTACAAATCCTCAGGAATGGGTTTTTAAGTTCTTCATCCTTTTATTTATTTCCTGCCCAAACAATGATGATTATGATGAGTATGACGATAATAGCGCACATAATAATGATCATTTTGATATTCTTCCACCAATATTTCCGTTTTAATGTTGCAGCTGATTTCTCAAACTGTGATGCACCCTCCTATAATAAATAGTGACAGTTTTGCAGAAATGAAATACTATATATAAAATGCAATATATTAAGCAGCTTCCCCCTCCTCAGCAATATTATCCTACAACCTTATTCCACAATGTAACGATAAATTTTTCAAACAAGTTTTACAAATTATTTTTTCCATTCAATCAATGTACTGAGATCTAGCTGGACACCTATATATGAGAAAGAGAAAACCAAAACGAACACAAAGCGGAAAATGCAATAAATGCCAAAAGCATGCAATATTAACCATATTAATGAATAATAAGAGGCAAAAGTGAAACTAATTCATTTCTTCTTTCCGCCGTCGATGACGACACACATTTTTGCAAACAAACCTGAAGAGCATCTGCACGATCATCTAACTGTGATAACTTCTGGTCACGTTCCAATACTTTTTCCACATTTACCTGCAAAAATTCGTTGATAAAACTTCACATAATTCAATTTTCGGATTCCATCCAAAATTTCCCTGCACTATTTCTTATCCCTGTATCTCTAATAATTATATTAAGTAATTACAAAAACAGAATATGCAAAAGAGTAAATTTATCAGAAAGAAATACAATGCAATATATGAGCAATATTACTTTCGCTGTGAACAATAAAATATGTCAACTTTTCCGTACTTACAATACTTGTTGTATTGTCTTAACAGAAAAATCAATTACCTAACAGAGTGGCAACTTTCACACCGATTTTTCTCATTTCCCTGTGTAAACTAAAAAGTACAAGCTTACTTTCATGATTCCAACAACTTCATCCACCTGGGCCTGAGTTTGCTGCAGGCGTTTATTCGATGGCCTAGCTCCTTGGCTCGCTCCGGGCAAGCCGCCTTCCTGTCCGCCCGCTTCCATTTCTCCAAATAGTTAACCTACAAAACAACACGAATTAATGCAACATTTTTATGTACAAACTTCAACGCAAGGATCACAGCAAAATGGAACCAACATACGGAGCGCATCAAGATGACTGAGAATGAAAAGTAATTTAAAGGACAGGCGTGACATTAGCGTTGAAACATTTTTGTTACCGAGGTATCTGCATAGGAACCTCCAAAAAACCTAGATTTACCAAAACTAAAACATTACTTTATCTGGAAACAAACGTCGCCTAGCATCATAAAAATTAAGCAGAAATCAAACATGACAATATATGGATTATGTGAAGCAGATTGTTCACGTTAATATTCTACCTGAAATAAATTACATGACATGTGCTTTGACAACAAAATGTTAAGGTAATTAATCAAAATGTCAAGAATTAATGGATATAGATTTATGCCTGCGTAAGTGTCCCATCTATGAGGACCTGATCACCTGGCAATAACATCCACACTAACAGCGACCACAACCGAGTCTACCACAATGTGACTCATCATCAGCACACTTTCGATGGCCATAATCGCTGCCTATTATGAAAAATCTCAGATCAGACTGTCAGGTAGTATACCAGTTAAACGTGAGGTAGAGGTGTTAAACGTAGTAATAATAAGAAAGTAATGAAAGTCTAGGAATGACTGTTATAATTAGGGAAGATAAGCACGCAAAAAAATAAACAGTCACAATTATTAGAAAAAAAAATAATATAAATAAGATTAAACAAATGCAAAAAAAAAAAAAAAAAAAATGTTAGATTGAAATGGTTGAATTGTAATTTGATTCAGTTCTCCTTAGTTTATCACATTATCAGTCAGAGAATGCAAAGACTGTAATACGAGAAATTATACAAAATGGTCCAAAAAGCAAGCATAATAATAAAAGTCTAAAATGAAATTTCCGATCTTTCAAACTTCGATATATTTTGGAAATAAGAATTTATCTCATTAATCTTTCTAGTCAACGTGTTGGTTGCGATCTTTAGGAAATTTCAAGGACAGTTCCGTGAATGGAATATTTTCTAATTATTCATTTAGAATTCAATTTAGGAAGTTTTTTGGTAGAAAGAAAATAAAGTGCATTTATAATGATAAATTTTTGAAAATATTAAAGAAAATTTGAAATACACATATGACTTATGATAGATCGGTGCGTTCATCTTGCAGTCATTAATTGATAAGCATATGGACTTGAAATTGGCATTTTAAGAAATGTGAAGAATGCAGGAATCTTCCCGAATTCTTTTATTTCATTTTTATTTTCAGATAATTTTATATGACGTTTTAAAATGAATTATTTTATTCTCAATCTAAACCTGCAAATATTTTAGGAAATCTTACGCCTGTCGAATAATCATTTAGTTTATCAGCTGAATATAACTTTGCTTTTCTTAACTCTTATGTGTGTGAAAAATAAAAGAAAAACAGGAATTAATTATATGCTGTCTTCAATTTATAAGTTAGATGAGCAAATTAAGTGCAAATCAATTGCCCACGTGCGATGACGTAAAGTGGTGAAGGTTCTACGCTTCATCTGAATCTGCGAAGATCAATTGATCTAAACGATGAATTGTGAAAAGGAAGTAAATAGGTCTAAGATAGCTTCATGATTATCATTAAAGACTATTTTCGGTAGTTTAAGATCAAATTAGCATCGATTTAATCATACTGGCTAATCTTATAGAAATACGAATGGTACCAACAATTTTTGTATTCCTGACACTCAGTGTTATTTCGCATTTCTCCCGAGTCTTTTGCTCAAGAAGAATTTCTTTAAGTACTATATATTAATTTTTATATCAATTGATTGGACACTGTCATTTCAAAATAAAATATTATGGGATGCGTTATGAGCATTTCTTTCCTTCACGAAAAATTAAAATCAATGAAATTTCCACCTGAAAGGAAAATGGATGCTTCTCCAAAATAAAAAAGCGGAAAATAGGAAAAGTTCTTCAAAAAATTCAATCCGTATTTCCGATTTTATTTTATTCCTAGTAATTTAATTGTAAATATCTATTAAAAAAATTTAACTTATTTGCTTGTTTACTTTTCTATCGATAACTTAGTTGTTAGCTCACTTGCAGTGATCTTTTACATTTTTATTTAGATAGCTAAGTAATGGTCACTGCTTTGATATTCTTTTCAGTTAGTCTTCCATTATATCACTATTATATCATTTATATCAGTAGTACTTATATCATTAAAGTAGAATAATTATGCTTAATATTCTTACAATAATAAAAAACTTACAAATATTCCTAATGAGTAACTAAGTAGTGATCACTAAGTTATACTTAACTAACAGATTAGACAGAGTCATTTTGGATTATTTGAAATTTGAGAAAATATAATTTAGCAGACTTTCAAAACCACTTAAGCGTTACTATGACTACATCTTGGTAAGGTTACCATGTGGCACTTACTAATAAATAGATAGAATGTGAAAAATTAGAGGTATTCGTTGTCAAATGTTAAAAATCAAGTTCAATAAAAGATTTTTCAAATATATATTCAGCACAAAAAGAAACTATTAGTTACTTGGGAATCTCAAAATACATTATCATTCTGCATTAGCTCATGGAAATACTAATACAAATTCAAAGTTTAATTATATAATCGAAAACAATCAAAGGAAATGAAATACGATACGACTATTAAATCAAAATTTCTGGACAATAAACCAGTGGCGAAGAAAATGTAAATTAGTACGGTTGAATGAGATATAAACTCATCAATTTATCTATCAATTGCTATAAATGTTTGTTGATCAAGCAAATGTAAAAAAAAAAAAACTCGCCTTAATTGTTTCATGAAAACTAACTCATACAATTATTGCAGTGTCACTGGAACTATTATTAAAGATAGTAATAGAAGCGGGAATAATAATAAAGCGACAATAATTGTAAGAGAAAATGACTGAAAGCAATAATAAGAAAATGATAAATCTAATGATGATGTTAATTGTAGAAGTGGACAAAAAAATGAGAATGGTAATTAGAGGTTCATTAGAAAAAGAAGAAAAAAGAAAATAATCAAAGAGTGACCATTACTAAATAGCTATAAAATAAGCACAAAGAAAAAAAAAAAAAACTCTATGAAAGTATAGAAGAGGCCTAGAAGTACAATTTAGCTAGCTAAGCTAAGCTCATCGAGTCGATTTATGTTTATGTGCGGTGACAACATTACTGCTTTCTCTCTCTCTCTCTCTCTCTCTCTCTCAAAATCATATTCAAAAGAAGAAAAAAACCACCACCACCTCATCTATATATTTTTAAAGCTATATCTTTAGTTGCTGATGGTGGGCCTTTTACAATCATCGATTTTGTCCGATGCCTTTAAGGCTTCTTTTCTCCTTATTTTTGCAAGAATATATGCATGAAATCCTTTGCGCCCCTTCCTTCTCTTCTTTCTTCTTGGCCTTTTATCCATTTTTTTCTCCTGAATTTAGTCAGTAAAGAAATAATCACTAACAGTAGCCAAGATGCAAATAGCCAAGCCTAATACAGCAACAACAACAATAACAATAATAATAATAATAATAACTGTAATAGCAAAAGCATTTCTTCTAACTATTTTGAACGATTATTCGGGAAAAGTTTGCTTCTGTTTCTCTCAATTTCATTTGATCTCGCTATGTAATCAGTGAATTAGTTGCTTTTTATGTGAGAAAAGAGTGAATATTCCTATAGCTTAACACTAATTTTTTATTTTGATTTCAGGAAGTCTAATTCAGATATCAAAGTTGAGTTCAAAAAAAAAAGAAACAAACAAAATGAAATTTTGCATATTGCAAAAACGTTTTCTATGCACAAATCATTCCTGACAATTTGCATTTCTTTAAAAAGGAAAAAAAAAGGAAACAATTCAGATTATACTAAAAAAATTCTTAAATATACTGCATTCTTCGTATCCCATTAAAATTTTTTCTCTTTTCCAACATTCAATATTTTTTTTCGGATGCATTTTTCCTGAAACAAAATCGAAGGAAGGAATTTGTTTGCTTAATTTAAGAAAAAAGATAAGTGAATTACTGACGGTTTGATCAACAAGTTGACTAAATTAAACAATTTAATGTCTCACATTATAAGCTTTTTAATGCGATTTTATACGATGGCATCCAAAAGTAAATGTCTCCAAAACAGCTAACACGAATATTTCTTTATAATGCTAAACTAGAGAGAGTGTTGTAGTAAATTAAATTAACTCATCGTTGTAATACTAAAAAATGCTGACGTATTTAGATTGAAAAGAAAAAATTAATGACGTAATCTAGATAAAGGAAAAATGGTATTTTGTTTTATATAAAGTTAATAATTTAGCAAATTTGCAAAAATTTTTTTGAGGAAAAAAATTAAAAAAAAGAAATTGTAGAAAGATAATATTCGATAGAAGTGCAAATCTATGTATGATTCAATAGAGATTGTATATAATCACATCTAGTTGAGTGAATACGGTAGCTTTCTCCAATTCTTCCTTCCTATTTCATCGCTCAGTGATGTCAGTTCGATTTATATGTATGTATATATATAATTGGATCGAATTTTTTCCTTACTTTTTTTTAAAAAAAAAAAAAAAAAAAAAGATAAAGACAACTTTACAGATAAATAATGAATCATTAATAGCTAAAAACTATCCAAAAGTTTACAGTCTTCTGATATGAATTTGATACTTTTTTTTTTGGTTGTTCAAATCCATTTTTTTTTCCTTTTTAACCTGATGTAAATATGCTTTTATGATAACATTCTGCTTCTGTTATACATATCGTCATTCAAATTAAGTTGAAAATATGAGGGTAGTGGGAAAAGAAGAGAAGATTCAGTTAAATCGGTAGTCAGAATTGTTTTCAGGGCCAAAGTAATTAAAGATAGACATTTTCCATCCTTCCACCTCCGCCTTTTTAGTATCATCGAAAATCAATTTCCATAATCCCACTGTTAGGGACAATTCCTCCCTCAATTTCACATAAACCTCATAAAATAAGCCAGAAATAGCACTAAAAAAATGAAACCCATCAATTTTTGATAACAAACTTTTTGAATAGAAAAAGCATTACACAACTAATCAATTTAATATTTTACTGAATAAATATATCGATTGAAAGCGACTTGTTCAAAGCGAAAAAATGCATGCCGACAATATATAAAATGATGACACCAGTGGTAACAATTAGTGAGTTGGTGGTAGTTGACCTGAGCACAGCGACGGTTTAGCAAATGAGGGAACGGAATAGGAGAATGCAAGATAAATAAATGCATTTGAAGATTGACAATTCTGTCGAGATATCATGCATGCATGCATATGTGCATGCAAAGAACACCAAATAAGTGTAATGCATTCATGCATGAATTTCGACTTAGAAAAGGCGCATTCAGGGAGAATAAAATTGATCAACAAACATCTCATCAAATTTTAAACCATCATCAATCAAATCGATGCTGAATTTACATCACCGTTTAGCGAATGCTAGTTAAATATTATGGAAATAATATGATTGATAACTAATAGGCCAAATTTAACAATGACTGGCTAAATATCTTTGTTATAATTTATATCTACATTCATCTTTATACAAATTTTGATATATTACTCTGCAATCTTTGTTTCAGCATACTGCACTAAATATTTCGATGCAAACATGGTTTCGATTAAAGTTTGATTAGTTTTAATGAGACAACAAATATTAATGGAAAAAATACTTTTGACTTATATCATATGAATGCAAAATAAGAGTGTCAATACTTTTCACAAAAAAAAATTTCAATAAAATTTACGAATTGCTAAATGTCACATTGAATTAAAATCACATATTTAGATGAATCAATAATTTGCCAGTAAATAAACAGTTAATACCTGAATGAGCTTCTTAATCTTACAGTAATTTCCTACTTATATAAAAGCACGTAATAATCTTTCATTTTTTTCCATTAGATAATTCAATCCACTTTTATTAGTCACACTTATACAGTTAAAAATGCATCTTGAAGAGATTCATTACAACTGCTAGGGAATAGAATAATGGCTTAGATGAAGCTACTCCACTAATTTTCAAATCCAAACATCGGAACTTCAGAACAGATCGAATGATGCAACTTGGAATTGATAAAAGTGCCTTAAACTAGCGAACAGTTGCGATGGAACTACGAATTACATTCACCGCTAATATTGAAAGAAGGATCCCTCCCACAGCGAAAATCTCTCTCCCCGTGGTAAATTAGCATATTATCCTAACTTTAATTCATATACAATCCAGCAATTTGACCTTAGGAAATCTTCGGACATAATAATTTCTGGAAAATATTATTCTACAGGTTCAATTAAACCAAGTTTCGCAAACTGGTTCCCACCATCATAACTTCGCGCAAAACACCCATCTCAAAAGTTCGGTGACTTCACCAGAAATTAATAAATAAATATATGCTTTAAAAAAAAAATCACACAAAAAGTAAACAATACAAAATATACCTCAACACTGAATTGCTTTCATTTTCATTCCGTTCCTTTTCGCCTGTACATATTTCCACTTCTCTCAATCAGTTTGTTTCCATCGTTTAATGTGTGAAATTTTATGGGTAAGCAGACAAAAAGACCTTATTTTCATTTGTTCAATATAGGAAAGAAGGAAACAACAAGTATAATTGAATAAAATTACAATTCTTCCACATTTCAAAATCCTCACCCACTTTTAACCACAACAAAACATATCAACAGGAAACATGTGAAATAAATTCGCTTCGCACATTTCTTCTTTCAAAAATTTCTCTTCAATAATTTATGCACCGAAAGCTCTGCTTCCACTAATTTCCACTCAAAGAAAAAACCAAACAATATGTGCGAAGCAAATTAAGAAAGACACAACACTGCATAAAAATTCCCACTAACTCATTTCATCAAATTGAAGAACAATGAGGTATGAAATCCGAAAAACATCATACACGTCGAAACATACAAAAAAGGTCACTAGCAAAACCATTAAATATTTCTATATCATTATTTTACAAAAAACGTGTTTAAAATATCCACTTGAAGTACTCCTCCACCTTTCTGGTACTTATAATAGTCTTGCATCTTTCATATGAATAAAATATAACATTGCATTTCATAGTCATAAAACCGGTTCCTGCTACAAATATCGAAATTATTAAGGGTTAAATGCATACCAAAAAATTTTTTCCCATTTTTTTCGAAATTTTACTGTCTCTTTTTAAATTCTTTGTACCTTCTATGTAATTACACACATGTTATGAACATATTTAAGTGTTTTGAACTGACATTACCACTTAAACTGCAATCATTCACATTCATTAATAGTCTCTAACTGGGAATAGTTTTCTGTTTTCATATCGTTTAAACCAAGTTCATCATTCTGTTCATTGGTACGATCGTAGAATTCCTTTCTTAAGCGGTTATCATCCATAGGGGCATTTAGACTCTAGAATTTTCATTTGCATTACCGAAATATTAATGTTTTCAAAAAGCACTTCAATATTTATAAAATAAGGTATTAACTGGAGTTTCTTGTCTATTTATCTGATCATAATTTACAACTTTCTCATTAAAGGGTATAAAAGAAAAAAGTGTACCAAAACGTACAAAGCATTCGTACTATTAGTCCTGTTACGACAAAAAAATTAAGGGTACAACCATTTGCAACAGATGTTTCAAAAAAATATCAGATAAATCTTACCTGGATATAGCTATTACCCGTTGGATCGTCTAAAATTAAATGAACTTTCTTTCGCAACAGCAGTATCTGCTCAAAATTATCCAGAAAATTTTTCATCCGATCATTTTCCGCTTCACTTCTACTATCTCCCACTAAGAAAAAATCTCCCTGTTCCTGGAAAAAGAAATCAATAAAGCAGGGCAAGAAGTAAATCAAAATACAAACGATTTCATTTCAACAAAACAAGGGAAAATACGATGTGTTTCGAAGAGATTAGTAAATAAAGTGTACGTACCTTAAGTTGATCCCTGGTAGCTACAAGCAAGCCTTCCACAGTTGTAAATCTTCCTGATAAAGCACCGAAACCTACTTCCAAATCAAGTTCAGGAATTGACATACTACACGTGTCTGATTTCAAGACATCTCGCGCAAGATCAATCTCCTGCAGTAAAACTATTTCAGGAATAATATTCACACTACAAATTCGTCTAATATTTACTTCTCGAGTTTCTCGGCCTTTACGCTATACTGGTGCTTTTTCTCATAAATCCAACCCGTTGCAGATTTTTAGCTGTACTGTTTCATCATTTTAAAAAACATAAACACCAAAGCTAACTTTTTCTATCAGAACTGTTAACCTGCAACCATGATCTCGTATGGCAGCACCACTTTTAACTTCATTCGATTTCCATCCGCAGGCATCACACGTTGTACACATCAGAATAACTGTTGTAAAATAAGGAATATCTATAAATTACTACAATCATAATGACACATTACCATATATATATTACACACAAATAAAAACTAAACAAACAAAATGAAGCCGTAAACTTATATTACTCTGGAAACATACCTGTAGGCTTCATACATGTTTCCGTCGGGACACCACAATTAGGACAGTCGGTAGCAAACCTTAACACCTCGTTTTTTGCATCATCGTATGATTGGAAAGGAGCAGAGTCTTCCTGAAAGTAGGTACTGAATAGCTTATTTTAAAAAGAACAGAGAAATGATAAAATAAAAATTTAAAACATAAAAACGTTAAACAAGTAAATTACTTCTTCTACATCGTCGGCTACAAATCCCAGAAGTTTTTTATCAGCAAGATTTCGGTTAAAATGCGTCACGCTGCACTGTGGATCCACATGGAATGGAAAAGGATTTTGAACAAAACTGTTGCCGGACACGTCTCTTATCCTCTGAAACAAATTCATAATTGCTAAGTCGCATTAATTCATAAAATATATTATGGTGGTTACTTTTTGCATTATTTTTTCACGATTTTCTTTCCTTTCCGCTTCAAAATGGAGCTAATTAAAAGAACTGAAAAGTAAACAAACTAGCGTGAATTTTCCCTGCAGATCAATTAGCCGTTTCACACGTTTTATAAACCCATCAATTTTCTCAGCACTTTCAGGATAACACTGACGTCTTCGATTTTGGTCTTGACTAAGACCGGTAATCACGCGCTGAAGAATTCCTTCCACAGTAGTTATTTCTGGAACAGAATTATGTGTACATTTGGTTTTGAGTGCCACCTTAAGTTTGACTCTGCAGATTGAGATAGATGATATAGACCGCATAAGTATAAATTTATTCAGAATATTCACTAAAAAACAAACCACCAGATTGCGACTTCGGAGGAATAATCAATTCTAGTTCTTTGATTTCAATTTCGGCATATTCTGATTTTATAACCTGCCGGTTCCAATCTGACATATTTTTCACACATAAAACAATTTCGATTCCATGCTCCTATAGTGAATATACTTTATTTCACATAAAGAAATGTAGCGAATTGTTATAAATTTATTTCATTAGTTTTGATTTAGTAAACTGTTAAAATATATCATTCAATGCAATGTAACACCTTGCATATTTTTTTGTAAATTGCTTTCGACTATTATTGTTTCCAATCAACATATCTTTGCAATTCCATTAATACCACAGAAAATTTGGGATTCAAATTTGCCATTCATGTACTGTTTCTCTTAATTAGGAGTTTCCTGGAAGAAATAGAACTTACTTGTGCTGCTTCACCACTTTGCAACTCATTGTTGCTATAACCACAATATCCACAACTAAATGACATTACAATAATTTGCCGATAAAAAGGGATCCTTGTACAAAGTATTCGAGTGATACCCTACAAATAATCAAATAACCATTGTTATAAACTAAAATAACCATTGTTATAAATACAAATAACCATTGTTATAAATAAACTAAAACAATAAAAATTTCTACTTAATGGAGTAAACGACCTATAAAGACTATAAGTGATTTACATCATTTATTAAACATATTATTTTGTTAGAATTTAAGTTGTAAATACTGCTAGCACAGATATAGTAATGGTGGGAGACATTCACTTCAACCAGTTTCAAACCAAAAAAACTTTCGTGCTACTTAAAATAGCACGTTAAAGGCTAATTCAATTTAAAATATAGAGTAAAAAAAAAACGGATTTGCTGTCCGCACCGAAAGACACAAATATAGGTTTTTTACTTGGAATAACAAGAACAGATTTGCCTTCGGAATAATGCATTAAAAAAACAGGTTCACTGTAACAGAATGACAAACAAATATGAGGCTTACATAATTTGACGATAAACTTTAAACGTAATCACTAACATTCTCATGACAATTAACGCACAATGATTCCACTTCCATCGGGGCAGCATCTTCATTATCGGCAGATAATTCATAGAATATTTTGTCATCTGTACTATCTGTTCCACAATGATTATTCATGTTCTCAAAAAGTACTGCTTCAAAAATCGTTTCCTGATGTTCACTGACTGCCCATAAAACGCTTCCTGAAGTTAATCAACAGTTCATACAACACTTCCTGAAGTGTAAAAATATCCAGAAAGGGTTCGATAAAAAAGAATCACGTGAAAAACATATGCGATCATCAAGAATACACGTGAAAAAGCTTATATAGTAAGTCATATAAAATGCCATACAAAATTAACAGGCCAAAAAACCCCCCCAAAAGAAATCGCTTAAGCAAAGAACAATTTAAAAACGCGGTCGCACTCACAACCTCAGACCAGTTTATGAAACGCGTATCTTAGTGAAAAGTTGAGGTGAACGAAGCTTATTAATATTAATTAATCAATTTGTTGGACATTTCTGTCAATTTTTTACCTAATGAAATGACTGACAAGTTTGTATTTACTTTTCATTTCTTCCTTAATGAATTTTATATTTTGCTGTCAATCAAAATGAGTCACTATTGGATTTAAGCATTGAAAAGTGCTAATTCTGTTATTACCATTTCAAAATTTATTCCTAGCAGACTACTAATTAAGTTTAAAAAAGAAAAAAGGAAGGATCGAAACATCTTATTATCTGCTTGTGAAGCTTTCGAAATAACTGGTAACATCCTTCATTAATATATTAAAATGAAACAAATATTTTTTCTCATTGTTATTAAATAATGTTATGGAACTAAAATCATTGTGTTAATCCCAAATTTTGAGACATTTAACATTATTACAAGCTAAAGATGAATTATATTTCTATCTTTTGGTTTTTATGCTTAAATTTTGCAATGGTCATTTGGAAGTTGTAATTATGATTAATTTCATCGATAAAGTATAAACTTTCAACTACTCAGTGTTGAAGTGATTAAAAACAGTTGAGTGATTAGACTCTTTTAGTTATTTTTTAATAATCTTAGTTTATAGAAAAGGCGAGAAAAAGGAGAAAGAGAAAAAGAAAAGAAATGAAACTTTAAAAATATTTGATACAAATAACTATTTTATGACTGTTTTGTTTTTTCTTCCATGAATATAATATAATTATTCTACCTCTCTCTCTTTTCTCTCGTTTGATCATTAAGATCCAATTTACTCTAAGTTGTAAATATAGTTGAACTACGCGCAAAAAAATTTGAAGGAATCGCTCATAAATCGCATTTTTATAGATTCCTTCGGAAAATATGTGTGCTATTTTGATTTCCTAAATTTTATTTAAATTTTGTTTTGATTGCATTCACTTATTGATATTCTATTATCTGATTGATCTGTAACACTTCAATTTATGATACTATATCTGATATTTACTCAGTTAGCTAATAAGATGTCCGGTAAGTTTGGAATTAAAATGTATCTTGCATAGTCTGCAAAATTTTTTTCTTAGGCATATTAGTATTTACCCAGCTAACAAATAAAATATTAAAAGCCATGACCAGACTTTTTTTCAGGATCGATGAGACAGCAAAATGGAAGTATATAATGGGTGACAGTTGTTTTTTTAATATCCATAACAGAAATACTTATGCAAATTAAAAAAAAAAAAAAAAAAAAAAAAAAAAACAAAAACAAAAACAAAGCAAGAAAGCCTTGAAATTAAAACAAATAGTATATTGGTCCAGTAATATAATAAGATAATAATCAACAATAATTACATTTTTACAGCAATTTCTTAAGGATTTATAGGCAAATCTTAAGTGAGTTTATTTCAGTGGATTAAAGTTAATAAACAAAAGTAATTTGTAGATTTAACTATGTTTAGGTCTCTTCTATTACTTGCCATTTTTGATTTTCTTCAAATGTAAGATTGTTTGATCGTTTAGTGTTTTCTGCTAGTGATGATGAAATATGGTTATAAAATATGCATCTGATATTAAACTAATAATAAAAGTAATTAGACGATCCGTTTTAGGCTAAGCTTCACTTCAGGAATTCAAAAGTGTCAAGTTTTCCGGAGTAATTTGATGAAAGATTTCAGCTGCTCTAACAAGCTATATTATCTTGGTGTTTACTCATAACTACTTCACATGTTTCAATCCTAACTTCACAAATAAACAATATTTGTTCACTGCTGCGTGACGCTGACGGTTGCATTTGACGTTATAATATTTGAAAACATTCAAATATTATAACAAATGATGGGATAAAAATCAAATTGAAACATAATGAAAAATATTAAACTGTTTGAACACTTAAAGGTTTGGCAAGATAGCATTTTGTTAAGTTTTCTTTTTTTTTTTTTTCTAATTTGTTAAGCTTTTTAATTGATAAATAAAGCATCTAATTTGTTAGTCTCTAAAGCTAAGTGCATTTTTCATCTGTTGAAGAGACGAATGTCTATTCAAAATCTAAATTTTATAAAAATTTTTTGTAAAAGCTATATAATACTGATAACTGTTTATTTTCAGCAACACTTACTTTTCCTAGACAGCATTTTCACAGACATTGAAATTTTCCTTAATTATATGAAATCTTTGAACGATTTTGAATAACCCAATCACTGTATGTATACAATTGTCGGTTATTAGAATTGCTTTGAGCGATTCCTTGGTGATAATTAGTGTCCAGTCATGATCATTTCAAAATACTATTCAAGGAAAAAGAGAAAAATAAATTAGCACCATTGTGAATTCCTCATTTTCATAAACCTATTTAAAAACCGATTGAAAGCAGATAATTTAGAGCAAATATTTGTGATCGAAACGAAAAAGGAGTAACTCTTCTCAGAGCAGCAAACACCATAAGTATTTAGAACCTTTTCATCTTTTATAGTTGAATCATCTTTGCTAATTTTACATATTTATTCCTCATAAATTTCTCTAAATATTAACGAAACTAAACAGACGACAATTGCTTTGATCTTGTCAGCTTTTATTGTTGCATTACAAAACGTTCGTATATTTTACAAATTATAACTCATTCATTATGTTGCTAGGCATTAAAACAATGCACTTAATTTACAAACAGCATTAAATATAGGTTTTTATGATTTTGACTTCTATTTCTAGTCTTTGATTAAAATATTTTAACAATTTGCGGTAGCATAATAAAATCAGCTACGATCTTCGGTTTGAAATAAATAAATATATATATATATTTATTCATTTATATTTATAACATTTGCATTTATACTTTATATTCACATTTTTATTCCTATTTGTACCTTACTTTCATATTTACATTTGTATTTATATTTATGCTCATATTTATGTTTAAATTTATATTTACGCTTTTCCTGTCTTTCTTAGTAATCCCTTATTATTTTCTAAGTTTTAAGGAGAAATTAATGTTTAAACGCATTTTATCCTTTAGAAAAACATTAAAACAATTCACAACCGATGGAACATATTTTTAGTTATCCCAAGGCTATTATTAGTTATTAGAAGGCTTAGTATTCCTGGATATACATATATATTTAATCTATTTTCTGAACTTCAATTATTGTTTGCTTTTTTTGCAAGCATACAGCTAATATTTCTATTTAAAGAAGATGTAAACATTATGGATCGGAAGCAATATAAATATATACATGATGTCTACTTCAATCTGTAATCAAAACTTGATGAAGGTATGAGATATGTTTTCCATACACTTTTTACAATGCTCGAACAAATTGCAACTTTTATTAGTGATAAAATAAGATTTATAATCAATTTAATCTACACAATTTCCTGATCATAATATTTTCATTTTTTTTTTCTGTTACTTAGCTTCTATCTTCGTTTCGTAGTTTATAACAAAACTGCAAAAAATAGTAATATAAAACTAAATTTGACTGAAAGGAAATAAAAAGGTCTCACCTTTATGTATATTAGCATACCTGAAACAATATTTTAAATCAATTTTATTTTTTTTTTAACTTAGAAATTAAATGAAATCTCAAATTAATTAGACTTTTTGAGTAATGGGATAAGTTGGTAATATGTCATTGTCATCATTACTCTCTTTCACTTGTCAACCAAATTGCATTTAATTTAATTGGAAGTTGTAACTTACTGAAGCAGGCAAATAACTTCTAAAGCAGCCAAGAAATTATCCATTTATGGAAATTTTTCTTTACTAGATTACTCAATAATTTCTACTTCAGCAATCATCATAATGGCACAGCAAATTGAAAGCATTGTAAAATTTCTGGCTTGACAGCCAATTGAAATTTTCTGAGAAAATGAGACGAAAAAAATTTTTTTTAATTTACCACTTTTCGTCCTTTTTTTTTAAGACAAGTAATGTTATTTTGCTATGAAAGTTTTTTTAATTTTTGAAGTTTCATTAAGACAATTTCTCGTTTTCAAATTTGCTTGGCGCTATTTTACTTGGGAATATTCCTTCAACATTTCATATTTTTCTGACTAAAAAAAAGGAAAAGTGAAAAATGTGAAATAAATGTATACTTCCCTATGGGAATGAATGTTTGTAATGCATAGAAAGAAGTGTTTATTATGGTTGTTTCTTGTTTTCCTTTTAATTTTGCATGCTATTTAATCGTGTATGGCTGTTTTAAGAAGCGCAAATGTAGCTATTAGCATTTAGAAATCGTAGATTTGCAGATTAATGTGACGGATAAAAGACATCCTTTCTTAGATTTACTGCTTGATTTTACTTTTCTTTCATTAATTGCTTTCTTACCCATTCATTAATTGCCTTCATGCTATTTTATGTTAGCTAATTTATCAAACAGATTGCTGGCGCTGTTAAGAATTGTTATGCAAGTTGACTAAATTATTTGTAATTTAAGTTTTTGATCAATTTATTATCAACTCTTTTAATCTCTCATATTTGATTTATCAAACAATGTTGTTATGATTTTTCACATAGGCTTTCATCAGCAATTATTCCAGATTGAAAAAGGCTGAATTATACTATCAGTAAAGACAAATAAATATTTTTTAAGAAGTTTTTTTTTTTTTTTTGAGAAGTTTCCAGTTTTCTTCATCTATCCATTACAAAATCTCTAATAATAATAATTATAATAATTTAGTGGTAATAAATTAGTAATAATAATAATGATAATAACAGCAAAAGTAATAGTAAAAAAACTACATTTCGTGTTTGTAAAAAGGTTTTTGTATTTTAGGTTTAATTTTCGTCCTCTTTAATTGAATTCACTAATTGAAATTACTTAAGTTAGCATTAATGTGTAAAATTTTTTATTTGATTTTCAAGAATTTAAAGATGATTATTGGATCAGTTCGAATTTTTTCATATATTCTCGTGCATTCCATCTATTTCTCTGTGCAACAAATCTAAAAATGATGTAAAGGGAAGTGAAAAAAAATAGAAAGCCAAAAAAAAAAAAAAAACTTCCATTATTAGCTATGAAAGCAATAAAAATAGCGCTAACAACTGTTATGTGTTCTCTTGCGCAAAATATTTTCTAATTTCAATAATGTCCAATGAACCAATCTAATTTTTGATCATAAATAAGCTAAAAATGGCATACTTTATAAAACTTTCGTCTTATAATTCATTCATTTTAAATAAAAATGAAAATGATTGTGGTCATTTAATTTCTAAATCTCCACTCTTTCTTCCTCACCTTTTTTCTCCTTTCAGAAATTACGAATTAATAATGGACATTTCTAACTAACTAATTAGTGGAAGTTCATTTCAAAACAGAAAGGAAAAAAAGAAAAAATGATTGAGAAATTGAAATACCTATCATTTTGTTTGGTTGACCAAAAAAAAACGATTGTTTTTGTAAATTATTGCACTGTGATTAACAAATCAAACATTTGTTTAAAAAAGGAATTGGATTAAGCAAATATTTCTAATCATAATTGATTTGATTGAAATATAATAAATTTTACATTAAATCATATAAATACCTTTTAAATAAACGGTTTTACAGCATTTTGAAATATAATTTTTCATAGGAAAAACTTGAAGCACAAATTTTAAATGAAAAATTGAATGAATTGTTAATGTAGCAATTTTTGCCTCAAAAGTTTTTATCTTTCTAAAGAATAATTTTTCTTTTTTTTGAAAACGATGAAATATTCAAGAAGCTTTAAATGATTTAACATGCTAGATGAAAAGTTTAAATTTATACAGCTTATATGAAATGTGCTTATATAAATTAGTATTCGTTCAATATCATAATTGCTGATAATTACAAGAACAGATATGAAAAAATGCTGAAATTTTAACCAGTTATCAATTAAACATACCTCTTAATTTATCAAAAAAAAAAAATTCATTTCAGCACATCTTTCTTTCTTTATTCATCATAAATGTAGTACCTAATTATTAGGAGGAAAATTTAAAACTGCAGCACACGGTAATTATTAAATGCTTTATGTCTTCATGCAACATAATCATTACTGCTAATAATTGAATTTGTGAAGCTCTGAACAGCTAATTTGCTGAAACAATTTTTTATACTTATCTTTTAATTTATCGAAAAAATTTGTTTTAGCATTTCTTTTTTTCTTTATTCATTAACTTTATCCAATAAAAAAATTAAAATACCTGAATTAACTATTATATTCATACAAATTCTTTTAAGACTGCAATGAAATGCTTGAAAATGTCCTTTTCTTCTTTTCTGATTGCTTCCCTCTATGCTTGTATGGTTAATTAAGAGAAAAGCACTACTTCCACTAATGACTAATTAACAAAATTATAACCTTCGTATATAATACAGTCATTAGTACCACAACTCTTAGTACTATTTCTGTTGTTCTTCATTCATATTATCAGTTTCGTTTTCCTGATAATATCATATTTCCACAGGAACTGCGATAAATCGCATATAAAATTGCAAATTCATATTCGTTACCGGGCATTTCTGTCACTTGGTTTGATTACTTTCTAGTTTTCAAATTTCAGATTTGAAATTTCTTCAATAAACAGCTGATATTGAAAAAAAAATTTCTCATTTTTTATGTTTTAGCAAGCATAAATAATATCACTAGAATATTCATTGTTTTGCTTACTAAATATTTAATTTATTTCTAAATTTTACAATAATGTGATACTGAAAATGTGTTGTATTCATTTTAATATTCTTTTAAATTAGCTTTGATAACTGGTTATTTAGTTTCTTATTTCATTTTTCTTTTTCTTTTCTATTTTGTGCTAATCAAATATTATAATATCAAATAAAGTTATCATAGGTGAATGTAATTTGATTGGTCATTTTGTTTACTCAAATACATTGCCATTTAAAATTTTATACTTATTCCTTTGTGACACATAAATGCATTAAGTTACTTTACTTTCGCACTTTACTAGTAAATGCAATGAATAAAATTTTTTAGGGCCAATAAAATATGGTAAAGATAAAATTAGAAGTTACGGCTGATAATAAATAACACAGATAATTACTTCAGTACTCTCTTTTTCAACATTTAATAGCGAAAAGCGAAAATGAAGTTAGGTAGCATTTGCTTCCTTCTTGTCATTAAATTTTATTTGTTGATGTTAATGGCTGATTAGTGGTTGATATGCAGGTGCAACATATCATTTGTTATTTACTTATTTTTATTTTTAAAAGTTAACATAACAACTTAAACGCTGCATCTAATAAATGCATTTTCAGTAATACACTTTGCAGACTTATTTTTCACAAATAAGTAATAATAGAATTAATGAAATTTTTGTAGACAGATATTGTCAAAGGATAAATGATAATATTATCAGAAATTAAACGATGATATTAGCAGTGATTAGGTGGATGATAATATAATTAGTATAAGTGTATAATCAATAACAATAATTTTTCGTATTATCGATATTTAAATATTTGCTAAGGATCATTGTTCGTCTTTTCCAGTGTGAATTAAAATTTAATTAGACATGCAATAGAAGGAGCGAAATTGACTTACTTAACATTTTGCTTTTTACTACCTAACTACAAAAAAAAAAAAAAATTTTTTTTCTTAGCTATAATAGCTACAAGTGGAACAGATGGTTTTTTTCATGAAAATGTTAGAGCTAATTATCGGTCGTATATTTTCTCTATTATAGCTTTTGATTTTTCCTTTACAATTTTTTCTTTTACTTTTATAAAAATCTTATTTAGTGGAATTAAAAAAAAAAAATTACTAAGCAAATTAAATGCATCCATCGTAACTTCATTTGTAAAATTTGGTAAGTATGAAAAAAAATGGAAAAAGTTTTTATAAAATAATAATGAAAAAAAAAAAAGTGCATCATTTATTAAAGCATCATAAAATTTGATTAGTATGAGAAAAAAAGTGAAACAATAGAAATTTGATTGAAATTGATTTCAAAAACTCTGAAAAAGAACAGAAAATTGTGTTCAGATATTGCAGCACCAAAAAATTTAACAATAATTAGAAAATTTGCAGCAAAATTCAGGCTATGAAACTTTTAATTTAGTTTTTTCCTTTCCATTCTCTTGAATATTTCTTGTTTTCCTTTTTGTTTTACTTATCCTCTGAACGCAGTAATAATGGCAATAATAAGTAGATAATAAGAGCAGCATTGTTTAATTAAACTTTTTTCTACGATCATACGATTGATTATTATGTATTTGAAGTAAAATTAGAAAAATTGAAAATATTTCATTAAATAATTAAGTATACATAAATAATTAATGCTATTCTAAATGATCGAATTTAAATAAATCTGAAAATCAAATTTGAGAGTAAACACCACAATATTATTTAAGAAACGTTATTATTATGCAAATATGTTACAACAATTTGAACTGAAGCATTCATAACATCATTTTCAGAAATTCTAGGATAATTTTCAACGTAACAATGCTATGCCGTTGTTTTTGCTCGAAATCAGGGACAGCAAATTCTTGCGATGCCTCAGTGACACCCATTGTGAGGGCGCAAAATTGTGGAACAAAAAATGACGATCCACGAATACCGCTAACACAGAAGCAAAAATATGTGTTGACAAAAAATTGGAAAGGTATCGATCGGGAAGTTAGTGCAGCTGGCGTTGAAATGTTCTTGAAGTAAATTTTTGATTCCTTTTTCTCGTCAATCAACACCACATGGGACATTTTAAGAGACTTCTTATCATCTGATCATATCAAAACGATTGAATTATCACTTATCCTCCGCATTTCCACATTCTTATTCCATTCATTTCATTCATTCTGCAAATCTTTTTCCTTTTCATCACTGCAAATTCATTTTGTGTTATGAAATCGATAATGATAAGATAAACGGTTATTTCCTTGTAATTGTAATTAAAAATAATATTTTTTAATTTTCATCATTAATTATCAATTCTACATTTCGTCATTCTTTACTGATATCATCTGAATTCAACTTTAACTTTAACCATTACTAATTTACCTGTGCTATTAATGTTGCATATTAACTGTTTCATTAAAGTTAAATGCTTATATGTAAGGGATATGTTAGGTTACTCCGCAAAATGAATTTAAATTAATATAAGAATCAAACATTTTTATAGTATAAATTTCAGGATGCTATCATTACATCCGGAATACTATAAAATGTTTCCATTTCATAGTATTGCCACTTCATGCGAGGAGAAAAAACGGATGGATGAATGTTTAAGGTTACACGGTGAATCTGTCATGAAATTTCTTGGTCAAGTGATTTCGTTAGTTATATCATCATTTTCTATCTAAATTTAATGATAGCACTTTTCTTGTAAACAACACTGATCATTCCTATCAGTATTGCACTATCACATTCACAATTCCTATCATACATACTGATCCAACATCATCAATGCTAACGATGAATCATAGATTTATTAAAAATTCTGCATTACATTCTGAAATTTCAGAATTATATATACTATTAGCAATTCAATAAAATTTATTACACAATGGCAATTTCAGTAACATTGGAAATACTGAAAAATTTTTCGAATTAATCAATCAGAATGGTCGCTATCATGCACACAAAAAATATTTCAAACCGGAGTTGTTTTGGGTAATTTGATTTACAATAATTATATCAGTGTTGAAAAGCAAATATTAGCTTTCTTTAATGGAAGAAATCTTTGAAGAAGAGAAGAGATATTTGTGTAATAACAGTAATAATAAATGATATGATATTGATGAAGTTGTGATAAAAGTAATGACGAAAACATTATGGATATCAATAAATTGTTGACTACTTAACATTTCGATGCACTAATTAAGATCATTTGGCATTTCGGTACGATAATTGGAATTATTCAAAGATTTAAAATATCAATCGATTCTTTTTACAAATAGCAGTCACTTTCACTTTACCAATTCAATTCATAAACTAAAAGAAAAGAAGAATTTATGTTATTTATACCTTCTTAAGGTAATGGAAGAACCATTTCTACATTCGGTGAAATTAATATTGGGTGAGCGTTACACCGATAATATGCATTCAATTTATAAAACAGTGATAACAATAATACTATCAGAATTGGAAAAAGGCTGCGAAAGTGAATTAAAGAACGGACAAATAGCAAAAGATTAATTTTTGCAACAAAAATTACATATTAATTAATAACCCATTATTTAATAAAATAATTTTTTTTCTTCCTACAATCATTCATTTTCAACTTTATATTACGTTAATCAAATAATACCACAAAAAATCATATATTGTTGTAAATTTGAAATATTTCAAATTTTGCTCTTCAATCAGTTTAATTTATTTTCAAGAAACAGCGAATGCATGGAAGAAATTTCCTTTTCTTTTTGAGAATGAATGTTCTGTGTTATCATGAATGTAGAAATGAAAGAAAATGACAAGAATTGCAAGTGAACACTTATCAAATTCATTTATAAAATGGTATAATTGCTGTTTCTTTCCTGTGAAGTTTAAAAAAATATTTATGATTTTTTAAAGTTTAAATTATTGTCAAAGCGGAATGTTATAATTTCTTTTAACTTCTTCTACTTCTTAAAAAAAATATATATAAATATATATATATAATGTTCTTTTGTTTTTCTAAATATTTATGGTATATTTTTATGTTTTGCTCAAATTATCAGAAAGTGATCTTTCTGAGAATGATAAAATGATTATATTATAATATACGTTCTGTTCGTTTTTCAAATTGTAAAGAAACTTTTCGTTTTGATGAAATTTTTTGAATGAATAGATTTTTTGAATTTCTGACACTGATTAATTAGCAATGATAAAACTGTCCAACAATTAAAAGATGAACAAATTTATAGATTATCATTGCCAATGTTAGCAAAGTTAATTTAACAGTGAAAAATAAAATATTTGCAATGAATAACAAGCCATTTTCCACTTTTTCTCATCAATTAGTCAATTACTTAGTTTAAAAAAAATCATGAAAAGGAGAAGAAATGAATCAAATAATCAAATACGAATATTATTTCAAGAGGAAAATAGGTTTTAATAAATATAGGTCAAAAATATTTCTTCATTTCTTTAACAAATAGTCGAAATTAATTGACCAATACAGATAATCTCGATGACACAAAGTTAATGAGTGTCAAAAAAAAAAAAAACATTCACATTTACATATTACTGTAATGGAAATTGTCATTCGAGATTAGTGTCGCAGAGTCAACCAAATTGAAGTAGCAATTACGAATAAAATGTCAAAAACATTTTGCTGTTTTCTGTTGAAATTCTTAACTGCCAATATGTAGTATAAACACTAATAACTATAATAAATAAAGAAGAATTAAACGAGCCTACAAAATTCGTAAAAAATTTAAGCGTAAAGGAGAAATGTAGTGCAATGTTTATATGTGTCGGTCCATTTAGAAAGCAAAAAAGCGCAAATGTCTAATGAAGCAGAAAATTATATCACTACAAAAGCTGCATTTGAAGAAAGGAAGAATTATGTTTCCAGAATATTACTTGATTTTATTATGCTGAATAGGCTATAAATGATTCAAACAATTAGAATAATATACAAAATACAAATTGTCATTTATCACTGTATACCATTTCTTGGAATTATTTAAAATTTGATTTCTCATTTTTCTTTTTTAAAACTTATCAGAAAACTTGAAAACATTAAATTTTGATTTTAAAGACGAATTTTAACAAAATTTAGGAAAAAAATAGTGTAATCATTGATTTTTAAATAATGCTCATCATTAATTCACATTATATTAAAAAATAATAGGCGTGATGCTGAGTGATTTTAATAAGTCAAGTTAAATTAGAAATGCAAAAGCGCATTGAAAATTTATTGGAGTTTGAAAAATTTTATACTTATCAGATTATTTTTGATGAGCTAAAAAAACTAACGACTATCTTTTTTATTTCATGTAAAGGTAATCGTGTTTTGAATTAAATTTAAATTCCATTTTCTTTTTAAAGCTAAGAAAAAGTATGAGTTGGAAGGGCTTAAAATATGCATGAATTGAGTATTATAACATTTTATTAGAAAAAAGTAAGAAAAAAAAATCATTTGCTGCATTACTGATTTTTTGCGCTCAATTTATACAATGAATATGAAATAAATCCTTATCAAACCTTTTCTTTTCGTTTTTCTCGAGAACTTTTAGTTTAGCTTAATTATAAAACAAATAGAAAATAATAACAAAAAATTTATGATTTGGTTGTAATAAATAATTAAACTAAGCAAAAATCATTAGCACTGATAGCTATTCAACAAGTTGATGTCATTAAAAACTTGCTACTATTAATCAGGAAAAATGGTAATATAGATCAAATGTTGTCTTAAATATATATTCTGAAATTATTTATAATATAAAAAATCAATCAGAAAATCTTTTTAATTCTGTCCAAAAAAAAAGCTCTAAAGGTGATACCTGTGATAGAGATATGGTAAGCTTTTTTTAGATTATTAGCAAAGCATTTGAAATTACTATTTCATTATGAATCAGTAATATTTATCACTCGGGCAAATTCAAGTTTATTTAAGTTAAATCGTTACATTTTCTGCAAAAATAGAACTGAACAAGTTAGCTTTAAAGCCATTAATTTATGATTTACTCATATCAATCATATCATGCCAAATGACGCATGTTAATTTAATAGAGCCATTTTAGTGTGATTTTGAATAATTTATCGATCAAGAAAATTCAACTGAAGCTTAAAATCTAAGATTTAGAAATTCGTTTTTATTGCCATTTCAAAAAGTTTTCCTCACAAACCACTCTTTCATCCTTTATATCATATATATATATATATATCGTTTCTTTAAATATGCATAATCTCAACTGATATAACTTATGTCCATTACTAAATTGCAAGTAATAACAATAATAATAATAATAATAATAATAATAATAATAATAATAATAATAATAATAATAATAATAATAATAATAATAATAATAATAATAATAATAATAATAATAATAATCAGTAGTAGTTAGCAGTTAGCAGTTAGTACAATTTCATTTTAATCTATGATCCATATTGATTTTGCGCTTTTTTCTTCTCCAAATCTAATCTTTGAAATAATTCTCGTTAAAGTTTGCCAAAGTAAGTCACAATAAAAAAGAACAACAAGAAAAGATTTACCATTTATTTATTCCATTTCTAATGGTTTTTTTTATTCCCGAAATTTCCTTTGAGACGTTGCTCTTCACTTTTTTTTTTTGTTTTGTTTTGTTATTTACATCAAAATTTCAGAAAAAAAATCGGATTACTGGGAAAATTAAATCAAAACCTAACAATTCCACTCAAAAGAAAGCAAAAAAATTAAATCAAATCTTTTTTTTTTTGAAGGCAAAACATACGGAAGATGAAAAAAATTGCTTAAAAAGTTCTCTAAAGCATAAATTAGTGATACTCCAAAAATTTTTGTTTTCAATTATAACAGAAATTTGTTTATAAGCAATATTTGTCATTTTATACAATTCAAAGTGCTAGGAATTGTCAATTGTAATAATAAATGTATTAAAGAGATAATAGTAGATTCCTTTCGACATTTAGAGATTTGTAAATGCTATGTGACAATTGCGCTATAACATATGAAATAGTAGTAAAACACACTTGTCTTCACATATATCTCAACTAAGTAATTAAGTGTTATTATTCATTTATTGAAAAATTCATTGCACAAAAATTTGATTCTTCTTCAATAATTCCATGATATGCTGAAAATACGAGCAAAATATTTGTGAAATATGCGTAAAAGAGATTTAAGCATTTCAAAAATTAGTGCTTATGAAGTTTTGAATATGAATAGGAAATGAAGAAATGCTATTAAAATATTTATTTCATATGTATTGTAAAAGTATTAATTAATGTAAATGAAAATTTTTCCTTCATTGTTTAAATTTCAATTATCCATAATTAATGTTAGGATCTATTAATAATACTTACAGTCTTATCATTCATAAATGCTAGTATTCTTTTTTTTTTTTTTTTTTTCATTTTAACCAATGTAATTAGTTTATATAAAAGGAAAAAATTTTTTACAAATTTAAATAAACCGCAACAATTTAGCAGAGGATTTTATTAACATAGTCTTCAATAATGATACATTTTTATTTGAAGGAATCTAATTAAAATTAGAATTCCTCAAAATGTCACAGCAAATAAAAATTTCTCTTTCTTTCTTTCATACCCTTTTTTTCAAAAATTTATCTTTGTTATTTTTTTTTTTTTCGCAGAAATGACAAAATCAACAATAATTTTCTCAAACTCGTCCAATATTGTTTATGCTTAAGGTATTATCATTAAAATGATATTTTTAATGAGATACTAAATTATAGGTTTAGAGATATACACAAATATAATAAAACATAATATTTTTCAAAGTAACTGAAGCATTTTTCTATGCTCTTTTTTTATTCTTCACAACACTATCTTAATTTTTTTGTATTCAACAACACTGTTTTATTTTATTTTTTACAATTATTATTTTAATTAAAATATAAAATTTAATATTTCCATTTGAATAATTCCGTTTGTACTCTATGTCATACCTTTTAAACCAGTTGTAGTTTTTGTTTTCCTATTTCATTGCATAGATGAATAGCTGAATGCATGTCATTCATATCTAATAAATTCAAATACTTAAATTGATCGATGATTAACTTGTCTTTTATCGCTTTTTCTTTTTAATTTTTTTGACCCATTCTGTTTAAATGAATTTATTTGATGACTCAACCATAAACTATTACCATAAATTATCCAAATCAATCGGAAGACGTTTCTGATTTTACTTAGTATGTGGTATTTTCCGCTGGATATTGTAGAATTTTTGGTAAAAATTAGTAAAATGATTAGTTCTTTTATGTTTCTCCGTTTTATCAGACATTGAAACTAATTAAAATAAAGTAGGAGAACGTATGCATGAGACAAAGGACGAGAAATAAGTAAAGGAACATGACGGATTCGTAAAATTGTTAAAAATAACACAAGAATTCACTGACGTTTTTAATTTATTCAAAAAAAAGGATACTAATTTACTCAGAAAAGACTAATTTATTCAAATATTACTGCATATAATTATCATGTAGCATTTATTAAAAAAGAAAAAAGGAAAAGAAATTGAAGTTTAGTACAACCTTTTAAAATTAAAATAAAATTTAATCTAGGTTAACATTAAAAAGTGTAAAGCCTATTAAAGATTTTTTTTCAATTTCATATTTTTTTTTTTTTACTATACTAAGAAATAATTCATTTGGTTTAAAATCCTAAAATGAGTCATATTTTATGCAAAATAATTATCAAAAATACTAAGTGAAGAGTCTTCACTTTTTTCTCTTTTTCCCATATTACCATTTATGAAAACACATTAATGGAATAATTCTGTTTGATTACTGAAATGAAATTTAATTCTTTTACTTTTAGGTAATAAGGAAAACGGTAAAAAGACATTTCGAGACGATTTATTTGAACTAATCCTCTCTGTTTGTTTTCTAATTGATTCAAAATTGTAATTTTCTATGTGAAATGATAAATTGATGACGATAACAGTGTTAATAATAATAATATTGATAATGAATAAGTTATAATAATGTAGTTCGTATTATTAAAGAATAATATCATTTATTGATTGACTTTAAAGAAAAATGTAAATAGAAAAAAATGAAATTTCAGTAATAAGTGCTTATTTATATTATTAAAATTTGGTGATAGGAATAATCCTACGAGAAAAAGGATTATAGATTGGTTTCCGTTATTCATCTCTTTCGTCTTTTTCATAATAATAATAATTAATAATAATAATAACAATAATAATAATATTAGCAATAATAATAATGACAATAATAATAATAATGGTACTAATAAGTAATAGTAATAATAACAGCATCAGTAGTGATAATACTAGTAAGGATTAATAATAATAACAATCACAAATCAGATTTTGCTTTTTGCCATTTTCCTTGTTTCACATAGACTTTGTCGTCACTTATTCGTTTTTTTTTTTTCTTTTTAAATTTCTAAATTCAAACAATAAAATACGAAATTAATTGAATGTATTGGAAAGCTGAAGCTATAGCATTCGGATATATTCTAATAATTTCTGATTCTTTTTTACTGACATTTTTTCTTTTCTAAATAAAATTTTCACTTTGTTTTTAATATGCTTTCATTTTTAAATTCTTTGTTTGTTTGATTTATTAAATTTATTAAAAATTTAAACAATGAAGAAAAGATGGGAATAAGAGATGATAAGAGTTGATAAGAGATAATTAATTAAATTATGTTACTGATGCCAGCAATGCTTTTCTTTCTTTTAATGATAAAGTAGTAGTAATTTATTTTGTTGTTTTAAATGAAAAAGATGAATAGACAACATGAAATTGTTTAATTATAATATAAAATGATGAGTTGGTGTAATGACTTCTCCTCCAATAACATTCATTCCAGCCAATAACTTTTGCTATCATCGTTTACAAATATTTATCTATTGAAAACACATCCTATACTTTGAAATTCCAGTATATTTTATTTACTCCCACTTTTCCTGTTAAATTTAGAAGTATGCCTGTTTATATATATATATATATATATATATACAAAATTCATCTAGAAAATTGGTTATATAAATACCGGATGAAGTGTTTATGTTTTGGTCGGAATGAAATTCCGGTAAATATATCCGATCAGTATTGCAAATCAAATGCTAAATCGGTCAATGATGAATTTAATGATTCAAGAATACCACTGACTAGGAAGCAAAAATTTGTTTTAATCAAGAATTGGAAAGGTATTGAACGCGATGTCACCACTGCTGGTATTGAAATGTTCCTGAAGTAACTTATCAATCACAATTATGTAGTTTTATTCTAGCATTACTCAATATAATGCATAATTCAAATAATCAAAGCAATGATTATCATTCCTTTGATTGCTTGATTTAAAATTTTATTAATTTCAATTTTATTAACGAGGAATTTGAAACAAATACTTAGATGAAAATTAAAGATCAAAATTAATCGAACTGGTATTGAATCACTTCTTGTTAATGAATTTTTTAGTTAAGCAATTTGATACAATTTTTTCTGTTTCTGCAGGATGCTGACAGAACACCCAGAATACTACGAATTTTTTAATTTCCGAAATATTGCTAATACAGCGAAAGAAAAGCAGGCAAGCGATGAGCGCTTAAGTGCCCATGGCGCTGCGGTTATGAAATTCATTGGAAAAGCAATAAGGTAATTCTCATTGGTTAACTTTTCATCAAACAGATAAATCTATCATTCAGAGTAATTTAGAATAATGTATGATGGATTACCTACTAATATCGTTGAAGACGTAAACTATTGTTGCTGAAATTTGATTTAACTTTCTCAAATTATTTTTTGATTTCTTTTTCATGCAGCGTAATAGAAAATGCTATTCACTAGTATTCAATGCAATATTTTTCTACCCTTTTAATCATTATCCAAAAAAAAAAAAAAAAATTTTGGAAGGTACCTAAAAGCAGAAATATTTCATTTCTCAAATTAAAATTAGAAATTTTGCAGTCAGATCGAAAATGCTGATGCATTTTTTATGTTGCTCGAAAATAATGGAAGACAACATGCTCACAGAGGAGCATTTAGACCGGAAATGTTCTGGGCAAGTTATTCCTTTACTTGCTACTAGTTTAGTAACGGTTTTATTCGGAACTTTTTCAGTAACATAAATTTGTTACTTACAAAAGTTGAAATGTCATATTAAAAAATTTTCGGTTTATTCGGTAAATGAACGATATGAAAGAACAGGTTACATAATTAAGCAAATATTGATTAGCGTCATATTGATAATAGCATTTTAACTTTCAAGAAAACAACATTAATGATGTTTTTTTTTTTCTGGGAAAATATTTCAGAAAATGGAAAATCCATTTCTATATTCAGTAAAACTAATCCTTGGTGAACGTTACACGGATAACATGGATGCAATTTATAAAACTGTCATTCAGTTAATTTTGCAACGAATGGAGGAAGCATGTCGAACAGAAGTGATGAAAATCCGAAATAAAAATGTTGAAATATGAATAATATCAAAATGATTTCCCACAATTCCTTTTTTTAATGAACAATGCTAAGGACTTTAAAAAAGCAACTTTTCTAACAAATAATTATTATTAACAAAATTCATCATTATTATCATGATTGTTTTTATCATCATTATTATGAATGTCGTCATTAATTGTGTGTGTGTGTTTTTTTTTTTTTTTTTGTAAAAGTAGTAACAATAATAAGCTAATAATAGTAATAATTGATAATAATAATAATAATTAAAATAATAATAATAATAATTAATAACAATATAATAATAATAAGGGATTTTTCCCACAAATTATTCATCCATGAAATGATGCTCCGATGAGCTTCGATGTATTTCTCCTGAAGAGGACATATTCAATAAAACGGTAAATAAGTCTAAGTATATTGCTAGCCAATGACATCATACATAGCTTAGTGTTCCATGTAAAATTTTTTTGTCTGTTACTGTTCAATTTTATGACACTAACTGTACATTATGAACTAACAACCTAACAGATTTGTAAGATTGAAAGTAGCCTTAATGAAGCAAAAAATAGAAAATTTCGATCTAAAAAATAAAATCAATTAATTGCACCTCCTAGCCATTACGATGGAAAAACTATTGCCTAAGCTATCAAATTTTCCAGAGCACTATAAATTGGAATCGCACTCTATACTATATGTCGAGATATAAACTATAATAAAACAAAAAATCGAAAACTGTTCCATCAACTTAGAGAAGTGCCATTAGCGTATGCTAACATTAAAATTATTCAAGGTCAAATGGAAGTTTCAACCTGTGATAAGCAATGTGACGTATTTTTGTAATAACCATATTAGATTTCTTTTCCTGCGAATTGAAATATGAGGATACAATAAGGTACGTGACTGCCCGCGGGCAATATCGACAGGTAGGTCTGGACCTAAATTTAGCCAGACAAAACCTGCTGATATTGGCCTTGGACAATCAATTCTGAAAATACATTGAAGAATTTTATTAACAGTAATATGCTAACTGTTTGATATGCAAGCAGTCCATTAGCGCTGCTGCGTTTAATTAACATCGAAAAGTGGTGAAAGAGTAACAAGACTTAATGATATTTTTAATTAATAAAAAGTATTGCCTTCATACATTGGTTTCAATCATTTTATTGATTAAAATGTTTTGTTTAATCTAATGAATTAGATCACTGTCAAACTTTGATTATGGTGTATTTCCATCACTAAAATAAATTTAAATACTTCTCACAGCCAAGTTTCATTTCCATAAAAAAAAATTGCTACTTCCTTTGTAAAACAAAATTTTAATGAAATAATAAAACTTCATATCTATAAAACATGTCTAAATTATTTGAGCAAGATGAAATCTATTCCTTTTTTCGGATGTCACATTCAAAAATATTTCTTCATTTCTTTAAGGCGACATGATTATCGCCTATAAATGAAACTGTACCATATCTACGAATTATTAGAGGGAATCATAAAATCCATTTATCATGAGTTGTGGTTATGTTATGTTCAATTCCATAATTGTTGTTATTATTTAGAGATTTTGAAGCAGTAATAGATTGATATTATAATCTTCGAATATATATTCAATGTATGGAGATTAAATTGATTGAATATATCTTCTGCTATCTTCAAATTTGAATCAAATTCAGCTAAGTTTTGGGTCTTACAATGAATCGTCATTGATGAGCCCATAATCTCATATTAATTTTAGTAGGAGAAATCCGATCACAGCGACTAATCCATCACTTATCAAATAGTGCTAGCTGTAAGTTCAAGTATCATTACCTGTTACTTTACTAACACCAATGATTTCCCACTTAAGCGAATTTTCAAAGTACACTAAGTCGCAAATTGAATTGGGTATGAATTTATCAAAAAGAAACTGTTAGAAAATTTATGGCGAAAACATGATGGAAAATACCACTCCGTTTGATCATCAAGAACTGTATCGTACGAAATGATGTGCTGTGATTGGTCCCATCCCTTATCTCTATTTCGTTGTAGTTTTTTCTTTTCTATCGCCCTTCCTATCTCTCTCTGCGATGTTTTTAAAACACCAATGAAATGAATCACGGGGCTTTTTTCTCATTTAGAGAAAAAAATTTTTTTTTTAAAAAAAAATGAGGGCAAAGCATGTATAGTTGTTCCAAGCTTCATGCCTATCAAATGGTTCAATCTCATCACTAAGCAAAATTATCTTGACATTCCTCGATTCATTCTCATTCCTTTCCCTTCTCCTCATACATGTATCCTAGTTTAATTTTACAACACTTCTATACATATAAATGAGCGCTAACAATAAAAGAAAATAAAAATACTGTTTATCTCACATGCAGTACATAAATGAGGTAAAATATACATTGCTTACGAGTTAATTTACAGTATAATAATTTACAGTTTAAACTACATTTCAACATTATTAATAGTATGTTTAGTGTGAACATCTTGTTGTTTGAGCTCCTTTTATAATCTGAACTTACGGACTGTACATGTAATATACCGATTTCCTAACTTTTTTGTTTGGATTCTCTTGAAAAGAAAATGTAATAAAACACGAAAGACTACTTAATGGAATTATTGTTTTTTAAAAACAATAAAAGACTAGCATATCATTGCAGTAAACTGTTTTTTTCTGAGAAAAAGTGAATTGGATAACATGAAGTTTCGTTTACAGTTCTATCCTTAATAAATTTTTATCGTACAAATTCAAGATTGACTTGGCAATGACTTCATGCGTATTCGGCATATATCCACCACTAAGTAACATTACGACTGGGATATGTCTGTCACGAGCCATTTTGAAAACAATTTCATCACGTTTTCGAATTCCCTAAAATTACTACAACAAGAAATGATCTGATTCTAACCATTAGAAAACCGTTAGCATTAATGAAACTATTTTAAATAGAAAAAAGAAATACTTAGACTTGAACACTACTACTGGACACATTCTGAGCTTTCGAAGTGTTTTGAGCTGACATAAACAGAATTTCTAAACACTAAGAAAAATACAACAACCTTCGAGGATATCGACAATAACCCAAGTGGATCACCTTGAAGACAATCAGTTCCCGCATTATACACGATTATATCAGGCTGAAATTCGTTCAAGACATCTTCAAGATTATTTGAAAGTAAGGAGAGATATTCTGAATCCTGTGTACCAACATGAAGATGAATTGATCTCCTTATAGCACCTAAATAATAATTAAAAGGCATATAATTTAACATAATGTTAAGAACATATTTAAAATATTGGATTCCTTGATTTAAATTCCTTGATTTTCTTGATTTAAAGACAATTCACACTAAGCCCGACATAATACATAGACTACAAAGCATCTCCTTTCCCAGTGTAAACTTCGTTAGAAATTTCCTTCCACACATTACAAGATTATATATTTGATTTCATGAACACATTCATTTGAAGAGAAAAAGAATAAAGATTTTACGTCTTGCTCTCAGATCATGCGGATAAATACGACTGTTAAACATATCCAATATATAAACGCGACTGTCACCGCTGAAATCATTTTCATGACCATTACCCTGAAATAATTTCGATCAGCAAAGAATTGTAAACCAAAGTAGAATTTAAGTTCAATGAAAATTAATAAAAATGCAATCAGTCGGAAGACGATGTAAGATAAAATGCAGAACAGCGATAAGAGATGATGCAGTTAAAGTACACGTGAAATAACCTGATGAGCATCTAAATCAACAATCATTGCTTTTGAAATCAATTGATTCGAGAATAAGAATGTTAGTGCCAAGGTGATATCAGCATAAATACAAAAACCTCCACCCTTTGAACGACTTGCATGATGGAAACCACCACCAATATTTATTGCCCAACCGGATGTTAGTGCAAGCTTGGCTGCCAATATTGTGCCGCCTTCAAATGAAAAGGAATATTGTCCATTTGTGCAACTTCAAACAGTGCGACATTAAAACAATGTGCATTTTTTAACATGTATGCACCGATGCATTTAATGCAGTCTTTGCGTTGCCTGTACAAACATGCATTGAACACTAATTGACAGTTAGCATAATCGTGCACTATAATAAAAACATATATCGATGTATGTTCATCAAACTTATCAGTATGATATCGGAAAGGCTTCAAAAGAACTTTGTTGATAATACATGGAGGAATAAGTGCAACAGGTGTAACTTCAACCATTTTTGCAACATAACATGGACAGCATAATGATGAGAGATAGGTGGATGAATGCACAACACGTAAATCGTCCATACTTGCTTCCAGTGGCCTTATTGTTTGATTTTCTTCAAACATCCCTGATTCTGGAATGAAAAAAAAAAAAAATGATAGGGTCTATTCAGCGATTAATTTATCGTGAAGACATAAGCTAAAGCCAATATAACAGTGAACATTACTGACTCACTGATTAATAGTTTAAATATCTATAAGGTGAAAATAATTTTAACTTTCAGGATTTTTCTTAAAAGTGCAATAAAAACTATTCGATCAAGTAATATATGATGAAACTTACGCAACAATGTCTCATAAACACGTCCCCATTTACGTGAATCAAATGGATGGCACCGTTCGATCCCACAAAATGATATATTATAAACTGGATGATATACAATGGGTAATTGACCTCGTTCAATTTCCTTGTATAACTTTGATGCTTTCACAGCGGTTAATTGTCTGTTTAAAGAAAAATAACTGAATAATCAATCAATCTTTTAAATCCGAATTTTAAAAATAAATTTCATTACCAGTATCATCGAATCATCCAATCAACCAATTAGTACATTTTTACTAGTGCTGATATAACGCATAGCAAAACTGATTAGTTAATCAACCTTCTTCATGGTTATGGTTAAACAAACCTGTCTGCCAGTGGTTTTTCGATGGAGCTTCGATCGCTATTATCAATGAATCTTTCCTCAGCCATAATAGATCAGTACATTAGTGCTGCAAGTTAAACCAGAATTCAAATGATACATAACGTTTGAGACACATTCGAAGTCTATAATAATTTCTAAATAAAATAAAATAATGAAAATGCTAATTTCATCAGAATGAGCCAATAAACTCTCTAAAATAATTGCAACAAAATGTAATAAACACAATGATGCAAGCAAATGGAATTAAATTTCGAAACACTGATAAAACTGCAAAGGATAATGAAGTAGAGAATAATATCAACAAATGAAAGAAATATTAAGGAAAATTGCGATATCAAAAAGATTAATGGGATTTTCGAGAAATAATGACGCAAAGATTAAGAAGAAAAAGATGTAATACTACCACAGAAAAAAAGGAAGCATGATAACATCAATTGACAAATGACTGAGAGTAATTGTAACTGGTGTTAATTAGCCATAAATAACAAATGGAAAAGGTCTGAATAGCTAAACAACAAACAATCTTATACTATTTGTTAGGTTTCTTCGTCTTCTCTTGAGGGATTGTTGTGAAACTGGAATGGTTAGCTTAAGAGAAATGAAGAACTCTTCATGTCGTATTGCTTGGGTCTTCAGTCAAATTCGACACATTTCCATATGCTAATCAGCTAATTGTTAAATCGAAAATTGGCACTGCTCAGATTGATCATTTCCGGAAACAAATGTTACATTGAATATTTCGCATTACTCTAATTTTCATTTCAGTTCAAATGTCAGCTGTCTCTATTACCTATAAATGTCGCACTTTGTGCGAGAGGTAATTGAGGACATGTGTCACACTGTTTCTTTCCTGACAGTTGTTATGAAGTTCAGGATGTGTTCGTTCTGGTGACTTATTGAAGTGGTAATACTTTGAGAGTTAAAAGTGGGGCGTAAAATTCAATGAGATGCATCTCTTCTTTCTCTCTTAATTCTCTTCTCTCCCTGTTTATCGATTTGTGATTTGCGAATTGGAATACTTCGTGATGCGTTATACATAGATTGCTGAACATTTTCACTGCTGTATTTGTTCTTTCGGTTATTACTCAAATCAGAGGTTATCCATTTTGTTTTATCAGTACTGACCACTTTTGTTTTATACAGAAACGAAAACTTCTGAAATAGACAAAGGCTAGTTTAGTCACACTTTCTTGGTGCTGTTATTGTTACTGCTGTTGTTGTCATTGTTATTGTTGCTGTCATTATTATTTGTTATTATTTATTGTTATCATCATTTATTATTATTCTTATTAATTATTGTTATTATTAATTCTTAATTATTATTATTAATCCTTGATTATTGTTGTTATTAATTATTAATTATTATTATTGTTAATATTATTACATCTTTTCCCTTTTGCGCAATCAATGATCTGAATTTCGTAGTGTACTTCAATATTGCGTATTTTTCTGTGTGTTAGTTATCAGAATGCTAAATTCCTTCAAATTTCTTTTTAGGAACTGTCTGCAAAGTGATAGCGATAGAAGTTGGCCGAATTTTTCGAAGGTATGGTGGGTATAGGTAAGAAGCAACATGTTGTTAGTGGTTTTTTTCGTCGTAAAGAGTTTGGCCAAAATGTACACAACTCTTGGGAATTTCCATTTCTTGATCTTCCCAACAGAGATATTTATCAAAAGGATGTCAAAGGTCATTACGGTTGTGTAAATGCTATTGAGGCATCAACGGATGAAAATTTTTTAGCTAGCGGTAAGTTAGCTGTTTTGATATTGTTTATTTTCTGTTTTTCCTTTTTATTACTGCTGATAAAAAAGCTTTAAAAATTAGCACACAAAATACACGATTATATTTATCTGCTTTCCATGTATCTCATGTTGATATAAACTAGATTAATTTTTGTGAATGGTATAAACTATCTTTTTGGTGTAAAATGGTGCAAAACGATATATTTCGTCGCGTATTATTTATTACCATTCAACGAGATAGTTTTGCATAACAAAACTTTTTTTAAAGCCTTTTATTTTTCGTTTTTCTATCCTGCTACAGAAAAGTTGGTTCCACACCAGGGAACCATGATAAGTCAAAGCAAATATGTGGTGGCGTTGTAGGTGGCGATGATAGACGTGTGTTAATGTGGAAACTTAATGATGTACAGGTAATGGAGAAACCGAAGCCTGTGGCTGTTATGAGACAAATGCATTATTCAAATATATTTTCTGTTGGATTTTCTAACAAGTTTGTTTTTGATTACACTTTTCTTGATGTTTAAGGATTTTGTTGGACAGGAATTTTGTAGAAAACAAATCGAATGGTCGACAAGAGACTGAATTATTAACTAGGAAAAAAATTTCATCAAATATTTTTGAGGATTTTAAAATTATGGAGTAGAATATGTCAGTGAGATAAGATCAAATAGATAATTTAAATACCCTGATAGCATTCGCTGAACTGTTCAAGTACTATTACATTTCATAATAAAGTGATCTTATGTTTGTAACGTGAACTCTATGCGCGATGTTTTCCAGATGTGATAGACTGTATTCAGCTGGAAATGACTCATTTTTATATGTTCATGATATTGCAACGACCAGTGTATTGCATCGTTTTAAAGCTGATGAGCCTATTTATAATGTGGCCGTAAATGTAAGATCATATAATTAAGATGGGCTAAAATTTCTCAAATGTGTTTAACATAATAGTTTATGATATAAAAAAAGGTTTAATGAATTTCATATCTTGTAATAAATATATTATTCACAAATTAAATCGCTAGAATTAGTCAATCTTCAGCGCACTGCTGTAATGTTTTGAGCTACACAGTAGTCATAAGTTGACTATTCAAGTTGTAATCTACAAAATCAGAATGTAATTAAATATATTCAGACTATTATGGTGTGTTTTTTTCTAGCCCAAGGATGATTCAGTGATTATGTCTGCCTCAGAAGATGGAAAAGTTCGTTTATATGATTTGCGAGGAGGTGAAGAATCGCTTGCTGTTGAAAGTTCAGGTTTGTTTTGCTCTCGTCTCTTGAACACTTTATTTATCCAAAATTGAATTGAATCAATTTTTAATAGTGAATCAGTTTTCAGGAACCATGTATTGTGCGCAGTTCAATCCTCGACAAGTCCATATCATATCAGTCTGTAATGGACGTGATGGCCTATCATTACATGACATCCGGAAACTTGACAGGTTAGAAACTTTATAATTCCTTCAGTTTGAAATCATTTTCCGATTTTTTAAAGTATTTACTTTTAAATGAATGTAACTCCAAAAGGAATGCCCTTTTTGATCATAATGCCGGAAAGTTTATAGGTAGAAATCGTATAAAATTTGCCGACAGTAAATCTTGTAATGGAAAAGATGTGCTCTCATACACTTTTAATAAAAGCAATTCTAAATGGGTCATTCTAATGATAAATGTATTGTACTGAAAGTATTTCTCTGAAAATAGTTCAGTTTCTAAATTCAATGACTTTTAAAATTTCAGCCCTTGTTTCCAGTTTGATCAGTTGACTAGAGCACGCGTAAATTTAAATATTAGTTCTGTTATGTATGGCCAGTGGAGTGAGGATGGGGAAGCTATTTTTGCTACACGTAGCCGTACGTCACCCATATTGTACGACGTATGTTTTATTAAAATATCATTCTTAACAGCAAAAATTTTTGTGTTCGTGTTGACTGACTCGGTAATCCCGTCCATTGTGAAAAATCCTTAATTAACCATCACTGATCTTGTTATTAAACTGCTATTAACTTTATCCCTTTGAATTCCTTGTATATATTCTTGTTGTTTTACATATTGATTTGGTTATATGTATATTGTAAATAAATCTAAGTTGAGAAAATTTTTAAATCCTAAATTGTTATTATTTTTAAAGAGCATTGGATAATGTATTATTTTTTTCTTTTTTTAATAGGATTTCTATCTCAACCAAATTTAGTTTATACTTTGTGTAATTTTCGGTTAGCAAATTTAGCAAATTTAGTTAAATGGTGGCGGCAGTGTGGAATTCAACGATCAGAATTACCTAAATTCCTGTACAGTTAAATCATGTTCATTTATAAGTCGTGATTTGGTAATGACTGGTTCTGACGATTGGAATATATATATCTGGAAAGTGCCTGAAGACAGGGAAACTGTTGGTAAAAAGTGTTTTTCTTATAGTGATTTGGTGTAAAAAAATTTGCTTTCATTTATATCGATGCCATAACATATGCATTATTATGTAACTATTTGTGTTGAATTCATACATTTTGACTATTTTTTTAGGACAAATTGTAGACAAAGCCTACCGGGTTTTAGAAGGTCACAGGTCGATTGTCAATCATGCACGTTACAGTTCTCTCAACAGGCTTTTGTTCTCATCGGGAGTTGAAAAAATTATCAAAGTAATCACTGACTTTCTGTTCCAAATTACAATTTCTTGACTCTTATGGAATTTCAAGTTCTATTGATTTTGCATGCTTTAATAGCAATTTGATATCAACTGCTTCTCTGAAATTGTATGCAATCGTTCAAATGTCAGAAATTGTACCTCTTTGTATTCAGAATGATGTTTAGCTTTATTCAGTTATGGAGTGCATGGAATTTGAATGGTTTCTATTTGGAGCCGAAAAGACGAAGCGTAATACCAAGTACGGATTATTCTGATCCAGGGAATGGTGATAGTGTCGATGAGGATATCAATATGCTTGCATTTTTCGATCTCCTCACTACTGTTCGTGGAATGTTCTTACTGTATTATATACAAATTAGAAAAAGAGCCCCAAACTTTTGGAGCTGAATACCAGACCCGATTGTTTTTCTGGTCAAAGTTTTATCAGGATTTTGGTTTAGTTTGGGAATTAAAGATTATAGCAAAGGTGAAACTTTCAGTCTATTTTTTTGGGATAAATAAATTTTTTTTTTGACGTTGCAAGCTTAGTTTTTGTTCAAATGAAAAATGTGTGAAAAAATAAGACTTACGAAAAATAAGAAATTATTGTTCCAGAGTGGTGTTGATGAAGAGGGACCAGAAGATGGCTTTCACGACTTATCGGAAAACGATGCTAGCAATGATCGAATGGTATTAGCAGGAAGGTCAATACAGAATGCTCAGGTGTGTTTCATACTTTTACGCTTTGTTTCGATTACATGTATTAATAATTTGAGGAATGATTCATGTTAATAACCCGGAAAATGAGTTGTTATTGCGGTGAGGAAGTGTTAATATTAAAATAGGGTAGTGAAGCACATACTTATACATTTTGGCATGATTTGGATTTTCTTCTTTTGTGGGTTCCTTTCTCTCCTTTTTAATTTATAACTCTTGAAGAGTTTCGTATTCAAAGGAAAACTTTAGTGTAACACTTTCAAAATTGTCAGTTCTTTTTCATTTGAGGATCATGATGACGATGAGAATGAAAGTGGTCAGGACGATGATAATGCAGATGGCGATGCAGGGTTACAGCACGTAGAAGATAGATTAATTTTAGCGCGTTTCAGGAGAAGAGCTGAGGTCAGCTTCTTTTGCCATGCTCAAGTACTTTGTGTATGTTTATATATTAGCATACAAATCCATCATCATTCTTTGAAAATAAAATTGTACATGAGACTCCACATTATTATTATTATTATTAAAATTTTTTTTTTTTTGAAGCCGGAAAAGCGCAAAAGTTTTTGAGATTAATCCAAATTTCCTTATATGTGAAAGTTGAAAAAAATAAGTTTGAAATTGTCACTCTGGAAATTTGCTTCCCTAACCGAACATGTTATTAAGTTAGCGGTGAAATGAAAATAGCTTTCGAAAGAAAAATAGAAATCATTTCTCTTTTAAGGAGAAAATGAACGGAGATTCTATATGCAGTTTTAAATCTTTATATTGCTCCATCTCTTGAATTTAATAATATTATATGATAAAACTAAAATCCAAACTTTTTTACATGTTATTAAACTTCAGTCGCAGTTTCAGGGAGTAGTATATGTAGTATCATCTCCAGAAATGTCAGAGCCGGAATTGTTGCCGGAAGAAGGATCATCAGAAAATGACAGTTCTCAGCGAGTTACTAATCGTAGGTTTAATTCAGCCTTTTTGTTTTTGTTATAATTTTTGACGATTGTCTAGAATTGAAAAAATCTAGGTGATTGGTACTTGTTGCGTATAAGTTGCAGCCATCTTTAGTTTTTAGTTTCTTTCGTTTTTTTTCTTAAATTTATATATTAACGTTCTCTCTTTTGTTTCTTCCCAAAGTGCTATCTGAATACAGCAATGTTAAGTTAGCATCAATTCAGTGAAGATAAAATTCTTGATGATGCAAAAAAATTCAACTTTTGAACGAAATTTCTTTTTGAGGATTGTCAAACAGGTCTAAGGACGGTGCTACTTGTTATTCCATTAAAATTAAACCTGTTTCTGCTACAGATTGCCCTAACTTGGACGAAACACTGAATGATGATTATTTCTTACTTCCGGACTAATGTCGTCTTTTTTTTTCAGCAGATACATAATAGGAACCAGTGTTTCCGGGGACGTGTAGTCTCATTATTAGGTATTTTAATTATTTTTCAAATTACTATTTTAATTACATTTTTGTTGTATTATTTCACTTTGCGTAATCATTCTATTGTTTTCTGTACATTACTGTCTCTAAATTCTTCTAAGCAGAAAATTGCTTCACATTATTATATTCACAAATTGTATTTACTTATTTTTTTTCAATGAATCAGTGCTCATTTAGGAAAAGAAACAATAAGTTTCCATTAAAAATAACTGGAACTACCATAAATTTAATTACATCTGCCCTAACTTTGTTGCTAACTCAATAACCAAAGCTGAAGTACAAAATTTTACTTTAAGATCTTGCACCGGTAATCGTTAAAAGGTAATTGTAAGAAGTATCATATGGTATCACTGTGATCCAAAAATTTTTATTATAAGAAGTATTTGCCTCTTAATGATTTTTTAATTCACAAAATTGATAGTTTTCGTTTGCCGTGGGTAATATTTTTTAAAGAATTCTATTGAGTCATTTTTTTTTCCCTCACGTATCCTATATCCATCGCACTCGATTATATTTCATAATTCTCTCCATTCTGTTTTTTTTTTTTTTTTTTTTTCTTTTCCTTTAATTTAGTTTCATTTTATTCACGGGTAAAAACCTTCTACTGATCCCTCTATTTTTTAACATTTGTGATTAAGTCGTTTTCAATATAGATTTTATGCATTTGTTTTCATCTTTTGAATAGCGGTTAAATGTATCTCTTTCAGTCACAATTTCTTATTGGTTTTAATTTTGAACTTTGTCATTTTTAATAATGCTGTCGACATGTTGTATAGATGTGAAAAGCCATTTGTAAAATTACAGAAATTATAAGCATATGCTTTTGGCATATCAGAAAAATCAGATAATTTTTGAAAAAGATTTATGCTTGGAACTTATCAGTTTTTATCTTCCGATTTTTATAATCATTTTTCAAATTAGAAGATTTTTACCTCATTCGTTAATTGTTCCATCACATCTCGGCTAATATAATATTTTGGATAAATCTTATGAAATTTATGGGTTTTCAAGGCATTTTCATGATAGATTTGCGATATAGCAGCACTAATCCTCTTTCGTATTTCTTATTTGATATTACGATGACCGTAGTGATCTTAAGATTTCTGAAAGCTTCCGAATCTTGAAAGAGACTCCTTCCTTCCTTACACAGTTTTGCTGAGTATGTGGTTTTCACCTAGCCATATTTGTATATGTTGTTTATTCTTCATATTGATTGTCTTGAAAAGCACTTTTAACGAATTATGCATCTTATCTTTGTTTCCTATTATTTTTATGGAAGAAATATGTGTTTCAAATTAATTTAAAGTTCCAATTCTGCTGTGATGAAATGAGGTAGATATAACTGTACCAATTAATCGGTCACGCAAATATCCTGATTATTCTTCGTTAATATAGAATACACTATTGCATTTTATTATTCAAGTTTACTACTTTCATAAAGTAGTAAACTTCAGGTGTTGCTCTGTTTATTGGTTACTGACGTGCTCGTTATGCCTCTGCCTTTCAAACCTTTGCGATTATATTAAATTTGTGGAAATTTATTTTTCATAATTATTTGGTAATAAACTGTGGTTTTGGCGATGCTTTTCCTCTTTTTCTGCTCTGCTGCAACACTGAAGTTGCACATTTTTTCTCCAGCAGAATAAAATTACATATTAACTGTGTAGTTTTTTATAGGATGAATCGTGGAATTTCAAGACTTTCAGAATAAACTTCAAACTTTAAAAATTCTCTCATTCTCTCTGTTTAGAGCACGCTAGTTCATAGCATTTGTCTCCCTAATCATATGTCGCAGTATTGCACCGATTGAATGCATTTTTCCACTTCTAATTATTCTTAAGATTGAAGTAACATGAATGATTGCTTCTTCCACAGGTTGCACGATAGCGGTTGCTAGGAAACAAGAAGTTATTCGGATTTTTACCCTTTTTCATATTTATGGAGTTTGTAGTGTGGAATATATGTGCAGTCAAAGAATAAAAGTGTAGTCAGATATTATTCAGTTACATCGTGTGATACATCTAAAGATAAACGGAAACAAAGAAATAGAGAAATGAATATACCAAATACGGTAGTATATTTTTCGGATTGGACCAGTTTTCAACAAAGTTATTCCTAGAGCATTATCTGTGAGTAATATTTGGTAAAAGTAGAATTATTATACCCTAATCATTTTAATAGTCAAGGCATATATTAAGCAGTAGACATTGTGTAAATATCAGTAGTTTAACTATTATTACCAAGTTATTATTAATAATTGTTGTTACCAATAATTATTTTTATATTAGGAGAGGAAATTGTTTCTCTACAAGAATTAATCCTTATATAGAACTAAATAACTAAGTTGAGTGGTCCAGGAAAAGTCCAAATTTTTACACTTTTTTTTCATGTTCCAAATCACAAGTTTCTATTCCTAACTGTAAAGATTTGCTAATATCAAGTAAATGTTTCTTCAATTATTTAATTTCATAATATTATCAATCTTATTATTAATTGCAACATGTGAGTGCAAAACAAATGTGACAGTAACATCTTTTGCTCTTTTTTTTGGTCCTGAAATAGGAAAAATTAGGTTGAATATAACGCCAAAAATGAATTAAATATAAAGTAGTTAAGTCTAAAGCTAATGCGGGAGCTTGCGGGCTAAATTTGCATGAAAGTTTAATGGATAAGAAGCTATTATCATTATAATATCCATTTACTGAATCAATCCATATTTAATTTATTCTTTTATCTATACATGCCTTTTTTGAAATAGCCGTTTTGAGAATAACATTTTCTGTTTTCAGTCTTCTACACCAATATTCCAACTTCATTTGAAACTATGTCAGTAGAAGGGAAAGAAGACAATTGAGGGAAAGAGGTGTAGTTATGGCGGAAAAATAAGCACAACTACGGTGGCACGATTAATTAACAATAGCTATATATGAAGTATATTTGAATTCGAGCTGAAGCTATTACTCACTGGGAGAAGAGGAAGAAATTGATTTAATTTAATCAAATATATAATTTCATTTCTAAAGTTTGTCTGTCCCTCTCTCTGACATTCAATCCAATCTTTTAATCCAACCCGTCTTGCCCTGTTATCCTCATCCTCTTCCATATCCTCAATATATTTTACTTACACTACCACTTTGTTTTCGGGGACCACTTCTTATTTCAATGCTCATTGTTCAAATTGACTAATAGAAGGACGAGCATACTACTACCAATAACTACTATTACAATTATTTTTACTATTTCTGCTACCACCAATACTACTTCAAGTCTTTATTCTCTCATAATTATTTACTTTCACCCTTTTATAACCTGTCAAAGTAAATATCTTTCAAAATCCATGAAAGAAGCCATTTCTGATATAATCCTTTTTTCACTTTTTTAAATTGAATTTTCTGCTTTCTATAATACTCTATTACTATCATTGGATTGAACGATATATATATTCTGTATGCAGTTAACAATTACTTGCTAATTTAACTCATCAATTCAAAAGTGTTTTGTAATCTAAAGATTTAAACTGCTACAGATTTCAACATTGCCATTTTAATAAGTTATAATACCTATTGCTTTACTTAATATTATTGAATGATAATTTCTCGGATAAACTGTTTCCTGCAATATTTCGCTAATATCCAGTCATCTTACTCAATTATCCGTTATTATTTTAACAAGTTCTTACTAATTTTTCATTGCTTCAACCCCTGCAAAAGTTTTTCAGACGCGACTAATTGTATCACTTAGTCAACGATCATTAATATCATTAGACCGTTGAAGAACCTTGAAGACAAATGTGATGTATATTCAATTGGCTGGTTTATTTCTCTCCTTTAAAAGAACTTGAAGTTCCACAACTGTCAAACAAATGCTTGAAATTTTTCAGCAGTTCATTTTATTGAGGATATTGCTGTTATTTGTTTAATTCGTGTACGAGAGTAAAGTTTATTGACTCTGCAAACGATTTATTTGTGCTAAGTGCGTTTAAAAAAAATAAGAAATTGTCATCTATTGTTTCTGCTTTGCAGTCACAAATAAAAAATAAATTGGAAGTTTGATTTTTGATCGCTTATCAGTTGCTGTCATTGTAAGGAATGAGAAAAGAAACGAAAGTACGTTACAAGGAGACTAGTTCACCGTTCCAAATTCAAATTTTACTCATATTTACAATCTTTTTTGCATTCATCATTTTGCTCTTGGCTTTTCTAATTTTTTCATCCAAGCAACGTTTCGAGCTGCAAACTACGTTACATCAACGTAGTTCCACGAATAATATTTCCATTATTACTTCTCAGCCATATTTCAGGCTACCTACTACGATCCGTCCATTACATTATGACCTCAAATTGCAAATATTTCTTCCATATCGGGAAGATTTAAATTTTAATGAACGAAATTTCAGCATTCATGCAGATGTAGCAATTCGTATTGTCTGTTTGCATGCAACCGATCAAATCATTTTAAATGCTAAAAATTTGAAATTTGATGAAAGTGATATAGAAGTGCAAGATAGCCATAACGAATCGATACCATTGATCGGTATAAATCGATATCAGCATGAAGTAGATGATATTCATATTGTTGAGATAATACTAATGCGGGAACTTCATTCTGGACATAATTATGTGATTTATATCAGATATCAGGGTATTATCAATGATGTTTGGACTGGTGGTCTTTACACGACTCAATACAACATCAATGGACAGACAAGGCTAGTTATAATTATTCTTACAATTTCATTTCTCTTTCTCTTTCTCCCTCTCACTCTTATTTTCTATGCCTTTTCAAGGTAAAAAAATAATTTTGCTACTTGAACATTTAAATTATGACAACTGGATAAGCATTTATAGTGAAATTACAAAATGAAATTAGAAATTCTCGAGTTTTCCAACAGTTTCTTCAAGTTATATTTCTTGAAAATTAACTTTCAAACTTGCAAACAAAAAGAAGCAAGTATTTTTCAATTTCTCAACTTACTTTGTCATTCTCAGATTTGCGGGCTTTCCTTTTTTTCTTTTTCTTGATTAAATAATCAAATTTTGAATAATAAATTTAATAATACAGCATTCAACAATTTCTGATTTCTTTACATGATTTTTTTGTTATTAATGGGAGACTTTGTTGTGTAAAAGATAATTTTATCCAAAATACTTCTCCCTTTCATTACATATTCATCCATATATTATTTTTATTCTCATGGAAATATATTTTCCATAATTTTGAAAAGACATTTTGGTGCATATTATCCTGCACAAATATATTATGCATACATAATCTCTTTTTCCTAATTTGAACTTACCATTATCTTTTTTCTTCCCCATGCCGTAATATCTGATGAATTTCTCCAAAAATGAACTAAGCACAAAATTTAAGTTTTGCTTTTGAAATAAACAATTCGAGAAAATTTCTCCTTGCCAGAAAATGGTCATATATTTCTGAGAAATGATTCTCATGAGCATAGAAGAAAAGAGAATTATGAAAAAAAAAATGGCTCATCAATTTTTTATTTGCTTTATAAGGACCGAAAAACGAATTATATGTATATTATATGTATATTCTTTTTTATTCCTGTATAATTTTCTAGATGATTAATTTATAAATTCGGTGAGGCATAAGAAATAATTCATCATGCAACAGTATCTAAATAAATGTATTCTTATTGCAGGTTGTTAGCACTTACACAACTGCAACCAACAGATGCAAGTCGCTTATTACCCTGTTTCGATGAACCAGAAATGAAAGCGACATTCCGGATCAGTATAATCCATCCTATGGGCACTTCAGCTGTCTCCAATTCACCAGTTCGTCGTTACCGTCATCTCAATTCGTAAGAATATTTCATTATTTTGAACATTTAATCCGCGTGATATTGAAAATACAACTAGTAACTGTTATGGAGGAAGATTAGATTGACTTATAAAGAAACTTATATATAAACTTATGAAGGAATTTAATTGAAACCAATGATTGTTTATTGAGCGTTGACTGATAACACTAAGTAAAAAGCAAATTATGCTCAGAAAAATTAGGCGATTATCTCACATATAGTACCGATAATAAATAAATTGTTTTTGCTCACAGTACTGAAATTTGACGCCATAATGAAACAATTTGCGGATGAAAACTTTCATTCATATAAGATCTGCAGTCTTTATTATATTCCTTTGGTATTTTACGGTAGCTATTAATTGCTGTTATGCTTAACTTGATGGTTTGATGATCTTTTATCGAGATTCATATTACAGAAAATGGAGTAAGACAGAATTTGAAGTCACACCTATCATGTCAACCTATCTGCTAGCAGTAGCTGTCAGTGACTTTGTTTTCAAGTTTCGTCATTGTGGGAAGATTGAAGTTTGCTTTTGTTTGTAAGCACAACAAATAAGAAAATATTAAATTAAACAAGAGCAATTCTTAATTGAATGATTGTTAAGCTAGCAAAAAAGAAAAAACACATTTCCACACGAAAAAGTAGAAAAAGCAAAAGAATTCCTCTGAGAGTTTCCCAACATCAATGCGAATTTTCATCATATCATATCGTGCAATTCTCCCTCAACACTACTCCATTCAATTTCATTCATGACGTAATCAGTTATTTCCCTCAGACACATAGTTACTTTAAAATTTTCAATTCAAGAAAGTTCAATCTTTTTTATATTTTCTAAATTGACATTCTTTATTCGTTAATGTTTTCATGTTACAGTAAGCTTGAATTTTAGATTATTATTTTCACTTAACTTTCAACTCAATATCTAATTTCATTGCACAACATAATTCAGTCTGTGAATATATCCTTCAAATTTTATAAATTTGGCAACTTGTGATCTGATTTTAACTTCTTTATTATAATTTTTCCTCTATGAAATTTGTCAAAAATGTTCGCTAAATCAGCACACATAACTTTTTGGTACATTAGTAATATCTTTTTTAATTGTAAAGCTACAAAGAGTAATCTAATTGTATTGTGAAAGCTCAAAATTCAAATGATAATTAAAGTTCAAGACAGCAGTTATTGCAACTTTTCTACTTCTATTAGAATGACATAATTATCATTCAGAAATTCTGCACTGCCATCTAAATTGTCATTGAAATTATCAAAATATTTAATGTTTGCTAAAGTTTATTCAATTGTTTGCTATTTCAGGAAGAGAACAGTAAGAATCTACATTTTTTGTATATTTATTATAAATAATGCATTTTGATCAAAGCATTTATAAGAATTAGAAATGAAAAATTATTTAATAACTATCAATTTTTCTAATATATTTTAATTCGCATAAATTAGAAAGGATTCATGTTTTGCTAAGACAAAGGTCGTTTTAACTTCTCCATTTCTTTTAAATAATTAATAAAAATATAAAAAATATTAGTTTGAAGTTGTCATCGATATTCAACTTTTCAACCAAAAAATTCGATTTGATTTATATTGAAAAAATATTAGAGCTTACATTATCATATCGTCCAAAAACTGAAATGCTAATTATAAATAAGCAAAAATAAAGACTGCATTCACTAAAACTTATTGCAAATGGATTTAAATGTAACTTGAAGTGAAACAGAGTATAAACTAATTTACAGGTTCGCGTTTGGTGTCAATCGGCAATGGCATATGACATCGATTATGCGCTTCATGTTGCATGCCGATTGTTAAAGTATTATGAAAATTTCTTCTCCATTCCTTATCCACTAAAAAAACTCGGTCTGTTCAAAGTTTTCAATATCAGAGTTAACGTTTTAACTGATTTTTTTTTTTTTTAATTTCACAAAATAATTTTTATATATGTCTAATTAATACATTAATTACAGTGATGAAAGAAAAAAAAATTTTTTCTTAGCAAATGATATTTTGAGACTTTTGTAACTGATTTTAAAATTTGAATTTATTGAAGATAAACAAAAATAGTAAATTTATTCTCTCTTCTTTCTTTCTAAGTATTTTAAAAAATATATTGCGTTTCATGTAAAGTATTTTATGTTCCCATTTCATTTAACTTTGTTTTAGATATTTTCACAGCACCGGAATTACGTGTTTTGGCGATGGAAAATTGGGGGTTAATTACCGTACGCCAAAAGTTGATGCTTTATAACCAACGTCTGAATAGTTTACGTGAGAGGAGAGTTGTGACAGATGTTATCGCACACGAAGTCGCACATATGGTGAATTCTCTTCTAATCCGTAATATTAGTCAAGGAACAAGGAACAATTAATTATATTAATCAAGAAATAATTATATCAAGAAATAAGCAGAACGGATGAAATGCTTAGTAATATTTTCGACAAAAATCAATATAAGCAATAGTTCCAAAGGTTATAGAAGTTCAAATATCTAATAGTTCCGAAGGATACAGAAGTTCAGATATTCGGAACGAATATCGGAAGTCACAAATGTTATACGACACATTTAATCGAGACTAATTATTATTTGGAACAGTAATGTTAAATATTTGACAAAGCTAATGAGGAGATAGATTAGAGAGCCTTAGTAAATCTATGAAATTTCAATTTTTATTTTTAGTGGTTTGGGAATTTGGCGACAATGCGTTGGTGGAATGATTTATGGTTGAACGAAGGTTTCGCAACGATGATGGGACAAAAGGCAGCTGATTTTGTTGAAAATACAACATTGCGAATGGTATTTTGCGCAAACTTTTTTTTTCGAAATTGTCACAGAAACATTGTATTATTAACTTATTAACTCTTATAAAGCTATGTAAGGAAAGATCAGATCTTGCATTCACTAAGAAACACATTAGTACTTTTTTTAGGGATGTATTTGCGCCAACTTCTGCATTTCAGGGATTTATTTATATTTAATTCTTAATTTGTTTATAATAGTTTGTGATTTGTGAATATATTGCAAACAAAGCAACAAATTCATCAGTTCAATTAACTATTATAATTAAAGTCTATGTTTGAGATAGCTAATATTATAAGCATTCTAAAAAATTTTATCAAAGCCTATTTCTTAATTAAATCTTACTTTCAAGTAGCTAACTTGAATCACGTTGACTTGTGAAAGTATCAGCTAGTCTTATTCATTATCTATAAATCCACAGAAATTATTGATGAAATTCTCAGCAATAATTATTGCTTTGCAGTCACAATGTTTTGCTGCTGATATCACGCTAAAAGCGCTGTCAAGTGACCAACATACGACAATGACGCAACCAATAAGTTTAAAAGAAAATAGTGATCGTATACATGGTCAAGATATCAAAATAATCTATAATAAGGTATTTACTGTAATTACATATGTCATTCCTTCTTAGCTACATTGAGATCTCTGATTTCAATCAGATCGTTGAAAAAAAAAAAGAAACTTACCACAAGACAACTGTACAATTTATTGGGCTATTTGATCTTATCATTACTGATTAGGACAAATGAAGAGCAGAACTGGAAATATTAGTTGTGTCAATAACAAATATACTACTGTATAAGTAATTATTTCACTTCATCGATCACTGGTAATTTTGATCACGTTTTAGGGAGCGGCAGTTATTCGTATGGTGGAATCAACAATTGGTGAGGAAGTATTTCGACAAGGATTGAATCTCTACCTGGTAGAATTTGCTTATGCAAACGCTGAAAAGAGTGACTTTTTGAGCAGTTTCTCAAAGTAAGCATATTTTTTCAATTATTTAATTGGAATTCGAAGATTAATATAACTTTTTAAGCAAGAATTGACATATTTGATAAATAATGTAGGAACAAACATGAAATTATGTTACACTATACAAATAAATATTTGTGGCAATTTAAATCTTATTTAAAATTTAGAAAAAAATTCCAAAATAAGTGCTAAGTTTTCTTTTTTCTTTTTATGTATTTAACATACATTTATTTATTTGTTTATTTATTATTAATATTTATTGCATAATTAATTCATCAACCATTTTCGTTGAAGAATTTTCAAGGCAATCGACTATCATCATGATCCTTTCTTGAGTACTAATTTTTCGGTCTATGATTATATTGATTCATGGATTTACCAACGAGGATTTCCACTGTTGAAAGTCTGTTACTAATTTTTATTACTTTTTCTTTCTTTCATATCAAAATTAATTTGTTGCTATTATGCAGAAACGAGAATAGATTATAAATCATTTTAACATTGACATTAATTTCTTTAAAAATTGTGAAGTTTAATGGAGAAGGGAGAATGAAGAAAATACTTTAATTGCTTACAGAGAAAAATTATTTCAAAGACAGTAATTTTTATTTAAATTATTGTAACAAATTAACCAAATACATTTACATTTTCAGCTAAAAATGATTAAGAATTTCTTATCATCATATATTCAATTACTGTTTCTACAAGATGAGCTAATAAATGGAAAGTATAATAAAGTAGAATAATGTACTAAAATATGTTATTTAGGTTCGACAAGTCGGTGATTATTTTGAAATCAGTCAGCAAATATTTGATTTTGATAATAGCAGTGAATTTGCTGATACACAATGGAAAGTGCCGATATTTACACAAGAAAATGAGCAAGATGAAGTTCATTGGTTAGAAGAGGGCAAAAAATGTAAATCTCTCTCTTGTCATCCTAATATTTATATTGTCCCATGAACACTACATATGTCACATCTTGTTGTCTTATCATTTGAACAGATCAGAAAACACCAGTTCATTAGCCAAAATATTAAATTTGGATGCTATTACATTGCTTTTAGAAGTAATAATTAGACAAAATAAAATATTAAGAAGTAAATGAATTATTCATTTGATCTAATCATTTAACAACTTTCAGTGAAACTATTGCATGGATCGCATACATTTGTGTTAGATCCAAACTTTCACGGTTATTATCGCGTCGAATATGAACTTAACTATTGGAAGTTTCTCATTGATCATTTACTACAAAAACATAATTATTTTTCTGTTTCTACGCGACTTAAATTGCTCGGTAGCTTATTAGTTCTTTCATTCATTTACTTAACCTAAAATACCTTCCTTCGTTGAAAGCAATCATTTTGAATCTGATGTTTGGTAAGATTTGATTTGTTTATTTTAATCTTTAAAAAATCAAAATTTTCAGTTTTTCAGATGATGCATTTGTATTAGCTGAAACTGGACGCATCCCATATACGATACCAATGAAAATGTCGCTATATCTTAGGAATGAAACAAAAGTTGTACCATTTATTACCTTTCTAACTCGATTCGAAACTATCTTATACCGTGTACATCGTCATTCCAATGCATCACTTTTCAATGTAATTCTTATTTTTTAAAGAAAAAAATCTTTCCTTTTCAATTGAGATTATCATTTTAGAGATTGAATCTTTATGTATGTTAGAGTTGATCAGTGTTACCGTTGAATTGTCTGATGGATGGATGGCACTCGAACTGCTGCAACCGTGGTTGTAAAATTCAAGTTGTCACTCGTCGACCACTTTCAGACCATTCCCGAAAGTTGGGACAGATGAGGTGCAGCGTGTTGGAATCCTTTGATTTGGCCGTAATTATTCGAAATTGCAGAAATACGTACAATTTCTTATGGAGCCATCGTTTGATCGAATCATTAAAGCTGAAACTGATTCAGATGTTTCGCACAATATGGAATTTGAGTAAGTGTATTACTTTTCCTTTAATTTGAGTAAGTGTATTACTTTTCCGTTAATTTGAGTAAGTGTATTACTTTTCCGTTAATTTGAGTAAGTGTATTACTTTTCCGTTAATTTGAGTAAATGTATTACTTTTCCATTTACTTTATCTATTTGCTTATAACATGAAAAACAGAATGTTATTTAACAAAATGATTGTGAATTATTTGTCATTCTTAATGTTAGACTTGTGTACGTGCAATTGAATTAATATGGAAAGGAGTGATGAAAAGGGAATATTTTTTGTTTTCCGGAATCTCTGTGAATTCTTTTTTCTTCTTCAGATTTATAAGGGAGCTAATATATCTCAAAATGTGCGCCAGTGGATATCAACGATGTGTCCGGATATTCCGATCACGCTTGAACGAACTTTACGACAACTGCTCGCAGGAAATGCTTAGCAATCCTTGCAATAGGTAGAACGGAACTTATAATTATTATTGCCAGCAAGAATATTTGATGAGTGCTAAAGTTATCACTTAACTTAATCTCAGAATTGCTTAATATTTCTCTTTAGGGTCCAATTTTCCTTTCAATTTCTTTCGTATCCTTGTGGGTACTGTTAAATTCATTGGCAATGGGAATAGAAGCTGAATTTATCATTCGTTAAGAAGTAATAACTAACAAAACTTTACTTGTATTCAATGTGAGATAACACTGTAAAATATGATAAGTGAAATTTTTTACTACAGATTTGAGAACACGGAAAAAGAAAAGGTAAAAGATTGATACCTGACGGTAAGGAAAAAGCAAAATATAACTAATAATTAAAACAAAAAGATATGAAGAGAGAACGATGTGGTTTCTGTTCTCCGGAATTCATTTTTTGTTTTTACTTTACTTCCTAATATAAATTTTTTGCCTAAATTTCTTTGTGTACAAAAAAAAATGGTTTATTAAATATTTGCATAAATTATTTTATTGGATTCAATGCATTCATCTTTCTGAGCTGAATCTTTTCAGGCTGCTACTTAATGACATACAAAAAATGAATTATCATAATAAAACAGCAGTGATATTATCCTTCCTGGCATAACAGCAACAATTCTATAACAGCAGAATTTATTTCATAAAATATTTAATAGAAGACTGAATAGGTCCCTCCATAGATAAGTGACAGAATTATTTTTTCATTATCTATTGCAGCAAAAAGTTCAGTAATTTAATTATATGTTTAAGCTTAGAAGCAAGCTTACGTAATATCGCTTATATGGTAGCATCCAAATATGGCAATCAAGCGGAATTGACATTTATGATCAATAAATTTCACGCAGAAGAATATCATGTCGAGCGTGATAGGATTTTTTCCGCACTTGCTAGCAGCTCTAATCGTTCTTACATTGAAGTGTAAGTGATTGTGATATCCAATTTTATTTAAATAATAATCCTAGACAGTTTAATAATTCCAACTTAATTCTAAATATTAAGTTTGATTCGAATTCAATTGTCAATTCATTTATTAAAAGTGAAATAGTCTTTGTTTTCTACTCATGAATTTGAAAATTTTGTAACGTCCTCCTTTTTTTAGGTTGGTAAAAGAAGTATTAACCAAGAAAGAGAAAGATACTGATTTCCGACCCAAATTATACGAACTTTCAAGGTTTATTAAATTCATTGAGTGAAAAAAACTACTGATTAATTATTTGACTCAACTTTTTCCGAGTCATCACTTATCATAGAATTAACAAAAGCAAAAAAATTTCCTTTTAGGAAAAATTATGATAATGGAGCAGTTGGGCAGTATTTATTTAATAATTTTGCTGAACTTTTTAAGAGGTAATTTTTTCTTTCATTACTTGATCTTTCTGTCATTTTATTTTGATTAATGTTACTTGATACAAGCAATAATTAAAATGAAAACTTTCTAAATTATAGACACGAGAAGTATGGACCTTTCTTCCTGCTTCAAATGGCACGAGGTTATGGCACAAACGATGATTTGCAAAAGGTTAATGATGATTTGATAGCTATGCGAAGTAAAGCAAGCAAAAAGGATTGATCATAGAATGAATATTAGTACATATCAGTTAACTGATAAATTTTGATAGTTTTGAAGGAATCAGAGATCTGAAAAAAGCTTCTAATAAATACTGTCGTATATTTATTTATTTTTCTTTTCTTTTAAATAAATTATTAAACAATATAATTATGATCGTCAGATTTTTTCAAGTCTTTATATTATCATTCTCGATGATATTTTCATATTCATCATTAGCTTGATAACCTATAAAAATTGAAAACAAAAGAAAAATCCCAAAAATACATTAATTGAAAAAAAATTTTCAGTTGGATATATTCGAGAAAAAATATGCTCCATTAATGAAAAAATTAAAACCTGTCATCTCTCATATTCGAGCTGACATTAACAGGCGAATGATTTGGAATGCAAAATACGCTGATGAAATTATCGAATTTATATCGAAATATTTACAGCGCTGAAAAATTTTTCTTATGTAATTAAAATTTTGTTCAATGTATTAAAAGATTTTAGTGAATTTTGTATTAGTATTTACATTTTGCAATTAGATATTCATGATCATTTAAACTGGCCAAATCAACTGAATAATAAAATTTATATCAATGTTCTATAAATCAATAATAAGAATATAGCAACCGCAAATTTTATTGAAGTCTAAAAGAAGCTGAACTTGAATTTTTGAAACATTTAAAGCAGTGCTCAAAAAAACTGATACAGTTTTTGAATGAAGAAACAAAATTTTGACGTAGTAATAAGTGATAAATGATAAGGAGTGAAAGAATGGTATCTTTAAATATTTCTAATATTGCAATAATAATTATTTTTGCTTATTGACAGCTGAAAATTTATCTTTTTTATACTTCTTTTGCATCTTTTAAATGTCATTTCATGTGAAGCAATGATAATTTATTAAATTTCTTTATATTCCGTTTGTTAACTTTTTGCTGTAGTTTCATTCTATTCATTATTTAGATTTACAAACCATTAGTAGAATTTTTTACGTCTGTCACTAAGCTTAATAAGCATGTAAATGCTGCTCTTTGATCTCCCATAGACCAACATTTTTTAAACTTTTAATCTTGAGTTTTTATCGGTTATTGTTTACATATTGAATATTTGAATATTTTAGAAGTAAATAATTTAAAGTTAACAAATAATTCTAAAAAACTTTAACAGTTTAATAGTGAAAATAAAATAAAGATTTAGCATCACATTGGTCATTAGAAGTTGTTGTTTGATAAAATTGAAGTTTCATTCCTGTCTTTGCTATATAATGTTTTAAATCTTGCTTTTATTGTAACTTCACATGCTATCTAAGCATTTGTGAGCATTATTTATTTGGTAAAGAAACACTTTATCATATTGTTTTGTCCATTAAATCACAAAAACTCATTTTCAAATGAATTTTAAGCCGTATTTGAGAATGTTTCCAAATAAAAAAATTTGAGTTCAAAATTTTTGTTACTTAAAAGATTAGTAAAATAAGTGGAAAGGTGAAGTTTTATTTCATATATCGGAATATTAATAATAATTTCACAATTTAAACATTAATAAAACTAAAAAAATCGACAGCGAACAGGAATGGATGAAAAGATAAAGCCTAATCGTTTAATGTAAAGGTACTTTCAGATCTTAACAATTGATGCCAAATAAATTTTTTGAGGTAAAATTTTCAGGAATTCTAAAAATTGTCAGAATTTCCTGAAATGTCGCAGAATTTTCTTATGTAAAAAACTTCAAACTGATTATTAACTCGAGAATTTCCCAGATTTTGAGAAATAACAAATGTAATATAATTTTCCATATCAGATTTTTAAACTACTCAACAAATTAACTGAAAATTCTTCGCTAAGATGAAATTTGCTAACCGAAAATGACCCAGTTGCAACACTTTAATTTCATTAATTTCCGTTTCTAAAAACGCTGCTACTATTAATCATCAAACAATGAATTCTAAACAAATTTCCCTTTCGAGTTAATATTATCAGTTTGTTTAGTGTGTAGTTTGGATCTGTTTTGATTTTTACTGTTAAAATATAAAGTCTTCCATAGATTTTTTTTTCTAGAATGAACTATAAAATAAATGCTGTAAAAGTAATTAGTAATAAAAATTTGTTCAGTGCTTGCTAACTTTCATTTGCAAGAATGAAAAAAACAGAAATTTATAGTTGGTCGTTATGACAACATGCTGACAATGATCCGATTTTATTTTCTTAGCAGCAGTCTGAATTACATTGTTTATTTGTATAAAATATTGATTGAGTCAATTTGGCAAGTAAAAAGTTTCAATTTAAAACTTGTTGTTTCAATTATTGTTTCTAAGAAATGCAACATTGAGGAATACTTTTTCCCGACCACTTTCACTGTCCACTTTATCATCATGGTAGATTTCATGAAATTCTATTTAAAATTTCATTTTTTACTTCCTTATCAAGGAAATATTTATTGGAAGTCTTCAGATAGTATAGGCCACAGTTTAAGTCAGTAGTAGTTAAATTAACAAATGTGTTAAAATGAAATTAATAGTGGAAGTTTCAAGCTTAACTTCATCATCGAATTTTGTATAAGTCTGAAATTTATGCTATAACAAGTTTTTAAAATCAAATTTATTGTGTACGAATAATCAAAAATTACTAAATTGAAAAACAAATTTAAAAACAAAATCTAGAATGAATTATAATTAAAATTATTGTAGTCATTTTGAGGGAAATGAAGTGGACTTCTAGCTAATATTATTTGAAGAAACTTGACTAGCTGTATATTTTTCTAGCGTTTTTCATTCTCTGATAAATTTTGATTTAAATTTATTAAATCTTGAACAGAGCTACTTTATTGAATTACTGAGAAACTTCTTGGTATTGCTAAATTTCTCAGAACATTTTCGAATCTTTTATTACTTCAAATCAATTTACAAAGAGCAAAATTACTTGTTTAATAGTTACTATAAGAATATTTGACTTAAGTTTCCTTAAATATCTGATAATTTGTTATATTTTAATATTTACTATTTTCTTTCTCAATCAAATACTTACGAATTTTTTTCTTATTATAAAAATTTCTAATGAATGGTATAAAATTTTGTTTGTAATTAAGAAATTCTTTCAGTTTATTGTTTATATCTAACTGAAGTATTTTTTTGGTGAAATTGAAACAAAGATTTATAATGGATAAATACCAAAAATTAGAAAAAATTGGTGAAGGTTCTTATGGTATCGTTTATAAATGTCGTAATAAGGAAACAGGACAGGTAAATTTCATATGTATTCATTGCATATTATTCGTACGTATATATATCCAAAGTTTTGTTCCAAAATCTGAGATTTAATTTCTTACACTCACCTGTTTTCTGTTGAATATTGAAAGAAACAACTGTTTAGCATTTTGAGTTCTCTTTAAATTTGCGAGTTTCTATAAGTTGAAAGCAATAGAAAAAAATTTTGATTATCACACAAGCATTTTAAAGTATATTAATTGTTTGAAATTATGCGCAATTCTTTAGTTTCTTGTTTAATCCCTTGTCGTTCTTTATTTGTTAGAATTAAAGTGAAATGTATAAAATTGTTTAAATTTATAGAAATTTTTTGATAGAAGTTAATTTAGATTGTTGCAATTAAGAAATTCATTGAATCAGAAGATAATCCAACAACGAAAAAAATTGCATTGCGTGAAATTCGAATGTTAAAGGTTAGCATGAATTTTTGGTTTTGAAGATGGTATCAAGTCAGGTAAAGCTTACTTTAATATTATTTAATATCGTCAAATATTTGCAGCATTTAAAACATCCAAACTTGATAGCTCTGATTAAAGTTTTTAAAAGGAATCGAAAATTGCATTTGGTCTTTGAATATTGCGAAAGGACCGTTTTAAATGAATTGGAAAAATATCCCAATGGGTTTGTTTTATTTGCCAAACATAAATATTATTGAGAAAATAAAAAAAAAATAGTGAATAATGAAACTTATTATCAATCTGAACTTGAATCTACTAATTTGTCACATTTAAACTTCCAACGAAACAAAAAAAAAATGTGTCGTTTCGTTCGAGAGCCAAGCAAGCAACAATTAATATGCTAAATAACATTATTTTATTTTAAAAACTTTGTCACTCAATTTTTTCCTAACTTATCTAAAATTTACAGTAATAAAAAAATCAAATTTACTGGTCACGATGATAAAATCAAATTTTTTACACTTCATGTTTTCATTTAAAAAAATTAAATAAAAAACAAAGATAGTTAATTGTTCAAAAAAAATTTGGAAAAATTGTTTAAAAAATTGAATTAGTTTTTAAAAAACATAAATTGGGTAAGAAACGATATTTTTTGCCAAAATAATATTTATATAATAGCATTTAAATGTTTAGTTAATTGATTTAAATGAAATCATCAGACGAGTCAATATCTTTACAGAGTAATTAATTTAGTATATAAAATAACTTTTCATTATTAACCCATATCTAAATCAAAAGTTATATTTCGAGAAATGAAGCATAAAGAATTTTTCAGATGTCCAAAAGCATTCATTAAAAAAACAATCTATCAGTTATTGCAAGCGGTAGAATACTGCCATACATTTAATTGCATTCATCGTGATATAAAGCCAGAAAACATCTTACTAACAAGAAATGATGTGGTAAAATTGGCTGATTTTGGTTTTGCCCGAATGATAAGTAAGTAATCTAGTAATTAGTTTATTTTTTCTTAAATTTATTCGTTAATATTATTTGTAATTAATGCGATCAATAATTATGAAAATTATCTTCTCGACTAAAATTTTTATATCATCTAAGATGGCAACTAATTCTGAATATATTTTATGCTACAATGTTTTAAACATTTAATTTTCTCGCTAAATTCTTGGCTGAAACAATATTTTTGTGATGCTGAATAGGTTTCTAAAAGATTATTTGCATATATTAGCAAGTCAATGTTACATTTTCTATTAGATCAACTGAAACGGAAAATAAACAAAAAAAAAAAAAAAAACATTTAGATACGAGTGATTTCTACACGGATTATGTGGGTACACGTTGGTACAGGAGTCCAGGTGCACTAATTTTTTCTTCTGTCTTTTAAGTTGGTATTTTCATTTTTACATTTACAAAACCATATTCTTTTTTCGGGAAATGATAATTGGATTAAGAGGACATAATTAATTGTTAAAGTTTCCTAATTTTACTGGTTGTTAATATTAATTCGAAATGTTTCACTTTTTTATTTCATCGCCACAATTCTTCTCAGTCCAATTAACATATTTTATCATCTCTTATTAACGTTTCTCCAGAACTGCTAACAGGTGCTGTACGATATGGGCCACCAGTGGATGTGTGGGCAATTGGTTGTGTTTTCGCTGAAATGGTTACAGGTGAAGCACTTTGGCCTGGTCGATCTGATATTGACCAACTTTATCTAATTAGAAAAACAATGGGTAAGTTTTGTTGTGGGAAAGTAAAAGAACTAATGCAAATTGTCGTCATTGCTCTGACAATGGAATATCTGGGGAACTAATTGATTTGAGTGGCTGGTTGATTGATTGATTGTGATAAGATTGAAATCTTCTGTGATCCAAATTTAACAGCAAACGGTTTCAACGTCAGATAATATTCAAAATTTTCCTTGTCTGTTTAGAAGAAAAAAATATATCATTTTTTGTACAATTAAAAAACTAAAACTTGTAACATAAAGATTATCAAATTTGTATTTAATTGCAGGTGAGTTTCTGCCACGACAAAAAATACTTTATCGGTCGAATTTGTTTCTTCATGGTGTTTCGATTCCAAAACCGGATGTGTATGAAACTTTGTCTAAAAGACTAAAGACTTCTTCGATAATCATTGATTTTTTATATGTAAATCTGCATCAGCTATTTTCAGCATTTGAGAATTTTTTTGAAATGCCAATTTTGTAATGACTTCAACTTCTGATCAAAAAGGGTCGGTTTAAACTTCAAGAGAGTTGCGAGAGATTATCGCCTGTAGAACCATCGAATTATGAGAGAATTAAATGACACATTTTGATTCTCACCATGTGCTTTAAATATGCTTTAAATTATCACATAATTATTTTGCTATTTTAAGATAGTTTATAGTGAATGAATAGTCAAATAGAAGCATTAAATTTTGTAATAATAATAAAATTTAGAAATGTTTAAATATAAATCCGGAAAAACGATGGTCTTGTAGTCAATTACTCCAGCATGATTACTTTAATGGGTATTCATTCCATGTTTTCTCAGCTAAATCAACCAGTAAACAAGTACGTCACATATTGTCAGCATTGTTCATGTAATTATCTCATAATAAGAATGATAGGAATGTTCAAATAATGTTTAAAAAAGGAAATCCTGAGATTTCTCATGTATGATTCATGCATATTTCGATGTATAGAATGAATAGGAAGAGGTTATATTTAGCATTAAGCTATTAATACTATTAAAATTTTTTCATTAATTTGGAATTTTGATTTGCTATGTTACTATTCTCTCATTTTTCAGCTTACATCAAACTATTTGCCTTATTTGACGAGCAATCCATTCAATGAACAACAATTAATTGACGGTGGTTTTAAGGAAATTACTCACAACAGCGCAAATGCCTTCAGTCGACAATATTTGCCTTCAATTTAAATACTGATCTTCCCTTTGTTCATTTACAGTTACTTTATATTCTTGTTATAAACGATCGATTAGTAATAAAGAAATTTTTGAAGGTAGGAATCAAAGAGAATTGATCGATTAATTTTTGAGCTGTCCGTGCTTAACAAATGAAATCATATGTAGTCATTGAAAATCAATTCTACCTGTTTTTTCTATTTATTTTATTTAAAACTTATATTTAAATATAATTTTATAATTCTATTTAAAACTTTGTCTATACACTGTCGGCGAATTCAAATTTTAAGAGCTTTTTCACAACAAAAACATGGATGAATTAAATGGCGATTAAGTATTATTTTAATTATTAATTTTACTTCTGAAAGAGAAGACAGCAGAACAATAAGAATATCATGAAAATAGCTTTTAGTAGCAGATAGAATGGACGAATCTTAAGTTAATTATAAGTGTAATGACAGCAGTTACGTCGGAATAGCAGCAAATTCAATAAGCTTATTTAGTAACAAAACTTACGTGCAACACGAAACAAACAAAACAGAAATCTGAAGAGAAAAAATGAGGTACCACAAATTCCAAATATGTCATCGGTGGTGGAAATGAGTAAAAGCAAGATTAGTTAATAAATGTTTACCTGCCTCAACTAATTAGCATGATTAGCACCTTGTCCGATGTTTCAACGCTGACACTGGCATTCATAAGTACTTGGCCAACACCGTAACACCATCTCATAACATTGAATTGGTTAATTTCAAATTTTAGCTATGTTTCGTTTTTTTTTTACTTAGTCCTACCACATTTGTATGCTAAATACTTAAATTTTGTGCTTATTGATGATTCAAAAAGTCTTCAATTACTTAAGTAACACATATGGACAATGAAGCCATAATAAAACGATTTTATTGTTATTAAAATCAAAAAATGCGAAATGCTAAAAAATGCTTAGTAATGCAATAGAAACTGGATGAATCCTTAAAGTAGGATGAACTAATCAAAATAAACTGCTATGGTTGAAATTTGCAAATCAGGGAGCTAAATTAATTTGCGATAAAATTCATTCAAAAATGTCAAAAAATAACCAATCTGTTAACAATAGAAAAGAATTTCTTTGTAATTAATTCTAAATGAAATTGATGAAATTATTAGATACTATTTTTTAATTTCTAATAAAATTTTTTGATGAAATGTAAACATTCGTCGTCTTTAGAGAACGGAGAGAAAGGATAGAGGGGAAAGAGAGCAGAGATGGGAGAGAGAGAAGAGAAGGGAGAGAGAGGAGAAAAGGGAGAGAGGAGAGAATGAGAGAGGAGAGAAGGGAGGGAGAGAAGAGAAGGGAAGGAGAGAAGAGAAGGAAGAGAAGGAAGAGAGGGAAGAGAAGGGAGGAAAGGGAGAGAATGGAGGGAGGGAAGAGAAGGGAGAGAGAAAAGAGAATGGAGGGAGAGCAGAGATGGGAGGGGGAGGAAAACACAAGTGCTGTTGAAATGGTCACAGAATAAATGGGAATGGATTAACATTTAGAATTTGAGTCTAACCAGTTGGTTTGATTTTTGCAATATTTGGGGCACCCATAATTATTTTCAGTTTTAGATATTTCGTTTTTGAACAAAAATACATTTTGTTCACGGCTTGGAAGTGATGAAAGACGAGGGATTTGAAATTGATATATAGTAGTTAGTTTGATTGACTAAAACAGGAAATTGGATATTCAAGACATTTTCGAATAACTATTTCATTAAACAAAATACTTTCTTGCTACGTTAAAACTATTAGCACAGTTGTTTCTTAAGTATTGTTTCTAATTCTACGTTTGTTTTAAATCTTCAGGACATGCATAATAGTAGTTGTGTCATTCAAGATCATTACGTGGCGCTGAAACCGTGCTGCATCATTACGTGAAATGTTCGTACACTCAAATGTTCCAGGTCAATACTATGCCTTCTCGTTGCAAGATTTTACGCTGAAATTGTACCACCATCAAATAAGCTCTAAATCATTTAATGGGACTGATTTTTTTCTGAATGAATAAGTCTTTTTTTATTTGTCAATTCTTGATATTTTTTTGTTTATATCTCATTACAATCCAATTAACTATATAAAGTTGAAGGATTAATTCTCTCAAAATAGTGACTCAAGTTTTGTAAACTAATTCAATTTATTTACAGCTATTTCCTCCTAGAATAAAAAGAAAAAGAAATTAAATAAAAAAGTATTTCACTACCTGTCACTTTAAAAGCATTTTAATTAATGAGATATCGAGCAAAGACTGTGTGGAGTAATTACCCGAGCTAGAAAAGTCATCCGAACTTTCGTACTATTCATACAATCAATGAGAACTACTCGTTCGCATCATTCAACAAAATATCTTTTTAAAACGTAATTTTGAATGCTGGACTTTGAAATTTCACAACGACCTCACACGGTTGTTTGTCCCATTTATTGATTGCACGAACTTTGGTGTTTTCGAAAAGGGGTTTTCTTTTGGCGGGACTGGTTAAGAGTTAAGGTACTTGATGAGTTGACGTAGTGTAGTTTCGGTCAGCGTCGCTTTGAAGTGCTTGACGCCTAACTGTGTGCGATGCCTTACGTATATTCATGCAACGTTCGTTAAATCTTTCCACTCGCGTTAACTTCACAGGTGCACTAAAAAAATACGGTCGAAACGCGTTAACGACATTTACAGTCTCACGTCTGTGTCATTTTGGCTTAATGAAGGACTTATCATGGTATCATAAATACTCAGAAATGAATCGAATTTGCGGTTTTTTCTTACTCTAACTGTTCTTGCATAATTAAATTTGTGTCTGCACAATCATTCCCACAACCATTTTTTCCCATGAGTCTGGTTATCTTATACTTTAATGTTACACTCACTTTCATGTCCTTTGGTTCGAAGCAAGTCTTTCCATTATATTCATTCTACTTATTTCACATTGAAATTTGGTCGTGCACTTAATGCAGATTAACTATCAAGCCGTCTATTTTAATTGATATTTCATTGAACTGTTCATCGATTAAAAATATTTATAATTATTTCAAATGGTTTGCTGAGATGAATTTAATTATTATATTTATAGTTATTTGCAATTATTTCCAATAGTTTGCTGACTTAAATAAACTGCTAGAAGAAAATGTCATCCCCGATTCGACTGAGACTTTTTAGGCTCTTATATCGCCCCTAGCTTTGTAACTAGTCATCTTTTATTAATCTAACGTAATTGTTTTACAATATCGGTTACGTTTGTGTTGGATTCATATTTTGTAAGAACTTCACATCTTATTTGCTGTATTGTTAGGAATAGAGTTAAGGCTGTAATTAGATTAGTTCTCCTCCATTTGCTGTGTTTTTTAGCCATTTCCTCTACAGAAAATCATTTCGAACGAAAATATAGTGATGTTTGTTATCGTGTAATGAAGTGATTTCAGAGCATTTGCTGACTTCATCACGTGAACAAATGGCTGAAGAAGGCTATGAAGAGCGGCTTATCAATGAAGAATACAAAATATGGAAGAAAAATACACCCTTTCTTTATGACATGGTATAATTTTTGAGTTCGTTTTCACTCTTGGTTTCTTCAAAATTCAGTGCAAATATCGTAAGCTCTTTAGTATGAGAAAGAAATTAGAATAAAATTTGGAGTGTTTTGAAGGTAATGACACATGCGCTTGAATGGCCGAGCTTGACGGTACAGTGGCTCCCGGATGTGCAAAGGTATGAGTTTTAGTGCTTTTTTTTTTTTTTTTCGACGTAAAGGGTGATAATTCTGCAGTTTTTTTTTAAGCCGTTTAGAATCACTATTTTATAGACTAGAAGGAAGCGATTATACGACTCATCGCCTCATCCTAGGTACCCATACTTCAGATGAACAGAATCATTTAGTTATAGCAAAGCTGTTATTGCCTACTGATGATGCGCAGTTTGATGCTTCGAAATATGATACTGAAAAAGGAGGTATTTCTTGAACTTTTCTAGCTGATTTAGAAATTTTGAAGGTTATGCGGTTAATGCTCGAAATGAGTTATATTTTGATTATTGCAGAATTTGGAGGTTTTGGTTCGATAACAGGGAAAATTGATGTTGAAATTAAAATGAACCATGAAGGCGAGGTGAATCGTGCACGCTACATGCCACAAAATCCAGTTTTACTAGCCACGAAATCACCAAATAGCGAAGTATTTTTTTTTTTTTTTTCAATTTCTCTGCCATTCTCACTTTTTTAGTTTAAGAAATAATCGCACTCTTCTGCTCAGCTAATATTTTGGTATTATGTTATTAATTCTCTTGCAAAATCAAATCACTTAATTTGCTTAATTTCAATGATTTTCTTTTGGTTTAAGTTCGGAATTTTGATTGAATATTGTTGAGGTTTTCATCTTCGATTATACAAAACATCCATCAGTTCCGAATCCTGCTGATAATGTTTGCAAACCACAGTTACGTTTACGTGGTCATACAAAGGAAGGTATTTAGTTTTGTTTTCACGTTATCGTTTTTTAGGTTTATTTTGGTTTTGTTTTATTTTTTTTTTTTATTTCTGTCAATCATGAAAGCGCTTTTTTTTAAGGTTATGGGTTATCGTGGAATCCAAATTTGCCTGGTCACTTGCTTTCCGCTTCTGACGATATGACTGTTTGCTTATGGGATGTTCAGGCAGCAACTGCTCAGTCAAGCTTTCTTGACGCAAAAACGGTGAAAGATTTTTATATTTAAGCATCAGTAAAAGGTATCAGTTTTTAACTACTATCAAACAATGCACCGTTTTCGCGTCGCAACCCTTTGAGTTTTGTTGATGTTCTCAGGAGGATTACTGTGCTGGAAATAGGAGCAGTGCTTATCATATAATTAATTTTTCTAGACGTTCTCAAAATTGTTGAGAGAAATTAATAAATCCTCATTGCATGTCACTAACATTGTCTTTGTATTGTTGTGAATGTAGAATTCTTTTTAAAAATTTCTTTTTTGTTTCAAGGAATTCAATCCGAATATCTCAACATGTCGAAAAAACATAAATAGCTTCTGTAATTGCAGATTTTTAACGGACATAATGCGGTTGTCGAAGATGTTGCTTGGCATGTGTTGCACGAAGCTGTGTTCGGTTCAGTGGGTGATGATCGTAAGCTAATGATTTGGGATACCCGTACAAACAGTTCGAATAAACCGAATCACACTGTTGATGCTCATTCGGCTGAAGTGAATTGCTTGTCCTTCAATCCATATTCTGAATTTATATTGGCTACTGGTTCAGCTGACAAGGTTCTATTTTATCTATCCTTTAAGTAGTCTTATTTTTTCCATCTGAATTAGAGAAAAAACATGTTTCAATAAAATACTGAAGTGTATCTTAAAGTCCGACACTGACACTATCAAATCATTCGTTATAACTTCACTCTGCCGCCTAATTGTTTGTTTTTTTCAGACAGTAGCTTTGTGGGACTTGCGAAATCTAAAATTGAAATTGCATTCATTCGAGTCACATAAGGATGAAATTTTCCAAGTTCAGTGGTCACCGCACAATGAAACAATTTTGGCATCCTCCGGCACGGATCGGCGACTTCATGTTTGGGATTTAAGTAAAATAGGTGAAGAGCAATCACCAGAGGATGCTGAGGATGGTCCAGCAGAGTTACTTTTTATACATGGTGGACACACAGCCAAGGTATTTAATATATTCAATAGTCGTAATTTCTCCTGATCACTGTTAATTTCAAATCTCTTCTCAGTTTCGGGTTGTTTTTGGAGAATCATTGTAGTTCTCCACGCCGTTACTACTTTGCAACAGCTAAAATTTGGCATTATCCAAGCAAATTGTGTCAGTATGAAGCATTTATAGTTAGGTTAGAAATAAATACGGTTCCATCCTCTGTATTGCTTCAGGTCTTTGCAGCAAAATGATGTTAGTTTAAGAGTTGTTGGTTAAAGCTGCACCTTGAAAATGCATCTTCATTAAACATGGTAATAGAATCAGTTTGTCAGCAATGGACCTGTAACATTTATTTGTATTTTCTTGAAAGGGACTTTTTTTTCAGATCTCAGATTTTTCCTGGAATCCCAACGAACCATGGGTTGTGTGCTCTGTATCAGAGGATAATATTATGCAGATTTGGCAGATGGCTGATAATATTTATAATGAGGAAGATACTGATACTCAAACTGATCAGATGGAGCGTTGAACGAAATGAAAAAAAAAAAATTATTCTGTTGTATATTACTCTGTTATTGTTTTGTTATCATTGTGTTCCACGAAATCATTAACAGATACCTGAAATGGCGATTAGAAATTCTATTCAGATACAGTTTCGGGTTTCATATTTCAAAAGCTCGAAATTGTGAATAGTGAGTCGCACATTTATTTTTTGATGTCATTTTAACTTATGACTTGTTTGCTGCTGAAAGACAAAGTAAGAGCCGAAATGAGTAGATATAACGAGCTTTAAACAGTGTTGTAACCGGTTAATGTGATTACTTCTACATCTATGGGTTAGATCTGATTCTGCAGTTAAAGGATGTCAGATTTTCCGGGATTTTTGGATAAATATCATCATTGTTATTTGATTTTTTGTGTTTAACGATTGTTTCCCCAAATATTGTGCTGTTTTTGAATTTTTATTTGTTATACTGACCTATAATGAATTTGTATTTTATATTACATATCTTAGCATAAAATTTAATTTACTTTACATACAGTTATTCAAATGGGTTAAAATTCTAGACAGATATTACATACTCTTCGTGGCGAGACTCATTGTCAATTTTTAATGTTAGCAAAGTTCAGCTGAAGTTTTTAAGGACAGTGGTTGTTTCTAAATTTTTCTTAATGAGGAGCCAATTAGATTACAAACCCCTGCATATGTCTGTTGTTTTTTTTTTCGTGATACTTGGTGACTGGTATATATGGTATAGATGTACTGTATGTCTACCATAGATATAAATGAGTTTAATATCTTTCGAGTTCCATTTGTTTCAGTAGACAAAAGTTTCTGAGAAGATATCACTTTATAAATGTTTTTCAGGCTCCACCTTGATTATCCGGTTCTTATTTGACGATGGTAAGTACTCAACTGCAGAATTTTGAAAATCGTTTTGTTTAATGTTTGCATTTCACTGCTTTCTCATGTTGCACTGTTTTGAGTTCATGATGTTTAAGTATTATAGTGTTTCAACATTTTCGTATTATATTGTTTTATTGTCTTGTCTTTAGCATTTTTAGCTCCTCCACATAGTATAGTTTGTTATTCCAAAAATAATACTATAATATATTAAAGTCTTCTATGTTATTTATTAGCTAATACTATTGTACTTAAGGCTCGAAATGCAGAGAAGGCAATGACCGCTTTAGCGAGATGGCGGCGGATGAAAGAAGAAGAGGAGAAAGGCCCGGTTGCGAAACGACCGAGCGATGTGAATGAATGCACCACGCTAAGTACTCTTTGAAGTTTGAAGTAGTAGATTTGATTTGCTGAGAAGAGCAAGGATTCGTATTAATTCCATGTTGTAACTGCTTTACAGATGATGCAGAAAGATACAGAAAGCAAGTAACGATGGAAATTGCCAAAAAAATAGCGCTAATACAAAATCCAGGCTTGGGTGAATTTAAAATTCGAGATTTGAATGACGAAATAAATAAATTGTTGCGAGTTAAATACGCTTGGGAAACAAGGATTAAGGAACTTGGAGGCCAGGATTATAGGTATGTTCATGTATTTTAGAATATGTTTTGTTAAGATTTAATGCTTGAAATGAAGCTTTATCCGTTAGTGAATTTATTTAGAAGTGACAAGGTGACATGTCTATTTGCTGCTATTTTTGTAGGAAGATAGCTCCCAGAGAGCTGGATCGAGAGGGACGTGAAGTAGCCGGTGGTAAGGGCTACAAATATTTTGGAGCTGCGAAAGATTTGCCTGGTGTTCGGGAGCTTTTCGAAAAAGTTGGCATCGATGAATCACGGAAAAATCGCATGGAATTAATCAAATTTTTGGATGCAGATTATTATGGCTATATGGATGATGACGATGGTTTATTGGTACCGCTGGAAATGGATGCTGAAATTAAAGCTCGTTCACAAATTCAAAAGGTTGTGATTAGGTTTCTCTATCTGCATCTAATATTTAGTATTCGAAAATTTACAAAAAGTTTTCTAGGACTGGGAAGAAAATAAAGATGTTTTGAAAGCAAAGAAGGCATTCGATGATGATGTGGATATATACAAAATTGATGATGTAAGTTAATCATGCACGAAGAAATTCATCCGAATTATTTGATTATTTTTTTCGGTTGTTAGGTTTATTGTCACGCTGAGATATATTCCGTTTTGAAATGTTTATTTTGGGATTTTGGTATTTTGAAACATCATTCTGCATCATTAGTACATTGTTTTCAGTATTGCTACGGCATTAATATATGTTACACGCAACTATTTCAGTTCTACTTTGCCTCAACACAGTTTAAAAGTTGATGCTTAAGTTTACCTCTTATTCAGTTATGCTGACAGCTAACTTTTCCAGGACTCTGATGAGGAAGACATCGGCTCGAAACAATCTGTTCTAATAGGTGATGATGGGAAGAAAACGTTCATCCAACATGTTGTTGTGCCGTCACAAAAAGAAATCGAGAATCTAATTTTGGAAAGGAAGAAAGCACAACTTTTTGAAAAATATGTTGGAAACTCCTCAAGTTTGTAATAGTTATTACGTTATTTCAAGTTTTTTTGCAACATGTTCATGTGTCATTTTACAGTTCTTGAACTGTAGGTCATTGTATATTGCTGTTTTGTGGAATTTTTGCTCAAAATTGCTGGTAAGCTTATTATAGCAATCTTGTGTGAGAGAATAGGGCTTTTTTATTGGAAAGTAGATTTGCTTTCTTGTTTGCTTTCAAGTTTCGGTATTTATTCTTCGTAGATTTTGAAATCTACGAAGAATAAATACTGTTGAAAGTTAAATAATGTCTTAACCGGTGATTTCGAAAAAAAATCAACTTATACTTTTTGCAAACAAGACAGTAAACAAGACAGTGATTTCATAATTTCAGGGAATTCTATTCATCTGACTGTTCTGATGATGTTGTTTCTTAATATTAATATTCTCATATTTCTGGTTTTTGATGTTATTTGATTAAGATTGTGCGATTTTGCGAGCTTTTAGGTTTGATTCACATTTTAGGATATTGTGATTCAAATAAAACATAGGAAAATGGCTATTAATTGAGAAAGCAGAAACTTACAAGTTAGTTCATTTTAAAAGTTCGTTAACTTTATGAAAAAATAAATCCTGTAAACTGTAACGGTTCTTAAAGTTCAGAAGATAAGTTGGTATTTTTTATTTTGGTTTTTTATAACTTTTTAAAGTCGAGTGCTGACTATTCTTCATCTTCAGATTACTCTGAAAAAATGTGAAGATATGAATTATAATGGAATTTATAATATATATTTCTGGATTGAATGATAGACTTCTGTAGTGGTACTAGGTTTAACTGTTGATTCTATTTCCATTTTTATCCCATTTTTCCGATTTTAGTATTGATCGTAAAGAATCCTGTCGTAAAAACGACACATTTAAATTACATTCAAATCCTAATATTTTTTGCCAGATGCGTGGCAATTCGATGAGTCAATCACCAAATATTTTTGCATTTGTAATTAATCTATGCCATTATGCTAATTACTTTCTCTTTCCTCACACAACAAAAAACTAATCTTGTTACCTTGTCACCATTGTTTTACAATCATAGAAATGAAAAAAACAAAAAAAAAAAAAAAAAAAAACGGATTCCCGATTGTCAGTTTAGTTCTGTATATAAACTAACCAAGCTTCCTCATTAACCGTTATTCCAATCTATGTTTCTGGGTGGTTTTTTGGACGGTGCTTTGATAATATTTTAGTGTTTTACAATTATTTCTATTCGTTGCGCATTGTTATAATGATTTTGCGTCAATTTTTAATGTCGATTTGTTGGTTTAATTACCCAGATTTAAACTTGGCAAAATAAGATATCTGGCAGTCAATAAATTCCACAACAAATCCCATTGCAGTGTATTGTGCTTGTAATGAAAATGAAAGTTGTTTAATTGTTATTTTATGCTTATCCCTACTAACCTTCAGATATGAATGGATGATACGAATTCGTGGGTGACATTCTGTTGAAAAAAAATTTCAGTTAACATTTAAGATCAGTGATGCTTTATCAGCTAAAAGAATTGAAGCCTTGAAAAATACATAGCGTCAAAAAATGTGTAGTTGTGCTGTCCAATTTTCCATTGAGGATTAGTACTTCATAAGAAGATTGATTGCTGTTCAGTCTATGTAATACTAATAAACATGGTGTACTCGAGACTAATGATAATTCAAGTAAAACATGCCTGGAAATAGTCTTACTTAACATTTCTAATTCAAACAGTTCTCATTCCTTGGATTTACTTGAACTGTATTATTTCTCTCCGCTAATTGTTTGATGAGCTTCAACAAGCTTCCTCACATCTCGCCTGTGTAGTATTGAGTCTTTGGTAATTGCTTCGATCGCTGCAGTTGCTACCGCTTCTTGCCGACGTTGCACCAATGCATCGCGATATTGTACTATAAATGTTATGTCTTTTGTATGATTTAACTATTATTATAATGGAACATGGAAATATAGATATTATATTGGGATTATATCTCAATGGTAATATCATGATAACAATTGTAGTTATAACTGTAATTTTATCATATTATTTTATGAAAGATTAAAAGTGCTTGTTAATGATGAATTAAAGATTAAGCTTACTTGAATGTATAATGATCAAGCCACCCCATGCAACTGACCAGAACCATCCAACGAAAAGAAAAGTTATCGTGAAGAATTGACTAATACCAACCAAAAAATTAACAAACAGTGTCACTAATTTACGACCTTCTTTGAAATTTATTCTTGGTTGTCCCATACATAATGCACTGATTCCGCTTAAAATTGTTCCTAAATAAATAAATATTATTTATTCAAACAAAAACATATGCTCTGAAAAGATCAATTGTATTGTTAAAATTTTCATTTAATAAATTTTACCTGAACCAGGAATGATAACATTAAGGAAGAGGCATAGCAGTGCAACCGGAATAGGAAGAAACGGTATAGCCTCATGCATAATTGTTATATCATTAGAAGGTATTTGTACTTTATCCGTTAAACGATGATCACAAATATCTGCAGCAACTTGTGCTTGTATTACAATATTTGACATATTGTACGAAGAGCCCATTTGCTGCAATCGCTTCATGCTATTTAAAAGTAATAAACCTGAAAATGAAATCTTATTTGTAATATTTTCTATAATATTTAATTACCTATTTCTATAATATTTAATTAATTTTTTATATCATTCTTTTTGTTTATTTTTTTCTTTCATCATAAAATATTTCAAATTCTTAGGAAAACATGTTACATACAGAATTAGTCGTTGCATGTAGTATACCCTCATTTTGACCATAATGTATGATACGTGGAAGCGCTTTTTGTACCGCTTTCCAACCTCGCAATTTGTCATTTTCTGTTCTTCTATTACTTTCATCTGAAATTCTTACCTCTAACAATTAGTGACTGATATTATATTACTTGTCTCTATGGTCTAGAATTTAATCTGGAAATTCAAATGCTACAAGACTGGTATTCGAGAAAAGTAGAATAAAAGTTAGAAATGAATTGTTGCTACATTTGCTTTAAAAAAGTGTGGTATCAATGCAAATTTAAATAAACATTAATGAAATAATATAATAATTTTCGAGAAATTTATAAAGTATATAGTTATAGTAACATGAAAATATCACTCCAACAAATATCACAATGCATCACTTTCAATTCAGTTAACAATTTTCGATGCAAAAGTTTACTTAATTCTATTTTAATGTGACAGCATGGACTTATTCAGAATAGTCGAAAGTACTTTGTCATCAAATGTATCATATAAAGATTTATCTTAAATTTCCATATATGTTGTAATTGCATTAAACAAACACTATTAATTAATTAATTTCAACTTTTAATGACTATTTTTTTTTTTAGAAAAGACCAGTTTTTTCCATTATGGTCATGGAAGATAACAGTTAGCTTTGTTTCCGGTAATTAAAATTTTATAAAAATAAAATATAGGAACTAACTGATACTAAAAATTGAATTGCCACGATGAGATGTAGTCGAACCGGTTTGTTGTCCCATTCAAGATAAGTAAGCGTATCAAATAATCAGATTCTCATAATTTTTGTTCCTTTATAGAGTTTCACTTTATCAGCTTCAATGAATGCATACTTGGAGGATGCCATCAATGACAAATATTCATCGCTTCTTATTATTTTCTTGTATTAGATCTCGATCTCAAATCAAGAGTTGAATCCTGACTTTCTATTCTTAATCTAAAAAGAAATTTATGATTTTAGCTACTAGTTTGAAGGCTTATCAACTGAGGTATAAATTTCTCAATGTATATACATTACCTTAATCGAGCCAATCATTCTGCAACACTATCGGATCGATGCTGAAATCTGATCACAATGTTTGGAACTTAAAATAAGTAATTAATAAAACTAAACTAAAGCATTGCATACTTTTGACCTCAATCTTAATTCTAAAAAGCTTTTCTAATTTCTTTCAACCACAATAAAGCATTCCATTGCTTAATAATAATAATAATAATAAAATAACAGCAATAATAATAATAACGACAACAATAATAACAATAATAATAATATTATTATTATTTTGATATTGCTAAAATATATTTTAGGAAAAAAAAGGAATAAAATAAGAAGCAAATGGTTCAAGTGAGCAGTTATAGCTAAATCAGCCAAAAGTTAAAAGCCTATAAGCTAGCAATTACACATAATTGCGTTAGAAATGAAAAATGCACAGGAAGTTAGGAGAGGAATGCTTTAGACTTAAATACCTAACAAATTTTATAGCACTTCAGCAAAAAAGAAAAAAAAGGAGGGGTGTAAAAGAGAGTATTATCCGAAAATAACCACTAAAAGAGCTCAGTTTATCATGAAATAGACCTCCTCTAAGATAAATTTCCTGAATTAAAAGAAATGCTTGATATATTGGCTTAGGAAATCGACGAGAGAAAAAATAGAATGGACAAAATTTAATACAGTAGAGAGTAATTACATAGAAAATTTGCCAATATTAGTATTTATTCTATTATAATAAAAATATAGCTTATTTTTAACCATGAAATGATTTGAAGAGTAAAAAGTTAAACTGTAAAGTTAATATTAGTTAATAAAACTAAAAGTTGAATTTTGAAATCTCTCTAATTGATAAAAGGTATTTGTTTGAATGTGATAAAAAAATTTGAACAGTTATTTAATTGAAATAATCAAACATCAATAATCTCATTCAGACTAGAAAGGTTCCTGATTCTTGAAGATGATGGCATTACAAATATTTATTACCACTACCATTTGAAATTAAAAAGTTAATAATGGAATGAAATTTGCAAATCTCTCTAATTGATAAACAATTGCATTGTTATTTTCTTTTTGTAAAAATAGAGCGGTCGATAGGCCTTTGTTACTTATACTGAATGTGTGAGTGGCGAAGGGTTGCTCATACTGTGCAATGTTTCCTATTTTATGTCTTGGTTTAATTATAATAATTGGTGGATGTGAAACTGTCATTATACGAATTCCGGAATATACCATTCGGAATGTATATGGCAAGTCATTATCATTGCTTTTACATTTTTGACTTATATTATCATTTTTGCCTGGGAAGTTGTTCACATTTTGAACACTTCAGAATTTCACTAATTTCATTAAGTCAAATTGATTTTAATAATTTCTTTTGGAAGAAATATTGTAACCGTTTAAGTCGAAACGTAATTGAATATCTTAAGTCTCTGGTGTCCTTGTAGTTCAGGTTAACATGTCATTCGGCTATCATTTACGAATTTTGCAATTTTAGCAGATCAAGAAGCAATACGAAATGATTTTTTGCTACTTGAAACATTTCTTTTCGATTATCTCAATGCATTTATACGATCGATTGAAGTAATTCATATGAATCAATCATTTATCAAGCATTCCGGAAACAGAATTGGCACCACAACTCCATTTAATGAAGGTATCAATCAGAATTTTTTATTTTTATTATTAAAATTTAATTCATTAATGATTAAATTTTCTAGAAATAGTTTCATTCTCAGAGAAATTCTAGTACTCGCTTCTTTCTACAAAATTGTTTTGAAGTGAATTAAAGTAGTATGAAGCTTTTACTATTTGAAAACTATTCGAAGACAGTTTTGAAACATGCAGTATCAGATAGGAGCTTTTAACAATTTTACTAAATTCACAACTTTAGTTACTGAATGCCGAAGACAGAAGATTGCCGAAAAGTTACCAGACTTTTTTACCAGAATTTATGTTCCATCTTTCTTTTTTGATTCCCATAAGTTGTAAATTAAAAATTTCTGCAACATTTATTTTGTCTATGAAACTCATATTATTTCAGAAATAAAGACTGTCGAAGAGTTATCAAGCTTTCTTGAACGTCCATATTTTTCTACACTAATCAAAGCAAATTTCAATAAATCAACAAAAATAATTGGTATGTGCCATTTTTAAATTAATTTTAAGATCACAACTTTCTAATAATTTAAATAATCTATCAAATTAATGATTAAGTAGCTATAAACGAATCATAGATGAATTGGAATAAAATCAAAACAAAAATGCCATAATGAAATTTTAATTTTAAAGGTTATGTTAACATTGGCGATATATCTTTTCAATCTGATATAATATATGATAATTTCTAGATGATATGGATGAATGCTTCAAGGATTTAGCTAAATTAATTGATTCTGTTGCGAATGCATTATTGCTGACCACTTACTGTCGTTTAGCCAATCAAAATCAAACGGAAATAAAGCAATGCTTTGGTAACAACTTTTCTCTCATAAAAATTCATATCACTTTTGGTTGCCAGTCTGTAAATTTAGTATTCCCCTTTTAAAGTATTTTTTTATTTTCAAATTAATCGTTATCTTCAATTTCCAATTTTTATTTTCTTTTTTCTGATTTATAATTAGAATCTGATTTTCCATTAAATTTTTATGCTAATAAAAATATGATTGTTGATGGATCTGATATACAGGATTCATTCTACATTAGCTCTTTCATTTCTAATTTGAAGTTGGAAATAGAAAGTGCTAAATACAATCCCAAAATAGCCCTGTTCATGTATTTTTCAATTTTGACCACTTTAAAACTTTGAAGTAATGTTTGTAGATGCTCATCTAGCATTTCACGAACATTCATCACAAGTTCTGGATGCTTGGGGTCGTCCATCTGCTGGCATCTATTCATCTGGTCCATTTTTTTGGCTTGGTGCTTATGACCAGTGTCAAAGTATACCAAACATAATGGCCCTAAATCAATCTGTACAATACTGTCGAGCTAATATTCACATTGAAGCATATGGCATGCAACACCATCAAATACCTCTCTTTTACGGTTTGAAAATATCGTTAAATTTTAAAAAGTTCAAATCTAAAATACATGATACAGAAATAATTCCTAAAATTTTTAAATGGTTATAATTTCTATAATCTATAAAAAACCATAAAATAACATTATTTTCAGGAATGTGCTTGCCCGTTCATTGTAATGAACATTCCGTAAATGATATCTTTCCTATTTTCTCCTATTTTTTGGAGAAAACTTTCGGTATTCTAATTTCAGAAAATTCAACTGTTGAATGTTTCAAACAAAAGGATTCATTTTTTAAAAAACTTGGTATTCCACAGGTATATTTTTCAAATCATTGGAAGTTTTTTTTATAAATTTTAAAGAATCGTACGAATTAATAATCATTTTGCAGTGGACAGTTCTCGCTGTCCTCGCTTTTCTAAGTTTGTTGGTGCTGTGTGGTACTTCAATCGATATATATCGTAAACGACGCAGTCGAAAGTATTCAGTCAACAAAGGTATTTTATATTATTTTTAAAATTTAAAAAATGGACTAAACTTCATTTTAACTAAATGAAGTTTAATTCAAAATATTGCATGTAGTTATAAGGAGCAATACTCCTGCAATTATTTCATACTAATTGTTTTTTACTGGTAATTTTAAGCATCTTCAATAACAGTGTTCCATTTCTTTTGCCTTTCATTTTTCGAAAAAACCGTTAAAAATTGCGTTTTTTATCTCTTCGTATTTTTTAAATTTGAAAAAGGTATTGATAGAATGATAAAAGTGGGACAACTAAGCAATAATTCTCTAGAGAAAACCTGATACTTTAGATTAGATATATTAGATATTTCGGAATAAGAGACAGAATGACAGAAAATACTATTCACAATGATCATTACTATTTAATTGGTAGGTCATCAGATGTTTTAGTCTAAGATTTTAGATACTTTTAATTTAATTTTCAAATTCTAATAATTAACATTTTGTTTTAAAAAATGTTATGATGAATACATATGACAACAATGTTAGTAATCTATCTTATATACTGTAAATTACAAAAGGTTACAGTATCATTCATCTCTTGTCTTCCATTTCTAACTTTTCCTTATTTTATTCATTTTTAACTCATATTAGTAATCCGCCAAAACTTAAAAAAAAACTTCTAATCAAATCGGTGAGTGTTTAGTTTTCAGTAAATATCACAAAACATAAGTAATAAAGCTAATTTAACAAAATATTAGTTCTAATTTGATGATTATTTTTGATGATTATATAAGAATTTGAAAATAAAAAATGAGTAACTAAAGTTTTGAATAAATTTACTTCATTTCTTGCACAACTTGCAGAATTGTCCAGAAGCTGCAGTCATATGACAGCACGTTTGATCCCAAGCACTCCGTCTCAGGTGTCGTCAGTCTGCGCGCCATACGCCCAAGATGACGCATGCAGTTTCATATGCAGTGATGCACCTTCGCAAGCACTTACGTATAAAAGTACGCCAGCTGTACGAAGAACACTGAAAAGATCGGCTTGTATCATTAATAGCGTAAGCTTCTCATATCCAGTTGTAGTACTCATGTTAAATTTTAATTTAAAGCAGATCATACGATTACTTACGTAAAAACATAAATTCAGTAACATTTAATTTACGTATATACTCTATTTAAGTGGCGTATCTGAAATGATACGATTCCTTGCTTTAAATTTAAATCCATTTCATCTAATTGAAGATGACACTTTATTATTGACATGATAACATTTTAAATGATCGTCATTTACGCATAATAAGTGTGGTTGAAAATTAATGATTCACTTTTTGATGTCACGAAGCAATGAAATTTAGATCCTGGCATTTAGCGTTCGTTCCACTTATCTTTACTTGACACGTCCGTGTAATCGACACCTGAATTCATTGTACGGTATTCGAGTGTTAAGCGCTTTTTGGGTAATTTTTTGCAGTGAATTTTATACTTTCGAATTTAATCTTTTACGTTTAGAAGAATAAACATCAAATATTGAAAGAAAATTATAGTTTTATTCTTTTTTATATCAGTGCGTAAGTATTATACATCATTAAATTAGTTTACCTTTTGAACAGTAATATTTCTCAATCCACGGGAAAACAAAAATCCTTAATGTGGAATCCAGTATAGCACTTCGAGATATTGCTCATATTGCTCACTCATATGAATTTAAATACTACGATTTTACAAATAATGGCTCATGCTTTATTTAAATCTATTATTGGATAAATAAATTTTACAGTTAAATTTGAAATTTACAAATAATCATTTTCAGGTAGTAATTGGTCACACACATTTGTTTTCATTGGAATATATTGGTAATGTTCGACAACTATGGAATTTATTGAAAGCAAATGGGAACCTTTCTCAAATTATTTTTAATTCTTCACTTTCTGTTGATTCCTTTTTACTGATATCCGCTACCGTGCTAGCATACAGAGTTCATCTACGTATCTTACAACAAAAGCAACGTAAGAGCAAACGTACGGCATTATCACCGTCTGGATGGCTTATCATTTGGTTTCATCGTTTCATGCGTTTAATACCCGCTTATCTTATCACATTTCTTATCATTTATCTCGTCTTTCCGTATACTGGTGATGGACCAATGTGGTCTCAACAAAATGGTTTGTTTTAAATTCTCTTCCGATTAGTTTACTGTGATGAGCTAATAAATTAAAGACTTCTTATTATACCCCAATTTAATTACAGTAGTACAGAAAGTATATTTTTGTTGTAAATGAAAGTTTTAGAGTTTAAAACTTCTAAAACCTCGGCAAAGGTCTAGAGAGGTATCATTTTGTCCTTTCAACAAAGTTCAAATTCCCATTGTTAGCAACAGATCATATGTGATTTAAACAAATTATTATACAATAATTTAATCGTTGCATTTTACAGCAAATATTCAAATAATCAAATTTGAACAATGTACTTTCTTTTAAAATACAGAAAACTGTAGGAATTTTCGGCGCACGGTGCGATAGTAATGATATTTGGCGACAATTGCTTTTTGTAAGCAATTTCTTTCCCAATGAATGCATGCCTTGGATGTGGTACCTTGCCTTAGATACACAATTTTATATGGTTAGACTTCTAAATTATTACTTCCATAAAACTACCTTCTAACTTCCTCAACAAAATTTCTTTCAGCCGTATTTTCTTGATGTTTTCATACATAATTTGCCAATAATTGTCATTTAAAAAAAGAAAAAAATTTTTCATTAAGTGGTACTACTAAGCACGCAATTTCTTTATTACAACTAATCTCATACGATCATTTTATATGATCATTCTGCATTCTTAATGCAAGTATGACCTAAATATGACAGTTAGTTTTGGAAAATTTTATTTGAATTTATTTATATAAAATTTATTTATCATTTTTCATTTTATCGTTCATATCGTTTACACCTCTTCATCATAGAATAGCAATCACAGTGAATTAAATCTTAGAAACGAACTTGACGACGAACTTGTGAATATCTGTTTGCTTCCTAGCTTAGAAGTCTTGTCAACTTTCCAAAAAATATTTGAATATGAGATCATCACATTTTAAATTATCAAAAAATTTCAAATTTAAAATTTTTCCGGTAAAAATAAAAAAAAACTTTTTTAGGCATAAAGAAAAGAAAAGTATTTGAATAAATTTTGCAGTACAATAATAAAAAAAGAGTTTTGTTTTTTTGATATAAAAAGGCTTTATATAATTTTGCTTATTGGTTAATTGCAATAATTAAATCAAAATATATTCATATGAAATTCAAATCCATCTTTAGGTAGCTCCAATTGCGTTGCTACTACTGTATACTGTACCAACAATTGCTGTCGCTTTAATTGTCATTGTCATAATATCATCAATTATCTATCGAGCTACTGTAACGATATTATTCAGGTTATTGTTACTTTGCAATACTGAATGACAAATGATAAGATGGATAAAGTAGACGATAGTAAATTAATAAAAATTACATTTTATATTTTTTATTGGTTAATTGCAATAATGCAAAATTCTTAAAGGTTAAAATTCATTTAGCTGTTAACAAATAAATGAAATCCTATTAATTTCATTAATTCCCAAACAGAAAAGGATGATTTAGATTAGTTTATTTTATATACTTAAATGAGTCCCCGGTTTTCCTGATGAGTTTACTTCTGATAATCTGCTATGTATCTCGCTTACATCGAGATCACTTCCACAGATTCCCTGCAACATTTGTCTCAGCACTTCTCGAACATAATGGCCTAGCAACGGAAGAAATGGAAAAAATGTTTCGACACTTATATGCTGCACCACAGGGAAGAATTGGCTCATTCTTCATTGGTAAATCTTTAAAACAATTTATTCTGCTTTTCAATTCTTATTTTTTAAAATTAATTTTGATAATTGCGAAATGAATTCATAATTTTGAACTTAGTTGGAAATGAAAAGTATGTTATTTAGAAAAATTAAGATTTCAAAGTTTTTATCTCAGAAAAAAGAATAAGGAAAATTTTTTAAATTTTAAAACAATAAGAAATAGAAGAAAATTTCATTAGATAGTTTCTTTTGTTTAGCATTATTTTGCAATATAAACCCTACCCTTTCCACTGTATCATCATATTTCTCTTGCACAGCGTGACTAATTTGATACGTATGTATACTTTTAATAAATGACGTTACGGAGGTGAGCAGTGGATTTAAATGAACACGGGAATGATTTATGTTCTAGGAATCCTTCTTGGTTGGTTACTTTCGATAAAATCAAAACAAACTCATTCAACAATTCAAATAGACATTGCTCGTTTTGCATCTTTTGCTATGCTCTCTTTTTCGCTTTTCGGTGCAAATTACGCAAATGGTTTCACTATATTTTCAATTTTTTACGCTGCCACATTCAGGTTACGAATTAATTTACGTCAACGAATTCATTATTCTTTTTTTTTTAGCTTCTCTTAAAAAGATTACCGAATAACCAAATAGTTGACGAGATGATTCCAATAAATTCATTTTGCACATAACCATTTAAAAATTTGAATTATATAAAAAATCATTTTTAATCTACTTTGTCAATAATTGATACATTTTTATCAATTTGTAACTTCCCATATGCTAGTCACAACAACAATAATAAAAATATTTCCCAAAGATTTCTGCAAATTTCAGAATAATCTGGGCATTCGGTCTGGCCTTATTTGTTTGGCTATGTGAACGAGGTCACATGCGCATGATACATTCATTTCTTGCTTGGAAGAAATGGATCTTCTTCTCCAGGTTGAATTAAGCATCACTGGAAATTTCAGTTCAACCTTCTTCAATGACTAACTTTCGTTAAAATCACTATAATAATCAAACTGTGTTTAATTTTTGTTTTTAATTTCTATGCTTAAATTTATAATTTAAATGAAAATTGGAATTGGTACTTTTTCAGATTATCTTATGGGTTTTACTTATCACATGAACCAGTCTTACTGTATTTCATATGGACTCGACGTTCAGCTATAATGGCATTTTCACCATTCTATTTTATCACTTTTGCAATGGAAATATCAGTGTTATCTCTGTTTTTTGCTTCTCTCATAGCTTTCATCATTGAAGTTAGTTAGCATCTATTCTCAAATATAAATTATAAAAATTTCTTAATATTTTCATTTAATGCTGATAAGGTTGAATAAAATGATAATGAACCAGAAGACAAATTACACATTTCATACAAGTAGAGATGATGTTTGATCTGATAAGTGACGATTCAAATAATAATCAGAAGAATTAATCAGTACATTTCCTTCGAGAATTTTTTTTTTAAAGACTAATATTATTAATTTGTGACCCTTATCATTGATTGTATTAACATGAAAAGTGAGCAATCAGAAGTAATCGAAAGGATTGTTGTGATGTATCAATAAACTTAAAATACAGAATGTTTTATAAGAATTATTCTTTTCTTTTTTCAGATTCCACCCTTAATGATTGAACGTAAGATATTTAAAACAATTCGTGCTCGTGCTGTATCAGATGAAGCAAATAATGAAAGAGAAGGGAAGGAACAGAATTTCAACGTTCAACTCTATCATCAACGGTTCATCATTATCGAATCGAAATTTATTTTAAAAAAAGAAAATAAATGAATAAAAATCTTTGCCGCTAAGAATAGTATCGAATGAATGAACTGTGTTAAACTTTAAATATCACTCAGATAAGACAATCTTACTATCAAATGTTTTCTTCGAAAATTGAATTTGGAAATAAGGTTTAAGAGAAAGAAACGCTTAACTTTAATGAATAAAAAATCACCTGTACTTGAAATCGAAATAAACAACAGTACTGGTATTGAGATGTACTAGTAATTTTTTCATATTTTTGTTTAGATGTAAGAAAAATTGTCAATATATATATATATATAAACTTTTCACTTTCTGAAGTTATCAGAATTCTAGGAAGAATGATGAGATTGTCGAGCTTGTCCCAATGATATCACCAATGAATCGAACTAAACAATGGGTTGAGAAGAATCATGACAATTTGAAAGTTGCATCCACACGATTTCGTGATGCAATGATAAGATTTTCAATTTATCAATTTTCATTAAATTGATTTACAACTTTATTAATATCACTGATACTCTCTTTTCTTCTTTTCATCACATATTTAACTTCAATTGCATTTTTTTTTTTCAAGACAATCGAACTTGCCATCATAGTACTATCAGTTCTGCAACAAATATCTTTCTTAAAGGAGCCAAGAAAAGCGATGGTAGTGTTGGGAGTGGCGCTCTTTCCACATGCAAAAGCTTCTCGAAGGAATCAGCAGATGAAAAACAGATCTTTGAAAGTATTTTATTATTATTATTATTATAAGTGATTACTTATTATCATTATTAATAATTATTATTACACCATTATTGTTACCTTTCAAAGTTATTTCTTAAAATATCCCAGCTAATGAAGTAAGCATAGGCTGTTTGATCATTTGTTATGCAAAAATTCTATCGTTATCTGTATAATATGATTCTCGTTTGGATTTAAGAATGCTGTTTAACATATTTATAAATAAGCTTCTTTTGGGAAAGTTTTTTTTTGAAAGCAAATAAAATTTTAAGTTTGAGCTTAATTTTCAATTCAATTGACATATATTATATACTTCGAATTAAAAGTTAGGGAAATAAAGTAGAAATTTAAATCCCATTCTGATCTGAGGAATGATAATTTCTGTTACCTCGAATCTCTTAATCATTTGTTTACTTTTCTTAGCGCTCTTCAATTTGAAATAAAAATTATAAGGAAGGAATACTGCAACTGAATGTCCTCGTGTTTTCTTCTAATTTTTTGTATGTAAACTAAGTAGTTTACTGTCGGTGCATTATTAATTTATAATTTGCGATAAGCATAATTGAATTAGGAACATAAATTCGAATTCTAATTTCATCTCTCAGAAAACGCTTATTTTTCATTTATTGGACAGATGAGCCATTTTGTACGATGAACTCTCCTACTGTGATGGTATCAAAAACAAGACAACAATTTGGAAACATCGGTGATGACAATGATGACAATGATGTTATTCATCAAAGTGACACAATTATGGAGAAGAAATGCAGTAATGCTCAAAAATTTGATACATTACTGAAACAGAAACAGAAGATACCGTTGGAGCAAAATCATGATAAAGAGGTTGGCAATTTTATCTCATTTTTGTATGAAGTGTTCCTTGCTTCTTTTCAAATATATTCAAAACTCTGGGAAAATACATCTTACTTATGCAAAACTGAAACATGCTAAGAAATGAATCTCTCTGATTCGTACTTTGAAAAAAGCTTCAATTAAGCCGAAAATTCGATTGCAGAAAGTGCCATTCAGGGATCACGCTTAAAAAAAAATTAACTGTATTCATTGAAAGATCTCATATAACCTTATTCAGATGTCACAAACGGAAAATGTAAGTTTCTCATGGATTGAAGAAGCTAGAAAGAAGCTTGATATGGAACAGCCAACTTATTTTCAAATTCCTTATAAAAAAGAAAGGTACTTATAAATTCTCAAAACAATTCTAATTTTGAAAAATGTGAATTAAGAGTTTACTTAACAGTTATTACTTAACAATGCAGGATAATTGCACAACAAAGTGGCGTAAACCGACAAAAACAACAACATTTAGATATTCATCGTCTTATAGAACAGACACCGTTATCAAATAAATCATCAAGTTCAACTAATACTGGAGAAACTGTAAGTTTATTACTAACATTTATTATTGCTTATTATTATTATTATTGATTATTAATTATTATCATTATTATAACATATTAATTTTTAACTTCCATAATCTTACATTACTTCTTCCTATATTACTTGCAGAATTGTTTATTTACTTACAACAAACATTTTGTCATCATTGATTCTTGCAGTAATGCTTGCCTTCAAGATTTCTTCTTATTGTCTCAGACTTGATAAATAAGTTTGGTTTCTTTTTTTTTTTCAATTTACAGATTATCCATGTAATCAACGGAAATCGGGAGAGTCCGAATGAATCATACTTGTAGAGCAAAACATGCAAATTAAAAATGACTCATAGAGTGAAGTGATTGATTATTCATTAAAAATGAATAAAAATTGCAAAAGACTTGCGAATTATGTAATGTTTTTGCATCCATTTCTAACAAAGTTTTTGAATGAGCAAACTCAATAGTTAAACATTTAGCATGAATAAATCTAATACTCACAAATGATCTCTTCTTCTTAACTGTGAATCTAATCTAATCTATTCACTATGTTTTTTTTTTTTTTTTTCAAACTGATACAAAAAATTCCACTTTATATTAAATTTATTTGAATTTTTCGCGAAAAAGTCTTTGAGGGAATTGTTTTCCTATAAACTTTCTATTTGGTAACTTCTTATTTATAGAGACAAGATGGTAAATCACAAGCATAAAATCCTGAAAATTCATGACATTCAACAATTCATTAATCAATATTAATATTGTTAATGAAAATATTAATAGATGATAACTGACATTAAACATAGCTTACAACTTGGACAATATGATATGGATAAAAAATGAAAAAACTAAAGAACGTTGTTTGTTTGTTTTTTGAGACTTTGCATCGAAATTTACTCGAAAGATTTAAGCAATCAACCGAAGGATTTACCAGCACATTAAGTCATACATTTAATGGTTAAATAATAGAATAAAATCCATCGTCTTCTTTAAAATATTTCCCTTTTGTTGTGAGATCACTAATCACTATTAGTCTTTTCTCATTAAAATGTGATCGATAACTAATCGTAGCAGTTCCCTTTCTCAAACAACCTGATGTTACCATTATTGATAGAACAACTACATCGGCAACAATCATTTCTCAATGACTTCGAAATATTGGAAACTCTTATTCCAGTATTAATGTCCAGTTTACCTCAACTTCGGAATTTTGAATAGTCTGAACAGTTCCTTGCTTTGAAGAATCATAATTGAGCAGTAGGAAGTACCCATACCAATACCATTTAACATAGTACATAACCGATATCTATGAGGAAGATTTTCATTCCGCTGATGATATTTCATTTTGTTCCTCAGATATTTTGTTTAATAACATTATCAGCTGATTTATTAAAGATTGAATGCATTGAGGATTAATATTGAGTATTTGATAATGTTGTATCACTGAAGCTTGATAACGAATGAAAGAAGAGACAACAATTTTGAAATAGTGAAATACTCAAAAAGATCAGAAAACTAGGAAATAGTACTAAAAGCAGTGGTATCACGATGACAACGAACAACAAGACAACGATTTCGAAGTGTTGAAAGGTCACTTGACGGTATCACATAATCCATCACTTTCGTTGATGCTTCATGTAGATTGAAATTACTAGCAACGAGCTGTGAATAATTCCAAAGAGCTATATGACGACTTTTGCCATGAACACAAAATACGTGCGTAGCTTTTGAACAATTATGAGTAACTGCCTCATTCCATATCACTGTTTCTAATTCTTTTACAGGACAGAGATATCCTACCTGAAGAAAAAAACTGAAATATACGAACATAAAACTAGTGTTAAGAAAAGCTTCATTTTCAAATGTTAAATCTTCCTTACTTAAATCCTTTTTTTTAAATGTCTTTTTCAAACTTAAAAAAAAAACTAACAATAAGGCACCAATGAGCACTACGTCCTCCTCGATTGCTTGGCTGATGATTCTTGCCACAATCATATGGTATTAACATTACTGCATTTTCTTGAACCAATTGCTCCATTTGAGCTGTAGATGGGACGTTCTCAACTGCTACATCTAACATTGGCCATAACGAAACGGCAACATCAGCTAACCAATCAGCTAGAATAAGTGCAAAACAAAACACATTTGCTTTACATTTCCTTAGCGTTGATCTAAGAATGAACATGAAGGACGACAAGTGAAAAAATAAGACAATTTGGATCTTTCAAATTGACAAGATTTGAAAGCTGATTTCACCAATTAGATAAAACTGGTATTTTTTGACTGAAAATTGCTCAAAAATATACTTTCGAAATATTAGAAACACTGCTTCTTCAAAACAAATATTATACTGCTTACAATGTTATCGATAAATAATTTAAATGATGTGACAAGGGTATCTAAAAAGGAACATATTAAGCATACCGGAAAACATTTCCCCATGATTTGTATATCCTTTCTGCTTAGCATATTGGAAGATTTCATCTACATTTCGAATCGGAAGACCGTATGCTTGGGCGACCATTTGCACAGCAACGAGACCACATCTAAATTTTAATCCGAGCTGTGATCTCTAATTCACCATTTGCCATTATTTCATAGTATTACTTTAAAAGAAACTGGCAAATTGCTTCAGATAGCAAAAAAGAACCAGTTAAAGCTCAAAGATGATCGAAATAAACTGATTTAAGATGTCCTCTTTATTTGAGATGATCTTTTACTTTTATTGAATACTTCTTCTCTAAATATTATGTGTTATTAATGGAAAATCTTGAGAAATCTCATGAAAAGAATCCGAAAAACTACGAAAACATGGGACTAATAATAGGCGGAAGCATTTACGACAAGAGAGATTACTCCAAGCAAACCAGGAAGTGCTTTACCTAATTTCTTGATATTGATATGAAGAAGACACAACAAACAAACAGTGATTAACAGGTAGATAAGATAGTCTGGCTTATTCCTTTAAACATTTCTTATTTCTTAGACTTATTATTTCTCTATAATGCTTGGTATACATAGTCCCTGAATTTTACAAAACAAAACCATGAAGCTTACTGAGGTCCATTCTGCAGTATCGGTTCCACATTTCTAACAAATGCTACAGCTCCTCGACTTTCCACATTTTCGAGACAATCATTCAGCACCGAAAGAATTCGTCGCCGTGCCAGCGGTGACAAAGTTGGCAGCATAGTCACCTTAATCATGAAGAAATGTTCAAAATAAAAGAGAATTCAATACTTTTTGGATGCTATCTCGCTTCGTCCATGATAATTTCGCGTCTTTTATGAAAATTTATCGCTCATAAAATTTCGTTTCAAATTTAAATCCAGCTACGTAAAAAATGATGTCATAAATATCACCTTTAACACTTTATTGAATGCTTCTGCATCACTGAATATCTTTATCAAGGTAAGAAATCACATTGCGATATGTATGCAGTTAAATCGGCATACCTTTCGATTGTCTTACTAATACAGATAACTGGTCAGAACAAGATAACCAATAGTTCGATCTTAAACTTACCATCCGTAAGCAGTTGCACCACGAAACCGTAAGACTTAGGATATGATGAATTCAACAGCAATGCCACGTCCACGTCTGTGTAATCACTCCAACATGGCACAGAAAATACATCAAACCATCCATTGCATGCTGAATCCTCACTGAGTCTGCAGTGAATCTCACCCTGGAACTGTAGACGACTTCGAGTCGCGAGAATAATTCGAAGATATTTTTCCTGCCATGATAAGGGATAAGGATTGTTATCACTGTAATCTAACCTAAAGCTCACTGTAATTTAACCTAAATTAATCAGTGGTAAACATTAGTATTACTCAATCTATTGCTCCATTCGGGGTCAAACATTTCTTGTCTTTCCCTTTCTTCCCTCCTTCTTTCTATTAACGCGATGAAATCACTATACTTTAATGCTAGTATGCACAAAAGTACAGCACTGAAAACTTAGCTTAATTCCATCAATATTTTCACTTCTAAATTAATGCTTCATAGTACGTATTTCGCTTAGTGATAGCATTTCACAATGAAAAAGCTATCAGAATCATAAAAGTTTTTCATGGTTTATCGTAATTTAGGACCGGTAATATTAGTAATGGTAATCCATCATTTGTGGATCTGAACCAACGCATTTTTAGGTATTGTACAACAGTTACTTAATTATAAACAACTAGGAAATATTTTAATACATAAGGAGCAGAGCATGGCAGTCCATACGAATAAGTGGTGAAATTTCTATCGATTACAACACATTGATTGTATGACAACGTGATGAAACCAATATTACTGAAAACATTTATTCCTTGCATTTTCAACCCCTGAATATTTCACCATTTGTATGTGTAACATAAAAGCATACTCATAAACAAACAAACATGGGCAAATCATTAAGTCAACTGCTATGAAAAACCAAATAAACTGCTCGCATATGCCAACGGCCTTACCTAAAAATAGTTCATTTATAGTTAAACTGTCCTATAACTTTGCAAAGTACAAAACTGTTTGCTTAAACCATGATCAATATTCAATACGATTCAACCATGACACTTTAGTGTAGTAGAGAATGGAAAACGACAGATTGTGATTCTGATATGATGAATCTTAAACAACTTCCATTAATTTGGTTTGTACAATTAATTCAAAAATGATTCAGATTCATCGTAATTAAAAAACTTTACCTATGCAAAACAGTTAAAAACAAATCTAAAATTACTTACTGAAGGATGATCCACTGCAGTGAAGGAAGTAAAACGTGGTGTTAAATTATCACCTCTTATTGTTATAAATGCTCCTTTATTACCCAATGTGTCACTGAAAAAATTAAGATGACAAAGCTAAAATTTATCTTCATTAGGAAGCAGAAGTTTAAATGCAAAAAATACAACTAAATTTAATAAGAATGACTAAAAGCATCCAAAAAGATACCAGTAATTTGGAGCACTAAATACGGTTATACACTTGCCATCGTGGTGTACTTCATATCCCTCTGGTTTGACTTCATGACTTCTATAAAAAAAGTAAAATCACGAAAAAAAAAAAAATGCAAGAAATAGTTATAAAATGCAGTGATAAAGACATACAAGAAATATCTCGAAACTTCAATCATTTATCCATAAACATATCATAGATCATTAGAAAATTAATACTGTATGCAAAAATAATACCTTATAACATAGTCTAGACCATTTGCCTCACAAAACTTATGTGTCACATTAGGGCCAAACTGACAACCAACTCCACGCTTTGATGCTGACCTACCGTCCATGTCTTGGGGATCAGACCATAATAAATCACACATTATACCTGAAATAATCAATCAACCAGCTGACAGTCAACTACAAATTCATTTTCTGTATATTCTTTGATCTCAAAACTCAAAGTTTCTGCAACATTTCCAAAATACAGTCCTAAAAAAAAATCCGGAGATATTTCGATGACCATAATGACATAATAATATAAAAAAATGTTTCAAAAATTGTTGGAGAACTAACCGTCATCTGGTGGTTGGCGAACCCGATTTGTCTTTTTTATATCATTCATGGTGACGTCGTCATCTTTAAATAAACCTCCATGGCAAACCTGAATTTAATTCAAACATCAGCCAATTGGAAACAGAGAAAAAAATATCTGTGAAAATCAGGCAAACTTACAGGAAGTATAGTACCTCATCTTTTTTTATATATAAGATCATATTTTTTAACTGTAAAATTATTGTTGTACTATTAAATAGTAAAATGAATGAAAATATTTTGCCACAAAAAAAAGTATGCAAATACCTAACTCCTAATCAGTTTTAAAGTTACTATGATAAGAACGGAGAGTACAAATCTTCTTAACAAATATTACTAAAGTACTTATCTTTGAGATAACTGAGATGAAAATATAGATAAATGAGAGGAATAAAGAATTATTCAAATACATTAAAAATGCATACATTTCAATTCATGAAAAAAGCTAGCGTTTTGGTTATCAATAAGACAAGCTCGACTGTGCAGTTAGATCCAACAAAATATATCAAAGTTTTTAGGGGGAAGAATTTCAAGTCAATTCCTGAAATAAATTAGATCAGAAATCACTTACAAATATTTTATTATTGATTAAGTGACAAAGCGGCAAGTAATCAAAAATCTCCGTAAAAAAATCTGCCATTTGAGCTGTATATTTGCTTTTCACTTCACCCTCGAAACCATACATCTTGTTCATTACGTCACTTTCGTGATTACCTACAAAAGTTATATATGCAATAAAAGCTTTAACCGTGATAAATGTTACAAAAATTTCTGGTTCTAGATTTCATACTTCGTCGGAACTATTTTAATTAAAAGGGTACTGATTGCATTTTGGTTGTATTTGAACCAAGTTTTTTTAGCAAAGAAAAATAACTGGCTTTCTACTAGATCACAAGAATATTAATAAAATATAGCAAACCTCGTGACATGAAAAAGTGCTCAGGGTATAAAAGCTTAAATCCAAACAAAGTAAATATCGTCTCAACTGAGAATGAGCCGCGATCAACAAAATCACCATTGAAAAGCTAAAAAAATTATACTAAACATAATTTTGGTTTTTCCTGCAATCAGATTAATAGTTCAGTTAATATGTAAAACCTACGTATGGATTAGTTTCTGAAGGCAACCCATTCAAAGCAAATATATTGCATAGATCATAGAATTGCCCATGAATATCACCACAAATTGTAAATTTCTTTTCCGGTGGTACTGTAATTTCAACTAGTGTTGGTAATTCACCAAACAATCGCCTAATTGCAAGAAGTATCTGGAAAACAGAAATTACATGCTGAAACATCAAAACATTTATGAAAAATATGCCGGATGTTATGGAATGAAAAAGCAAAGTATATCTTAAATACAATTTAAAGAGAAAAGCATGCAAATTTTGAGGGTGAATGAAGCAAATATGTCTTGGCCGAGATATCGAAAAAAGTCTGCATATTCCAAATAGGAATTAATGTGTCAAATAGGTGTCAAATATATATATATATATATATATCAAAAATGAACAAATTGAAAAATATGAAAATCGAAATTCATACAATAAGCAATAGTTGAAGAAAACGGAACCTTATAAGCGTATTTTCTGTGTAGTTTCTTTTCTGCTTTAAATGTTTCGATCAGTTCTTTCATAAATTCTAACGTGATATCATTCTCGAGAACAGGCCCATCATATGTTGCTTCCACTTCTAAAAAGAAATGTATCCATATTTCTTTAATATGTCTTAAAACTTCTGAATTTGGTTGAACTGTAATGTTTAAACTATTCCAGAACAACCTTCGTGCAGTTAAGTCAATTCTTGCATTTTTAAATCACTTAAATGGAGGAAAAAAGAAGGGAAACTATAACCAATGGTATCAACATTTATAGATTCCGCAATGCTGCGCTTATCATGATCCACCGATATTGCTTTCTCAAATGCTATCTTTCGCATAAGTTTTTGGCATTCATCATATTTCTGTTTAGCATCAATATTATTCGGTACTGCTTTACGTATCTGCAATGTAATGATCACTCGAAATAATACACAACTGTTTCTATTCATATTATCCAGATAAGATCAACATCAACCTTTGTTATTGACATTTCATACTTCTTCATCATAAAAAATTCCATTGCCATTTACAACTGTTTTCGGTTTCAGTTAAAATGAGACGAAAACAACAGCAAATAAGAGAAGTACCGAAGAAGAGTGAGGTGAAGCAAGATGGTTAGCACCAATTTTTTCCATTTCCTAATCTGTACCTTGAATCTATTCAGAAACATTTACATAATTTTTATCTAAAAACATAAGACAATGAATTTTTTATCTAAAAATATAGACCATTACTAGTGCAAAAGTTTCTAAAAGTAGAATTTATTCAGTTAGTACTTTCATTTTCTTCATAAAAGCTTTTCTAAGCATTCTATTCAACTATATAGGATTATTTTCCACTCTCATAAATCCATCACCACAAACATTAGTGAACTAATAAATCGCTTCACTAACACAGACCACTATGATTAATTCAAGTGAAAAATTATATAGTTTAACCCATTAAAGATGTTTCATATTAGTGAAGTCGACTAATCCTTCGCTACAAATCATCCACCCTTCATGGGTCACACACACTCTTTACTATTACACACTATTAGTACCATGATATGAGATGAAAATAAAATTTTTGAAGATAGGAAAATACCGTATCATAATCCTTTAGAGCAAGTTTTAATTTTCCTAAAGCCATATAGGCTGTTGCACGTCTGTAATAACCCTTCGAGTAACCAGGATCTAATTTCAAGGCCATATTTGCATCTTCTAGTGCACTGCCATATAGTTCTTTCTTCAAATAAGCCATGCTCCGATTGCCATAAAACAAAGCTTGCTGGTCATCCAGTTCGATTGCTTTTGTATACAGCTCAATTGCAACATCGTATGCCTGGTCTGTAATGATAGCACTAATCAAATGTACTGATAAAGAAAAGAATTTTATTTAAGATTACTCAATATCTACTGCATT